AGTTTCCCCTCTGTTTTCCTGTCACCTAAGGACAAGAAAAATAACAAGCTGGCAAATAACGAACTGTACGAGGCTATAAACAAGCTGGAAACCTTGCACCCGGACCCTGCTTTTCTTATTGCTGGTGATTTAAATTCAGCATCATTAAGGCATGTGATGCCCAACTTCCATCAACACGTTTTTTTATTGTATTTTTTTTAACCTTTATTTAACTAGGCAAGTCAGTTAAGAACAAATTCTTATTTACAATGACTGCCTACACCGGCCAAACCCGGACGATGCTGGGCCAATTGTGTGCCGCCCTATGGGACTACTAGGGGCGATAAAGTCCTAGACCACTGTTACTCTACCCACAAGCAAGCAAACAAGGCCCTCCCTCGTCCCCCATTCGGCAAATCAGATCATGACTCCATACTCCTGCTTCCTGTATACAAGCAGAAGCTCAAACAGGAAGTACTCGTGACTTGCTCCGTTGAGAAATTGTCCTCAGAAATTATCCTACTGGACTGCTTTGCTAGCGCTGACTGGAATATGTTCAGAGACTCCGCCGATAGCATCGACGAGCTAACCACCTCCGTCACCGGCTTTATTAGGAAATGGATCGGAGACGTTGTCCCCACAGTGAAGGTTGGCTGTTTCCCCAATCAAAAGTTCCTGGATTATCACAGAGGTTGGTGTTAAATGAAAGGACAGGGCTACCGCACACAGCAGGGCTATCGCAGCCAACCCTGAGGCTACGGCTGAGGAAAGGAACAAGTACAAAAAGTCCTGCTACGACCTCCGCAGAGCCATCAAACAAGAAAAATGACAATATAGGAACAGGTGGAATCCTATTACACAGGCCCCAGGGGGTGAGGGTAGGTAACATCAGCACAGCCAAACTGACCCTCAACACGGGGGCCCCACAGGGGTGTGTACTTAGTCCCCTCCCATACTCCCTGTTCACCCATGACTGCGTGACTACGCACGACTCCAACACCATCAAGTTAGCGGACGACAGCTGCACCATTGAGACCATCTTGACTGGCTGCATCATTGCTTGGTATGGCAACTGCACCTCCCTCGATCGCATGGCGCTACAGAGGGTGGTATGGACAGCCCATTACATCACTGGGGCTGAGCTCCCTGCCATCCAGGACCACTATATCAGGCGGTGTGAAAGGAAGGCCCGGAAAATGCAGTATGCCAACACATTTATTCTGCATGAGTCTCCTGTTCTGTCCAAATGAGGTCCATCTGATTACAGCCTGCCAATGGCAGCACAAAGGTCCAATGTGTCTCCATATTTGAAACACGTGATATGTAGGCTAGAAAGAGAGGAATGAAGGCATAATCACGCCACTGACTGTCACCTTCAGACATATTGATAGCTTCTTGTAGGACGGACGCACGTAACATAAATGGTAGTGGCCGTCAGTCAACAGACTGAGGGATGCGATGACTAACAAGGAACTTTGTTCCGGTACGCTGATGGGTTTTCGTCACTAGCTAGGTTTCCATCCAATTGGTGACAGATTTTCATGTGAATATTCTCAAATCTGCATAGATGTTTCCATCAAACTGACTTTTTGTGGATAAAAGGGTGTGTGGCGGGGAAAAATCGATAGTTACATATCGGGATATTATTACTGACTATATATCGTATCGCTTTTGTCATTATCGCAATATTATTGTTGTGCTAGTTGGCTGTACCTGCACCAAAACTTGAGTATTTTTCCTTCATAGCTTGTTCTCCATCTTCTTTTTATAGAGGGAGCCAATTAGTTTTCAGGACTTTTATTTGCATGACTGAACAAAACTAGTTTTCTCATGTCTCTCTCTTGTCCCTCTGCAGCAGACATATGGTGTGTAATATGTTTGGAACATCAAATCGCAATAAAATCACAGTATCAAATCACAATACATATTGAATCGTGAGAATCGCAATACATATCGTATCGGCACGTAAGTATCGTGATAATATCATATCGTGAGGTCCCTGGCAAGTGCAACTCCCCTAGTAGTGCAAATAAAATACAATAAAAAATACAAGTTCAATGGGGTTCAACTCTTTTGATGGTTTTGTCACAAAAACTGTTGTTATATAGCAAATTTGCCCATTCTGGTCTTGGCACGTGCCCTCCCCAACAACATTTTCCTTAGGGTCCCCAAAAGGCTAGGGGACTGCATGTGTGGGTATTGATGCCAGTACGCAGACCTGCGATCCATGTTCTATATAATGGTTGTTTTATATAAATATTTGCCCATAAAGGCGCTTCCACCGCCATTTCTCGCATAATTAATTTTGCAGACATAAAAAGATCCCACCATGTCAAACAAACAACTTGTCTGTCGACATTTATAAAATTGTACCTGCATTTTCTGTTTCCATCAGCCCGGTTGTGACTTTATAAATTGCTGAGTAAATTATTTGTCATTAAATTTTTGCAAACCACACGATCAAGCCAATGCCTATGAGTTTCTCCCGGTCTTTCTGTATTCGCTAACTAAGGCAAAGTTTTACGCATTAGTCCACCAGACTCTGGGAATGAGATTACCTGTGCTCTTGACCTCTTGCCCTCTGTGTGACTATCCCCTGCCTCCAATCCCAGAAAGACTTCCAGGCCAGGGCTGAGGGGATTATAAACTGCTCCCTGGCCTGTCTGGCTGGCAGGATCGCTTGTCATTAGTCAGCCTCCTTAATTAGAGACTGATGGCAGCTTACTGTTGGTCTCTGCTCTGCCCCAGTCCTCTGTCTGTCGCTCTACTCCAAGTCTGTCTGTGTCCTATGTTTGTCTCTCTACTCCTAGTCCATCTCTGTCACACTACTCCTATTCTGTCTGTCTCTCTACTCCTAGTCTGAGAGGCCAGAGTGCACTTGAGGAGGAGATATTGCTATAGGTCTCTGTGCTGTGCTAGCAGATTAAGCAGAACAGCACTCTTTTTATCCACTGAGTAAAAAAAGGAAATGTCCTTTGCAATCTGCACATTTAGGATGGACAGCAATGACGCTTTATTTTATGCAGCCTGTTCATTCAGCTCCAGACTGACTGAGCACTTCTGTCTTTGAGGCACGACATCACTGTGACGGTCATGGAATTTTTGATGACCATCCAAATGACCACAGTCACCGTAATGACTTTGAATAGCAACATTTGACGCAAATATTTTCTTCCACTCCTGACTGCATGTGCTGCCATAGAAACAGAATGAATATAGGCTAATGGGCATCCCCATTCAAGTTAATGATGCCGTAATGTGTGGACTGGCGGCCATTGCGAGTGTACCCATAGGAGCAAAGCAGGAAGTAAAGTGGGACGTAAATGTCTTATAAATAAAAATAATCTGTTTGCGTCTTTTTTGTAACGGTTATGGCAGTTATTTTACATTTCATGACGGTCTTCATCCATAACTGTCGGTTATACGGTAATTGTGCCAGCCCTAGATGTCACGCTGGTTCACCTTGGAGGTTATGCCAGCTATCTGTTCCCCTGTCATGTCACTGTTACAGCTGGAGGCGTTGTCACGACTACCAGACACTGAGACACAATGAGCGGAGTGGGGTTGCGAGTCGCCTGGTTGTTCGTTCAGCTGGTCAGAGGCTGTTAATCGCAGCGGTTGGTTGGTTTCCATGCCAGATGCACTCCGTAATGCTGTGTCATTGGTTCTGATGCTAACATCCCCACTCTCCCCCATACCTCCCTTCCCACATCCTCCCATACTCCCCTATCCTCCCCTGGTTGGGCTGCTCTGTCTCTTCAGACAGACAGAGGCTTGGAGGGGATCAGGGAAAGGTTTTATCTGGCCTGCCTGCCGGTAGTCTCTGTGCGTCTCTGCTGAGCTGGAGCTAATGCAAGGCAGACACATACCGTCCGTTCCCCTATGCAAGCCAGACGGGTACAGGAGAACAGTGGAGTGGGGTGTGAAGGAGAGGACAGGAGATAAGAGGATATAGGAGGTGAGTAAAGGAAGAAGTGTTTTGCAGTGCGGAGGAGTGTAATATGATAGAAGTGCCGCGGAGAAGTGAGAAGGGGGACGAGTGCAGTGTTTTGGAGTAGGGTGAAGTGCCCTTCAAGGTCCTCTGGATTCTGCACCCTCTCTAATGACTTCTGCTGTGTTCCATGAGATGTCTGGATGAGGATGAAGCCCCGGGGCCGTATGTATCAAGCATCTCAGAGTAGGAGTGCTGATCTAGGATTAGTTTGGGCCTGAAGATCATAATACATAGCCTATTGATTATATGGAAAAGCGGGAACTGATCCCACTGGTCTAAAGACAATGGAGGCTTTCTCCTGTCCTGATGAACAACACTTCACCCTTAGTCAGCTGGGAGTCCTCTGGCTCCACTCATCTTAGCCTTTAATGCTCTGAGATTATGGCCTTGCTTGCCCTGTTTACTCATGTGACTGCACACTTTGAGGCAGTCTGTTGAGACAATTTGTGGCAATTGGTGTGTGTGTGCATATCTGCACTTTATTAACAATGGTTAGTGGCCTTTTTCATGTCCCTTTGCTTTGCCAGTGAGTAACATGATTTTAATGTGTTTTTGTTTGTGTAGCAAAGATCAAATGGCTATGTTTCTCTGTGTGGTGTTATGCCCTCAGAATGGGGTGGTAGTGGCATATGTATGCTGACAATGGAAAATTGTTTTAGCCTTCTCTCTCTCTAGTCTCTCCATCTGCTCAGTTATCAGTTCGGATCTCCCTAAACCTGGGTCTGTGGCTCTCAGCTTCTGAGTTCACAACTCCTAGCACCCCATCTGTGTTTGGACAGGAAGGGAAGGGATCTTGTGGTAACCATTTTACCTTGTCAGTTTAAGAACATTCATATGTTGTCACTCATCTGCACCAAACAAACCATACATCAATACTTTGTTCAGATTAAGAAAGTGTTTATTTTCCCTTTGACTGGTTCTGTGCTTAGGTTAAAGCCTTCTTTGCACAACCCAGATCAGTGTTAATATAACAGCTGACAGTGCATTATTCACTGACTAACTAACTACTCCCTTTCTCCTTTTGCAGGGCAATCATGGGCCACGGAGTCGGCTGAGGATCCGGAGGGTTCTGCAAAACGCACCAATCGTGAGTAGGGATGTATATTCGCCATTCTAGGCCTGTTTATTTCCTTGGATGTGAACTAGAGCTAATGTTGGCCAAGGATTTGAAAGGTACTGTGCCTTCAGAAAGTACCCACACCCCTTGATTTTTTTCCACATTTTGTTGTTACAAAAGTGGGATTAAAATTGATTTGTCATTTTCTGACAACACAAAATACTGTAAAAGTGGAAGAAACATTCTAACGTTTGCAAAACATTTTTTTTATGAAAGATAAAACACTAATGTATATTTTATTAGATAAGTATTCAACCCCCTGAGTCAATACATTTTGGAATCACCGTTGCCAGCGATTACAGCTGTGAGTCTTTCTGGGTAAGTCTTTAAGAGCTTTGCACACCTGGATTGTACTATATTTGCACATTATTCTTTAAAAAATTATACTGTGGCTATTTGATCATAATGTAGACATACCAGATTGGCCTACCATCAAAAACAATGGAGAAAATGAATGCCATAACATTTTAACATGTACATAGCTGTTCTATCATTCAGCCTACAGTAGCAGCCAATGTGTTGTGTTCAATGTAGACCTACATTCCATGAGACTTTAAAAAAACTAAAAAAAACATGCAGGGCTTGGCATTGACCTGTTTATCCACTTGTCCTTCAGACTGAAAATGTTGGGTTTGATGCAAGAAACCACTTGAAAAAAAAAGAAAAAAGAAACCACTTTAAACATAAAATGCGTTATTATTCCCATACCATTATTACAGAGAATCAGACAAATTATGCCACCCTCCGCCTATTGGCTACTTAGCTTATTCAAGCCTGTCTTAAAACACAACACTACCCCTTTAAGACAAAAAAAGCTCTGACTTGCTTTTCAAAGATGTCTAGAAATGTACATGTTTTGTGCTCTTGTAGGAAGCAATCACTCCCCTATTGCTGACTACAAATTATCTATAACTGGGCTAATAACTCACTAACTAGCAAAGGATATGAACAAAATGTGCACACGTGGCAACATGCAGCTCTCGCTTTGATCTCAAAACAAGCACATCTACTACCGACCGCTCATGCTGTAAACAGTCCAGTTCAAAGTAAATGGCACAGATCCATATATGGCAATGGTCTATTTGCATATAGGCCTACTGCAGCTCTGATTAGTTATGCAACACCGGTCTGTGTAGAGTACGGGCTGAGTCGGTCGTGTCAATGCAATAGTATCCTACTCCGGCGCGTTCTGGCTACAACAAAATATTTTGCGTGGTTCGTTTTTCATACCAAGTCTTGCATAGTTCATTTTGTTTCGGTATGTTGCATTGAAATTGGCTAATATTGCGTTACATTTACATTTACATTTGACATTTTAGTCATTTAGCAGACGCTCTTATCCAGAGCGACTTACAGGAGCAATTAGGGTTAAGTGCCTTGCTCAAGGGCACATCGACAGTTCACCTAGTCGGCTCGGGGATTAGAACCAGCGACCTTTCGGTTACTGGCACAACGCTCTTACCCACTAAGCTACCTGCCGCTCAGTAGACCACAGTAAAGGGCAACGGTTGATAGTGTTAACTAACACGGCAAAATCTAAAAAGTTGAGTGAAGTTCAATCTCGTGCTTCTTCGTGGGCTGATACTGTATTTATTTTGCGCAGCAGTCCCGGGAGATGCGTGGCAATCTCGGGGTACTGCGCGCCCACGCATGTGTGCAGTTTAGAGGGAACATTGCCTATAACATGATGCAGCCTCCACCATGCTTGAAAATATGAAGAGTGGTACTCAGTGATATGTTTGGGGCAAATCCAACACAGCACAACGCTTTATATTAATTTCTTTGCCACATATTTTTGCAGTTTTACTTTAGGGCCTTAATGCAAACAGGATGCATATTTTTGAATATTTTTTATTCTGAAAAGGCATCCTTCTTTTCACTTTGTCAATTAGGTTAGGATTGTGGAGTAAGTACAATGTTGTTGATCCATCCTCAGTTTTCCCCTATCACAGCCATTAAACTCTGTAACTGTTTTAAAGTCACCATTGGCCTCATGGTGAAATCCCTGAGCGGTTTCCTTCCTCTCCGGCAACTGAGTTAGGAAGGACTCCTATATATTTGTAGTGACTGGGTGTATTGATACACCATCCAAAGTGTAATTAGTTACTTCACCATGCTCAAAGGGATGTTCAATGTCTGCTTTTCTTTTACCCATCTTGGAAAACCTCCCTGGTCTTTGGTTGAATATGTGTTTTTGAAATTCACTGCTCGACTGAGGGACCTTACAGATAATTGTATGTGTGGGGTACAGAGATGGGGTAGTCATTCAAAAATCATGTTAAACACTATTATTGCATCTTATTATGTGACTTGTTAAGCACAATTTTACTCCTGAACTTATTTAGGCTTGCCATAACAAAAGGGTTGAATACTTATTGACTCAACGTTTCAGCTTTCAATTTTTAATTAATTTGTAAACATTTCGAAAACATCATTCCACTTTGACATTATGGGGTATTTATTGTTCCGCGGGCTGCCAGTTGCCCATCCCTGGTTTAGGCTACAGCCTAACATGTCAGTGTGGTTAGTGTTGCACGGTAAACTGAAACGTTCATCTGTCTGGAACAAGTACCATTCTGTGACTTTGGCTAATATAACTTAATCTTTTTGCTGTGGTGTCTTTCTTGGTATCAAGTATCGTGATGGTATCGTGGTACTAAACCTGGTATCAGTATGGAGGTCAAAAGTTATTGCAGGGCAAGTAATCAATGGATAAGGAGTTCAATGTCCGAATACAGTTCATTGTATTGTAATTGGAAGCCCATGTTACAGTGCATTCAGAAAGTATTCAGACCCTCGACTTATTCCACATTTTGGTAGCCTTATTCTAAAATTGATTAAATTGTTTTTTCCTCTCATCAATCTACACACAATACCCCATAATGACAAAGCAAAACTGGTTTTTTGAAATGTTTGCAGATTTATAAAAAATTAAACACTGAAATATCACATTTACATAAGTATTCAGACCCTTTACTCAGTACATTGTTGAAGCACCTTTGGCAGCGATTACAGCCTCAAGTCAAATCAAAATTTTTTTTGCCAATACAACAGGTGTAGACCTTACAGTGAAATGTTTACTTACAAGCCCTTAACCAACAATGCAGTTTTAAGAAAAGAAAAAACAAGTGTTAAGTAAAAAATAAAAATAGCAAATAATTAAAGAGCAGCAGTAAAATAAAGTAACAGTAGGGAGGCTATATAGAGGGGTACCGGTACAGAGTCAATGTGCGGGGGCACCGGTTAGTTGAGGTAATTGAGGTAATATATACATGTGGGTAGAGTTAAAGTGACTATGCATAGATAATAAACAGAGTAGCCCAGCGGGGGGGTGGCAATGCAAATAGTCTGGGTTGCCATGATTAGCTGTTCAGGGTCTTATGGCTGGGGGTAGAAGCTGTTAAGAAGCCTTTTGGACCTAGACTTGGTGCTCTGGTAGCTTGCCGTGCGGTAGCAGAGAGAACAGTCTATGACTAGGGTGCCCTCTTCCACGACTGTCTTGGTGTGTTTGGACCATGATAATCTCCCTCGATCTGGGGCTCCACGCAAGATCTCACCCGTGGGGTCAAATGATCACAAGAACGGTGAGCAAAAATCCCAGAACCACACAGGGGGACCTAGTGAAAGACCTGCAGAGAGCTGGGACCAAAGTAACAAAGCCTACCATCAGTAACACACTACGCCACCAGGGACTCAAATCCTGCAGTGCAAGACGTGTCCACCTGCTTAAGCCAGTACATGTCCAGGCCCGTCTGAAGTTTGCTAGAGTGCATTTGGATGATCCAGAAGAGGATTGGGAGAATGTCATATGGTCAGATGAAACCAAAATAGAACTTTTTGGTAAAAACTCAACTCGTCGTGTTTGGAGGACAAAGAATGCTGAGTTGCATCCAAAGAACACAATACCTACTGTGAAGCATGGGGGTGGAAACATCATGCTTTGGGGCTGTTTTTCTGCAAAGGGACCAGGACGACTGATCCGTGTGTAAAGGAAAGAATGAATGGGGCCATGTATCGTGAGATTTTGAGTGAAAACCTCCTTCCATCAGCAAGGGCATTGAAGATGAAACGTGGCTGGGTCTTTCAGCATGACAATGATCCCAAACACACCGCCCGGGCAATGAAGGAGTGGCTTCATAAGAAGCATTTCAAGGTCCTGGAGTGGCCTAGCCAGTATCCAGATCTCAACCCCATAGAAAATCTTTGGAGGGAGTTGAAAGTCCGTGTTGCCCAGCGACAGCCCCAAAACGTCACTGCTCTAGAGGAGATCTGCATGGAGGAATGGGCCAAAATACCAGCAACAGTGTGTGAAAACCTTGTGAAGACTTACAGAAAACGTTTGACCTGTGTCATTGCCAACAAAGGGTATATAACAAAGTATTGAGAAACTTTTGTTATTGACCAAATACTTATTTTCCACCATAATTTGCAAATAAATTCATTAAAAATCCTACAATGTGACTTTCTGGATAATTTTTTCTCATTTTGTCTGTCATAGTTGACGTGTACCTATGATGAAAATTACAGGCCTCTCTCATCTTTTTAAGTGGGAGAACTTGCACAATTGGTGGCTGACTAAATACTTTTTTTCCCCACTGTATTTGTAGTGACTGGGTGTATTGATACACCATCCAAAGTGTAATTAGTTACTTCACCATGCTCAAAGGGATGTTCAATGTCTGCTTTTCTTTTACCCATCTTGGAAAACCTCCCTGGTCTTTGGTTGAATATGTGTTTTTGAAATTCACTGCTCGACTGAGGGACCTTACAGATAATTGTATGTGTGGGGTACAGAGATGGGGTAGTCATTCAAAAATCATGTTAAACACTATTATTGCATCTTATTATGTGACTTGTTAAGCACAATTTTACTCCTGAACTTATTTAGGCTTGCCATAACAAAAGGGTTGAATACTTATTGACTCAACGTTTCAGCTTTCAATTTTTAATTAATTTGTAAACATTTCGAAAACATCATTCCACTTTGACATTATGGGGTATTTTATTGTTCCGCGGGCTGCCAGTTGCCCATCCCTGGTTTAGGCTACAGCCTAACATGTCAGTGTGGTTTAGTGTTGCACGGTAAACTGAAACGTTCATCTGTCTGGAACAAGTACCATTCTGTGACTTTGGCTAATATAACTTAATCTTTTTGCTGTGGTGTCTTTCTTGGTATCAAGTATCGTGATGGTATCGTGGTACTAAACCTGGTATCAGTATGGAGGTCAAAAGTTATTGCAGGGCAAGTAATCAATGGATAAGGAGTTCAATGTCCGAATACAGTTCATTGTATTGTAATTGGAAGCCCATGTTACAGTGCATTCAGAAAGTATTCAGACCCCTCGACTTATTCCACATTTTGGTAGCCTTATTCTAAAATTGATTAAATTGTTTTTTCCTCTCATCAATCTACACACAATACCCCATAATGACAAAGCAAAAACTGGTTTTTTGAAATGTTTGCAGATTTATAAAAAATTAAACACTGAAATATCACATTTACATAAGTATTCAGACCCTTTACTCAGTACATTGTTGAAGCACCTTTGGCAGCGATTACAGCCTCAAGTCAAATCAAATTTTATTTGCCAATACAACAGGTGTAGACCTTACAGTGAAATGTTTACTTACAAGCCCTTAACCAACAATGCAGTTTTAAGAAAAGAAAAAACAAGTGTTAAGTAAAAAATAAAAATAGCAAATAATTAAAGAGCAGCAGTAAAATAAAGTAACAGTAGGGAGGCTATATAGAGGGGGTACCGGTACAGAGTCAATGTGCGGGGGCACCGGTTAGTTGAGGTAATTGAGGTAATATATACATGTGGGTAGAGTTAAAGTGACTATGCATAGATAATAAACAGAGTAGCCGCAGCGGGGGGTGGCAATGCAAATAGTCTGGGTTGCCATGATTAGCTGTTCAGGGGTCTTATGGCTTGGGGGTAGAAGCTGTTAAGAAGCCTTTTGGACCTAGACTTGGTGCTCTGGTAGCTTGCCGTGCGGTAGCAGAGAGAACAGTCTATGACTAGGGTGCCCTCTTCCACGACTGTCTTGGTGTGTTTGGACCATGATAATTTGTTGGTGATGTGGACACCAAGGAACTTGAAGCTCTCAACCTGTTCCACTACAGCCCGTCGATGAGAATGGGGGCGAGCTCAGTCTTTTTTTTCCTGTAGTCGACAACACGGGCCCCCGTGTTGAGGATCAGCGTGGCAGATGTGTTGTTACCTACCCTTACTACCTGGGGGCGGCCCGTCAGGAAGTCCAGGATCCTGTTGCAGAGGGAGGTGTTTAGTCCCAGGATCCTTAGCTTAGTGATGAGCTTTGAGGGCACTATGGTGTTGAATGTTGAGCTGTAGTCAATGAATAGCATTCTCACATAAGTGTTTCTCTTGTCCAGGTGGGAAAGGGCAGTGTGGAGTGCAATAGAGATTGCATCATCTGTGGATCTGTTGGGGTGGTATGCAAATTGGAGTGGGTCTAGGGTTTCTGGGATAATGGTGATGATGTGAGACATGACCAGCCTTTCAAAGCACTTCATGACTACAGATGTGAGTGCTACGGGATGGTAGTCATTTAGGCAGGTTACCTTAGTGTTCTTGGGCACAGGGACTATGGTGGACTGCTTGAAACATGTTGGTATTAGAGACTCAGTCAGGGACATGTTGAAAATGTCAGTGAAGACACTTGCCAGTTGGTCAGCGCATGCTCAGAGTACACGTCCTGGTAATCCGTCTGGCCCTGCGGCCTTGTAAATGTTGACCTGCTTAAAAGTCTTACTCACATCGGCTACGGAGAGCGTGATCACATAGTCAGCCGTAACAGCTGAAGCTCTCATGCATGCTTCAGTGTTGCTTGCCTCGAAACGAGCATAGAAGTGGTTTAGCTGGTCTGGTAGGCTTGTGTCACTGGGCAGCTCACGGCTGTTCTTCTCTTTGTAGTATGTAATAGTTTTCAAGCCCTGCCGCATCATAACAGCATCGGAGCCGGTGTAGTACGATTCAATCTTAGTCCTGTTTTGACTCTTTGCCTGTTTGATGGTTCGTCGAAGGGCATAGCGGGATTTCTCATAAGCGTCCGGGTTAGAGTCCCGCTCCTTGAAAGCGGCAGCTCTACCCTTTGGCTAAGTGTGGATGTTGCCTGTAATCCATAGCTTCTGGTTGGGGTATGTACAGTTGGAAGTTTACATACACTTAGGTTGGAGTCATTAAAACTAGTTTTTCAACCACTCCACAAATTTCTTGTTAACAAACTATAGTTTTGGCAAGTCGGTTAGGACATCTACTTTGTGCATGACACAATTACTTTTTCCAACAATTGTTTACAGACAGATTATTTCACTGTATCACAATTCCAGTGGGTCAGAAGTTTACATACACTAAGTTGACTGTGCCTTTAAGCTTGGAAAATTCCAGAAAAGTATGTCATGGCTTTAGAAGCTTCTGATAGGCTAATTGACATAATTTTAGTCAATTGGAGGTGTACCTGTGGATGTATTTCAAGGCCTACCTTCAAACTCAGTGCCTCTTTGCTTGACATCATGGGAAAATCAAAAGAAATCAGCCAAGACCTCAGAAAAAAATGTGTAGACCTCCACAAGTCTGGTTCATCCTTGGGAGCAGTTTCCAAACGCCTGAAGGTACTATGTTCATTTGTACAACAATAGTACGCAAGTATAAACACCATGGGACCACGCAGACGTCATACCGCTCAGGAAGGAGACGCGTTCTGTCACCTAGAGATTAACGTACTTTGGTGCCAAAAGTGCAAATCAATCCCAGAACAACAGCAAAGGACCTTGTGAAGATGCTGGAGGAAACAGGTACAAAAGTATCTATATCCACAGTAAAACGAGTCCTATATCGACATAACCTGAAAGGCCGCTCAGCAAGGAGGAAGCCACTGCTCCAAAACCGCCATAAAAAAGCCAGACTACGGTTTGCAACTGCACATGGGGACAAAGATCTGACTTTTATGAGAAATGTCCTCTGGTCTGATGAAACAAAAATAGAACTGTTTGGCCATAATGACCATCGTTATGTTTGGAGGAAAAATGGGGTAGCTTGCAAGCCGAAGAACACCATCCCAACCGTGAAACACAGGGGTGGCAGCATCATGCTGTGGGGGTGCTTTGCTACAGGAGGGACTGGTGCACTTCACGAAATAGATGGCATCATGAGGAAGGAAAATTATGTGGATATATTATAGCAACATCTCAAGACATCAGTCAGGAAGTGACAGCTTGGTCGGAAATGGCACTTCCAAATGGACAATGACCCCAAGCATACTTCCAAAGTTGTGGCAAAATGGCTTAAGGACAACAAAGTCAAGGTATTGGAGTGGCCATCACAAAGCCCTGACTTCAATCCTATAGAAAATGTGTGAGCAGAACTGAAAAAGCGTGTGCGAGCAAGGAGGCCTACAAACCTGACTCAGTTACACCAGCTCTGTCAGGAGGAATGGGCCAAAATTCCCCCAACTTATTGTGGGAAACTTGTGGAAGGTTACCCGAAACGTTTGACCCAAGTTAAACAATTTAAAGGCAATGCTACCAAATACTAATTGAGTGTATGGAAGGTTCTGATCCACTGGGAATGTGATGAAAGAAATAAAAGCTGAAATAAATCCTTCTCTCTACTATTATTCTGACATTTCACATTCTTAAAATAAAGTGGTGATCCTAACTGACCTAAGACAGGGAATTTTTACTAGGATTAAATGTCAGGAATTGTGAAAAACTGAGTTTTTCACAATTTATTTGCCTAAGGTGTATGTAAACTTCCGACTTCAACTGTACGTACTGTCACTGAGGACGACATCATCGATGCACTTATTGATGAAGCCAGTGAAATGATAAAGCCAGTGACGGATGTGGTGTACTCCTCAATGCTATCGGAAGATTCCCGGAACATATTCCAGTCTGTGCTAGCAAAACAGTCCTGTAGCTTAGCATCTGCGTCATCTGACCACTTCCTTATTAACCGAGTCACTTGTGCTTCCTGCTTTAGTTTTTGCTTATAAGCAGGAATCAGGAGGATAGAGTTATGGTCAGATTTGCCAAATGGAGGACGAGGGAGAGCTTTGTGTGTGGAGTAAAGGTGGTCTAGAGTTTTTTTTTCTCCCTCTGGTTGCACATTTAACATGCTGGTAGAAATGAGTTAGAACAGATTTAAGTTTCCCTGCATTAAAGTCCCCGGCCACTAGGAGCACTGCCTCTGGATGAACGTTTTCCTGTTTACTTATGGCCTTATACAGCTCATTGAGTGCAATCTTAGTGCCAGCATCGGTTTGTGGTGGTAAATAGACAGCTACGAAAAATATAGATGAACACTCTCTTGGTAAATAGTCTTCTTGGGTATGATGCTACAAGCTTGGCACACCTGTATTTGGGGAGTTTCTCCCATTCTTCTATGCAGATCCTTTTAAGCTCTGTCAGGTTGGATGGGGAGCATCACTGCACAGCTATTTTCAGGTCTCTCCAGGTTTGGAGCAGGTTTTCATCAAGGATCTCTCTGTACTTTGCTCCGTTCCCTCGATCCTGACTAGTTTCCCAGTCCCTGCTGCTGAAAAATATCCTCACAGCATGATGCTGCCACCACCATGGTTCACCGTAGGTATGGTGTCAGGTTTCCTCCAGACGTGACGCTTGACATTCAGGCCAAATAGTTCAATCGTGGTTTCATCAGACCAGAGAATCTTGTTTCTCATGGTCTGAGAGTCTTTAGGTGCCTTTTGGCAAACTCCAAGCGGGCTGTCATGTGCCTTTTACTGAGGAGTGACTTCCATCTGGCCACCTGACCAATGTCCTTCTCCCCTCTGATTGCGCAGTTTGGCCGGGCAGCCAGCTCTAGGAAGAGTCTTGCTGGTTACAGACTTCTTCCATTAAAGAATGATGGAGGCCACTGTGTTCTTGGGGACCTTCAATGCTGCAGAAATGTTTTGGCACCCTTCCCCAGATCTGTACCTCGATACAAGCCTGTCTCGGAGCTTTACGGACCATTCCTTCCACCTCATGACTTGGTTTTTGCTCTGACATGCATTGTCAACTGTGGGACCTTTATATACGCAGCTGTGTGCCTCTCCAAATCATGTCCAATCAATTGAATTTACCTCAGGTGGACTCCAATCAAGTTGCAGAAACATCTCAAAGGTGATCAATGGAAACAGGTTGCAGCTGATCTCAATTTCGAGTCTCATAGCAAAAGGTCTGAATACTTATGTAAATATGTTTTTTCTGTTTAATACATTTGCAAAAATGTCTAAACCTGTTTTCTCATTGTCATTATGGGGTATTGTGTGTAGATGTTTTTAAATTTAATCCATTTCAGGATAAGGCTGTAACGTAACAAAATGTGGAAAAAGTCAAGGGGTCTGAATACTTTCCGAAGGTACTGTATATCACATAGTTTTAGATTGCTGGTGACGTTTCTTTAGGTTTTCCTCATTTTGACTTCTTTGTTTTGTGTGTCTTCAGGCTTCCACTGCAGTGTATGACATGGCCACGGCCTCGTCCAGAACAGAGTGTAGCTATAACCACGGACCGACGTCGCAGCTACATGCCGTCGTTGCCTGTGCCAAACTCAAGCGGAAGAAGAGCTTGTTTGGGACGTCCATCTTTGTGGAGGTGACAGCGGAGGGGGAGTCGCGCCGCACGGCCAAGTCCCACAGCTCCTCCAACCCCAAGTGGGATGAGCGGCTCACTCTGTAAGGAAACCTACCTTCTGTGTGTGTGTTCTTAATGTGTGTCATGAGTAGCCCATTTAATCACTTACTGTAGTCTGTTTTGCATGCTCTAGCAACATTGTATTCCTCACTGAATCAAGTTACACTCTTTAGAGTTAGACAGTGGTGGTGTGTTAATTCAGTATGAATCGATTTCGGTAGTGCTTTTTCAATCTAACCTCTGTTAAATTTGTTCGGAACAAACTGTTCTGTACTGGAATAGGAAGACTAGAGGGAGAAGAAATCTAAACACTCGTTTTTAGTAGGAACCAGGCTACACATGAGATGCATTTGTGGTACAACACAAAGAAGATTAGTTTTCTCAAAGGTCTTATTTATCTGTGGGAATCTGGGGGTGTGGATTCATTGGAACACATAGTGGGCTTGTGGGAGAGCTGACTAACGACTAGAAGTCTGAGCAGTCTGAATATCTCTAATACTTAGTCATCCAATCTGGGCAGATTTATAAAAAATATATTTTTTATAATGGCCTACAGTACAATGAAATTACGATGATTGAAAAACCAAAGCAGACATACTGTGTCTTTCCTCTGAACACTCTGTTCCCAAAACGAGCCTGTTATCTTTATTGTTTTATTTCCCATGTTGGTGTGCAGGTTTGAACTGTGCTGAAAATACCCTTCTGTATCTGTTCAGTTGCAACACTAGCAGAGATGCCTGTAACCTAGCAGCTTTTATGGTTCTCTGGCTTTAATGAGTCAAAGCCAAATGTCAGGCTGTGTTCCAAACGACATCTTATCCCATATGAATAGTGCACTAGTTTTGACCAGAGCCCTATGGGCCTGCTCAAAAGTAGTGCACTATTCAGGCAGTAGGGTGCCATTTCAGACTCAGAAACTCGTTAACCAGGCCACTAATTGCCTTGATGGGGTAATTATCTCGGACAAAACAGCCAGGGCTCTGTGTGTTTGTTTTGTTTTTGTGTATGCTTCATGTTATAGGAGTAGCTAGCTAGCTGTCTGAAACTCAACCGTGGCCTGCAAGTCATAGTCCAGTGGTTCTAAAACAAGCTCTATTTTGGTGGCCTCTGGTACATTCTAATGCAAGATTGTATTTTCAACCAGCAACTATCAGGAAATAACACTGATACCTTTTAAGTGTTGGTTTCATCAGCTGTTGTACAGTATGATATAAAACACAGGACAACAATTATTTTGACCCCACTGGGCTTTTTAAAGAATCCTGTAAGAGTCTGCTGACTTAATTTAACTGCAGGTAATTGCCAAAAAAGCCTACCAGTATGCAAATTATGGAGCTAAATGAACAGCTGTCTTAACGATGCAATTCGATAGGCTACTGACGAGTCACTCACTTTAACGTCGCTGTCTTGCAATTCCTGATGGACTTCATATCGAAAATACAAACGACATCTTTAGTTTACTTGTCCCGATACGATACCATGGAGATATAACTACTTTGTATGATTTATGAATGGCAAGGATATATGAGATCGACTTTATTCAGTTAGTTCGACACGTTTGATAAACTAGTCAAGCTTGCTGTTCGTCAATCAAAGCACAGTAAATAGCCTATGCACCACCACTCCGTGGCTGCATATGAAACACGCCATGGTCCAACGTATACTTTTTTTTTTCTCACTGGCCCGGTCGAGCTAGTTGGCTAAAAATCTACTACTCCGAACAGAATTTCTGCTGGCCCGGACATGGTGTAGTTCTTAAATGCATTGGGGTCATGCAGGGCCTATAGGTTTGTATGCTTTCTCTCTTCTAACATATGGAATTGTTTTAAGATGGTCATACCATGGATCATTTAGCTATTTGATATAGAATTTTAGGAACCCTGTAGGTATAAAAAAAATATATATATTAAAAAGTACAGTATGTGTGTGTATATACAAAAGTATGTGGACACCCCTTCAAATTAGTGGATTTGGCTGTTTCAGCCACACATGTTGCTTACAGATGTATAAAATCGAGCACACAGCCATGCAATCTCCATATACAAACATTGGCAGTAGAATGGCCTTACTGAAGAGCTCATTGACTGTCAACGTGGCACAGTCATAGGATGCCACCTTTACAACAAGTCAGTTCGTCAAATTTCTGCCCTGCTAGAGCTGCCCCGGTCAACTGTAAGTGCTGTTATTTACATTTACATGTAAGTAATTTAGCAGACGCTCTTATCCAGAGTGACTTACAAATTGGTGCATTCAACTTAGGATAGCCAATGGGACAACCACATCTTGATCACAGTAAGTACACTTCTTCAAACAAGCAGCTGTGAGCAAAGTCAGTGCAATCAGGGACAACTACGTCTCGATCACAATAAATACATTTCTTTAAACAAGTCAGTGCTAGCAGGTGAAATAAGATGACAAGTGCCTGGATTAGGACCTGTGCCGCTTTCTGTGTAAGGTAGGGTCATACTCTGCGAATGTTGTAGAGCATGAACCTGCAGGATCGGGTCACCGCTTTGATGTTAGCAGAGAACGACAGGGTGTTGTCCAGGGTCACGCCAAGGTTCTTTGCACTCTGGGAGGAGGACACAATGGAGTTGTCAACCGTGATGGCGAGAGTTGTCAACCGTGACCGGAGATGCCCAACTCGGAGGAGGATCTGATGGTTCACAGTATCAAAGGCAGCAGATAGGTCTAGAAGGATAAGAGCAGAGGAGAGAGTGTTCGCTTTGGCAGTGCGGAAAGCCTCCGTGATACAGAGAAGAGCTGTCTCAGTTGAATGACCAGTCTTGAAACCTGACTAGTTAGGATTTAGGCACGCTCGAGTTTTGGAGAGAAAAGAAAGAAGGGATACTGGTCTGTAGTTGTTGACATCAGAGGGGTCGAGTGTAGGTTTTTTGAGGAGGGGTGCAACTCTTGCCCTCTTGAAGATGGAAGGGACATATCCAGCGGTCAAGGATGAGTTTATGAGTGAGGTGAGGTAAGGGAGAAGGTCTCCGGAAATGGTCTGGAGAAGAGAGGAGGGGATAGGGTCAAGCGGGCAGGTTGTTGGGCGGCCGGCCGTCACAAGTCGCAAGATTTCATCTGGAGAGAGAGGGGAGAAAGAAGTCAAAGCAAAGGGTAGGGCAGTGTGAGCAGGACCAGCAGTGTCATTTGACTTAATAAATGAGGATCGGATGTCGTCTACCTTCTTTTCAAAATGGTTGACGAAGTCATCCACAGAGAGGGAGGAGGAGGAGGATTCAGCAGGGAGGAGAAGGTGGCAAAGAGGCAGAGGCTTGACATTTAGAGTGGTAGAAAGTGGCTTTAGCAGCAGAAACAGAGGAAGAAAAAGTAGAGAGGAGGGAGTGAAAAGATGACAGGTCTGCAGGGAGTTTTCCTCCATTTCCGCTCGGCTGCCCGGAGCCCTGTTCTGTGAGCTCGCAATGAGTCGTCAAGCCACGGAGCAGGAGGGGAGGACCGAGCCGGCCGGGAGGATAGGGGACATAGAGAGTCAAAAGATGCAGAAAGGGAGGAGAGGAGGGTCGAGGAGGCAGAATCAGGAGACCGGAGGGAGAAGGATTTAGCAGAGGGAAGAGATGATCGGATGGAAGAGGAGAGAGTAGCGGGAGAGAGAGAGCGAAGGTTGCGACGGCGCATTACCATCTGAGTAGGGGCAGTGTGAGTAGTGTTGGAGGAGAGCAAGAGAGAAAAGGATACAAAGTAGTGGTCGGAGACTTGGAGGGGAGTTGCAGTGAGATTAGTATAAGAACAGCATCTAGTAAAGATGAGGTCAAGCGTATTGCCTGCCTTGTGAGTAGGGGGGGACGGTGAGAGGATGAGGTCAAAAGAGGAAAGGAGTGGAAAGAAGGAGGCAGAGAGAAATGAGTCCAAGGCAGACGTCGGCAGGTTAAAGTCACCCAGAACTGTGAGGGGTGAGCCATCCTCAGGAAAGGAACTTATCAAGGCGTCAAGCTCATTGATGAACTCTCCAAGGGAATCTGGAGGGTGATAAATGGCAAGGATGTTAAGCTTGAATGGGCTAGTGACTGTGACAGCATGGAATTCAAATTAGGAGATAGACAGATGGGTCAGGGGGAAAAGAGAGAATGTCCACTTGGGAGAGATGAGGATTCCTGTGCCACTGCCGCGCTGACCAGATGCTCTTGGAGTATGCGAGAACACATGATCAGACGAGGAAAGAGCAGTAGGAGTAGCAGTGTTTTCTGTGGTAATCCATGTTTCCGTTAGCGCCAAGAAGTCGAGAGACTGGAGGGTAGCATAGGCTGAGATTAACTCTGCCTTGTTGGCCGCAGAACGGCAGTTCCAGAGGCTGCCGGAGACCTGGAACTCCACGTGGGTCGTGCGCGCAGGGACCACCAGATTAGAGTGGTAGCAGCCACGCGGTGTGAAGCGTTTGTATGGCCTGTGCAGAGAGGAGAGAACAGGGATAGACAGACATAGTTGACAGGCTACAGAAAAGGCTACAATAATGCAAAAGAGATCGGAATGAAATTAACTAAACATCTGGGGAAGCGAGAGAGCTGGGCCTCCCTCGACTAACTCCCGCAGAACAACTTGGCAGAACTGTCTTTGTTTCAGGGACAGTCTTCATTTTTGGGGACAGCCGCCGCAGACAGCTGCCGCTGAACAAAGAGGTTGTGCTAATAACACTAAGCTAATTGCCTAGCACAAGTGTAGCCTCTCCCCCTCCTATTGAGTTGTAATCTGCAGAGAACAAAAGAAGTGGCTGGACCTGTGTCCAGTGTGAATGGGTAGCAATCGCTTCTTAAGCAGACTGGGTAGCTTACTAACTATGACAGACAGACAGAACCAACACAGTTTACAAGTTAAAACAATTATACTTACAGAATCAAGCAGGCTCCTTCCAAGACTATTAGTTGTGAAGTAGAAATGTCTAGGAGAAACAACGGCTCAGCCGCGAAGTGGTAGGCCACACAAGCTCACAGAACAGAACGAGTGCTGAAGCGCGTAGTACGTAAAAATCATCTGTCCTCTGTTGCAACACTCACTACTGTGTTTCAAACTGCCTCTGGAAGAAACATCAGCACAAGAACTGTTCTTCGGGAGCTTCATGAAATGGGTTTCCATGGCTAAGCATCCTCACACAAGCCTAAGATCACCATGCACAATACCAAGCGTTGGCTGGAGTGGTGTAAAGCTCGCCACCGTTGGACTCTGAAGCAGTGGAAACGCGTTCTTTGGAGTGATGCATCACGCTTCACCATCTGGCAGTCCGACGGACTAATCTGAGTTTGGCGGATGCCAGGAGAACGCTATCTGCCCGAATAGATAGTGCCAACTGTAAAGTTTGGTGGAGCAGTATTAATGGTAAAAATTTGCTTGGAGGTGGTTTAAACGCCATTTTAATGTCAACTTTGCTCATGGAAAACCGTATCAAGGGAAGTGTTTTACGCATGCTCAGTTCTTGGGTCTCGAAGGCTGCGCGAGTGGAAATGTTAAATGGAAGTTATGGAACTCCTTCACGTGCTTCTGTTATAGGGAAAATGTTATGCGGAAAAGTCCTCAGTGAAACTGCCAATAAATGTGGACAATAATACATTTGCATCTGTTGGACATCAAGTATCCCATTAATTTATCTGCCATTGTAGCCTACCATTTGATAAATATGTTAAAATGGCGATATCACTGGAGTCATTACAAATCAATTTGTGCCATTTGTGTAGCCTAACTGGAGCTGGCAAACGGATTTAATAAATAGCCTATAACTTCAGTTTATTGTTGTAGCCAGAAAATAGCCTAACATTTGTTTTTTGAAGCCACTTTTCAATAAAAGGCACATGACAGCCCACTTGGAGTTTGCCAAAAGGCACCTAAAGACTCTCAGACCATGAGAAACAAGATTTATCTGGTCTGATGAAACCAAGATTGAACTTTTCGGCCTGAATGCCAAGCGTCACGTAAGAAGGAAACCTGGCACCATCCCATACGGTGAAGCATGGTGGTGGCAGCATCATGCTGTGGGGATATTTTTCAGCGGCAGGGACTGGGAGACTAGTCAGGATTGAGGCAAAGATGAATGGCACAAAGTTCAGAGAGATCCTTGATGAAAACCTGCTCCAGAGCGCTCAGGACCTCAGACTGGGGCGAAGGTTCACATTCCAACAGGACAACTACCCTAAGCACACAACCAAGACAACGCAGGAGTGGCTTTGGGACAAGTCTCTGAATGTCCTTGAGTGGCCCAGCCAGAGCCCGGACTTGAACCCGATCGAACATCTCTGGAGAGACCTGAAAATAGCTGTGCTGCAACGCTCCCCATCCAAGCTGACAGAGCTTGAAAGGATCTGCAGAGAAGAACTGGAGAAACTCCCCAAATAAAGGTGTGCAAAGCTTGTAGCGTCATACCCAAGAAGACTCGATACTGTAATCGCTGCCAAAGGTGCTTAAACATAGTACTGAGTAAAGGGTCTGAATACTTATGTAAATGTCATATTTCCGTTTTCTTTAAATTGTATAAATCAGCAAACATTTCTAAAAACCTGTTTTTGCTTTGTCATTATGGGGTATTGTGTGTGTGTGTGTGTGTGTGTAGATTGATGAGGGGAAAAAAACAATTTAATCAATTTTAGAATAAGTTTGTAAGGTAACAAAATGTGGAAAAAGTCAAGGGGTCTGAATGCTTTCCGAAGGCACTGTATATCGGACTGTATACCACAGGTATGACAAACTTTTTACTGTTTTATTACGTTGGTAACCAGTTTTATAATAGCAATAAGGGACCTTGGGGGTTTGTGGTATATGGCTAACACACACACCCAGGTACCGATAGGCCGGACAGACCGCAGACAAACCAGGAGTGATTCTTTTCATCGCTCACTTTGTGACTAACAGTCGCCTGTTCTATCAATAGTGAATTTAAGTGGAAAAAATACCCGGCTAAAAATGAATCTGGAGACAGCCGGCGCTAGTGCAAAACACTGCTGGTATATTGCACTGTATTTTTTGAATGCAGGGAGAGGGCCACCATTTGCATTGGGGTTAAACACACTTGGTTAGCTATCAGCTTTTCCATTATCAAACAGTTTATAGAAGGATTTACAGGGGATGTGTCCCAAATGGCACTCTAGTCCCTATATAGTGCGCTACTTTTGACCAAAAGTAGTGCACTATAAAGCGAATAGGCCAGGGGATTCCATTTGGGGCACAATCTGGGTGTGTCTACCACCTTAACTTTTTGTCTCTCTCTCTCTCTCTCTCGGTCTTTCTCTTTTTTTAGTTTTCTTCCGTCATCTGCCTCTACGCTTTCTGGTCATCTCTATTTTTGTATATTTTCTTAGCTCTTCTCACTCATTCTTCCTCTCTTATCTCTCTCTATCTGTCTCCCTTACTGTCTCTCTTCCTGGTTGCCTGTGTCGTTTCTATAGACCAGGGAAGTTCTTTATTCTGCAGTCAGAGGCAGCCCTCCTCTTTCTCGCTCTCTCTCTGTCTCGCTCTCGGGGGTGGGGGGGGGGACCCCCTGACCGTGTGAGGAATACTAACCGGTCTAATCTGCAGACAGCAGAGAGGGAAGACAGGGGGAGAGTGTGACAAAAGCAAGCATTTGCCAAAGGATCCAGAAATTGTAATTGTCAAGGGAAATGGCCAAAGCGATAGTCCTAGTATCATAGCATGGAGGTGCGATAAAATCTGAGGAAAATCAATGACTAAACACAACTCTTTGAAGTCTTAACAGTGTGACGACAAGACAAGGCTGGCTCCTGAGTCTCCCTTCCCTTCAGATGTTGTGTATGCCACAGACAGACCGCTGAGACCTCTCCCTGTTAAAGCGTGTCCTGTGTGTAGAGCTGATTGGATTAGAGCGCTGTCAGTGGCTGTGCCCAGACGACGGGAGACATGTTCAGATCGATGAGGGAGCCCTTCTAAGGATCGCTGAGAAACATTCATTACCATTATTATCAAATGCTGCAGACTCCTCCAGGTTGTGGCACCTTGCTAGAAGTCACAAAGAAGATCCTTCCTGGCTGGCTGGCTGTCTGTAGCTAGGTTTCCATCCAATTGGCAACAGATTTTCATGCGAATATTCAAAAATTTGCATAAAACAATATGCACATTTTCCACCATGTCGAAAGAACAAATTGTCGACATTTTATAAAAAATTGTCCCAGCATTTCCTGTTTTCGTCAACCTGGTTGTGACTTTTTTCGTGTCGGGTAATTAGTCTGCTTGAAATGGTTAGATGGAAACCTGCTTTTTGTCTGTCTGCCCATTGACTTCAGTGGAGCCACTTACAGTATAATCAGTGGGGTAACAGGACCTACATCATTGCATTTTGTCATGGGGATATTGTGACTGTCTAATGTATGCTGTGCATCCTGTATAGCATATCAGCACTGAATGCACTGTAATGGTGCTGGTAGTTTATTTCTACATCAGAAGAATTGGATAAAGAAGCCACCAGTTAGTTGTTGTAAGATACGATAAGAAAAACATGTTTGCCCCCAAGGGGAAAATTGGCTTGGACACACAGTACTGCTTTATAAGAAATGAACACTGTTGTATAGTCTTCAGGTGTCCATGTCACTTGCTGTGTTGTGTGTGTTCGCATGTGCATGCGATATAGTCTGACCGCTGTGCTGTGTTGCAGAAATGTCTGGCCACACACGCAGGTGGACTTTAAGGTGTGGAGTCACCACACCCTGAAGGCTGATGCTCTGCTGGGGAAAGCCACTCTGGACCTCCTCCAGGCCTTGGAGCAGCACGACAGGAAATGTACGTAGTTGGCAGCCCGCCTCATCTCTTATTCCTCCTTATGTTCTAACCTTGACAAGAACAATGTCAATAGGCAACAAACTAAACAGGATATCAGCTCCGATATTATTGCCCCAGAAAGAGTATGTTCTTACTCTTCAGGATTAACTGCAGTATGCCATTGTGTTGTTAGACACAGTATTCTACAGTAAAAGGTTTAGAAAGAATGTTGTTACAGTATTTGGGGCCCTACTTGAAAGTATCAGACATTTCTTGCTAATGAGTAAGTGTCACTAATAGCTGTGTTCTCTTCCACCCTCTCTCCTGTCTCTGCCCTGTCCCCCTGTCTCCTCCTGTCCCCTGGCCTCTGTCTCTGTCATGCCCGGTCTCCTCCTCCCCTGTCCCCTGTCTCTGCCCTGTCTCCTCCTCTCCCCTGTCTCTGCCATGCCCTGTCCCCTGTCTCTGCCATGCCCTGTCCCCTGTCTCTGCCATGCCCTGTCCCCTGTCTCTGCCATGCCCTGTCCCCTGTCTCTGCCATGCCCTGTCCCCTGTCTCTGCCATGCCCTGTCCCCTGTCTCTGCCATCCCCTGTCCCCTGTCTCTGCCATCCCCTGTCCCCTGTCCCCTGTCTCTGCCATCCCCTGTCCCCCTGTCTCCTCCTCTCCCCTGTCCCCTGTCTCTGCCATCCCCTGTCCCCCTCCTCTGTCCTCTCACATCTCTGTCGTCCCCTGTCTCTCTCCTCTCCCCTGTCTCTGCCATGCCCTGTCCCCCTGTATCCTCCTCTCTCCTGTCTCCCCTCCCTCCTCCCCAGTGGAGAATGTGAAGGAGGTGTTGAAGCTGGTGCTGGACCATAAGGGGGCTGTGGTTGCTACGGGAGAGTTGACTGTGTTCCTGGACGGTCTGACCGTCAACCAGGAACAGCTGCACAACGGCAACGCTGCCACCTCTACCAGTGAGTACCGCTCTGTGTGTGTGTCGTCTGTCTGTTTTAGTATGCGTGTGGCTTGTCACCATTTCTCTGTATGTGGATTTATCTATAGTGAATTCAGCAAAAAAAGAAACGTCCTCTCACTGTCAACTGCGTTTATTTTCAGCAAACTTAACATGTGTAAAGATTTGTATGAACATAACAAGACTCAACAACTGAGACATAAACTGAACAAGTTCCACAGACATGTGACTAACAGAAATTGAATAATGGGTCCCTGAACAAAGGGGGGGGGGGTCAAAATCAAAAGTAACAGTCAGTATCAGGTGTGGCCACCAGTTGCATTGCAGGACTGCAGTTCATCTCCTCCTCATGGACTGCACCAGATTTGCCAGTTCTTGCTGTGAGATGTTACCCCACTCTTCCACCAAGGCACCTGCAAGTTCCCGGACATTTCTGGGGGGAATGGCCCTAGCCCTCACCCTCCGATCCAACAGGTCCCAGACGTGCTCAATGGGATTGAGATCCGGGCTCTTCGCTGGCCATGGCAGAACACTGACATTCCTTTCTTGCAGGAAATCCCGCACAGAACGAGCAGTATGGCTGGTGGCATTGTCATGCTGGAGGATCATGTCAGGATGAGCCTGCAGGAAGGGTACCACATGAGGGAGGAGGATGTCTTCCCTGTAAAGCACAGCGTTGAGATTGCCTGCAATGACAACAAGCTCAGTCCGATGATGCTGTGACACACCGCCCCAGACCATGACGGATCCTCCACCTCCAAATCGGCCTCGGTGTAACGCTCATTCCTTCGATGATAAACGCGAATCCGACCATCACCCCTGGTGAGACAAAACCACGACTCGTCAGTGAAGAGCACTTTTTGCCAGTCCTGTCTGGCCCAGCAATGGTGGGTTTGTGCCCATAGGCGACGTTGTTGCCGGTGATGTCTGGTGAGGACCTGCCTTACAACCTCAGTCCAGCCTCTCTCAGCCTATTGCGGACTGTCTTAGCACTGATGGAGGGATTGTGCGTTCCTGGTGTAACGAGGAATCCTGTACCTGTCCCACAGGTGTGATGTTCGGATGTACCGATCCTGTGCAGGTGTTGTTACATGTGGTCTGCCACTGCGAGGACGATCAGCTGTCCGTCCTGTCTCCCTGTAGCGCTGTCTTAGGCGTCTCACAGTACGGACATTGCAATTCATTGCCCTGGCCACATCTGCAGTCCTCATGCCTCCTTGCAGCATGCCTAAGGCACGTTCATGCAGATGAGCAGGGACCCTGGGCATCTTTCTTTTGGTGTTTTTCCAGAGTCAGTAGAAAGGCCTCTTTAGTGTCCTAAGTTTTCATAACTGTGACCTTAATTGCCTACCGTCTGTAAGCTGTTAGTTTCTTAACAACCGTTCCACAGGTGCATGTTCTTCAATTGTTTATGGTTCATTGAACAAGCATGGGAAACAGTGTTTAAACCCTTTACAATGAAGATCTGTGAAGTTATTTGGATTTTTGCGAATTATCTTTGAAAGACAGGGTCCTGAAAAAGGGACATTTCTTTTTTTGCTGAGTTTATGTATGCATGTTTAGATTGTTAGTTGTAGAATACTGTTTAGGATAACAGTGCCGTCTCCTCCCTTTCAGAAGTCCAGCAGAACGGCGATGCCATTCATGAAAATGGAGGGGACACCCCATCAAGGGCTCCCAACAGGTAAGAGAGAAACTCCTGGCAGAAAACCATGTTGTGAATGAATGGGCACTGAGCTAGTCTTGAGATTACGTGATATGGTCAGCAGAGACGCATGGTTTGGTTTAGATGGCTGCGGAAAGATAATTTTGATCAGCAGAAAATGTGATGCCGCTCATATTCAAGAAAACCATAAACCAATGCTGAAAGGCAATGCAGTTTTCTCAAGCCACACACACACACACACACACAGAGAGCCGATTTTCCTGCCTTAGGTCATTGTATTTGTCTGGCTCTTGGAGCGTTCTCTGAAGGCAGGGTTATTAGAACTCTCACCTTGTAATTTAACAGAGCTCCGACGGCTGCACATGTTCTGTCTGTCCCTCTGTCTCCCTCTGTCCCTAAATCAGGACAGCTTACATGCAGGCCTAGCCACACAACCCTGATCTTTATTATCTCGCTCACACTGTAAAAGTGCAGTTAACAGGACTATAATGGGTTTTATTAGAATCCACAAAAAGTGACTGTTGGCAATTTATTCACAGACAGAGGTGAAGGAGATGGCAGACAGACTTCATCTGCATTGCAGTTACTGCTGCGTCCACCCTGTGATGACAGCAAACACTGCCTTTGCACTTGCTTTGTCCTCTCGGTCTCTCTCTCTCGGTCTCTCTCTCAATTCAATTCAATTTAAGGGCTTTATTGGCATGGGAAACGTATGTTAACATTGCCAAAGCAAATGAAGTCGATAGTAAACAAAAGTGAAATAAACATTAAATATTAACAGTAAACATTACACGGTCTCTCTGTCTCTCTCTCTCGGTCTCCCCCCTTTCGCTCTCTCTCCCTCTCTCTGTTTATCCACTAAGAGTGAGGAAGACACTTCCTGTAGCCCCAGTGCCCCTGCTCCCAGCTGTTAAAACACTTCCACTGTCCCGCTAGGCCCGACTGTCACAGTATACACAACCTACTGTGGATAGTGTGCGTGAGTCCGCCCACCTCCAGCAAAAACACTGCCCAGACTCTGATTGTGTTAGTGGTGGGTTTTGGTTGTCCACATTGTGGCACAATATATTGTATGTGCATGTAGGCTAGTTACGTCTGTCCCTGGAACGTTTCTGTCTGGTCTGTGGCAGTGAGTGCAGAGACAAAACCTTGTGGACACACACAAAGGCTCTCCTTCAGTCTTGCCTGTTTCATCACCATAGCACCCTGCCCCCTCCTCCCTCTCTCCTCGTCCTCTGCCCTGCATGACAATAGTCTCAATGTCACAAAGCATTGCCTCTTCTCAGACCAAGGACTGCGTCACTAGTGCCCCGTACAGAACAGGACATACGCAGAGTGGAGCACCCAGGCTCCCTTTACTTCCACTCTGAAAGACGCACATCACAAGTCCTTCCCTCACACACAGACGCAAGCACGCACGCACACTCACATACCCTCTGTACTCTGTGAAGTGCCTCAGAAGCGTTGATACAGAGGAAATGGAGTTGGCTGCATGTGCGTGGCCTGCCTGAAAAACAGGAAGAGGGTTAGTGGAGGTAATAAAGTTTCTGCTTGCTGAGATACTGTGGTGGTGCTGTTCTGTGTCAGCCTGGCCAGAAAACAGATGTATACATTTTAGAACACACAAAGACTCAAAACACCATGCACGCGCACACACTAGTCTACAGAGAGTGTTGTCAGGCACGCTCCATCATTAGTAGTGCTTTCAGACAGTGATTTCGTCACCCCCATTGTGTTGTGGGAAGACGCGGGCGGTCTCAGGTTGGTTTGTATAGACGAGGGGCCTCCTTCTGACAGATGATGGGGAGTCTAGCCTACTGCCCCTATGTTTAACCCCACCATCACATAGGATCTGTCTCTGCACAAGTGGATGATGAACCTTATTTGCCATGTCCTATTTGTAGGGCTGGGCTATATGGACAAATATCATATCATGTCACGTTTTACGGTATTTAATGTTTCGATAATAAAAGTTATAAATATGCTTTGAGTAGTTCATGACCCTAGGGTGGCAACACATACATGATAAGTGATTTCAATGGGGCCGTCTCCATTTATACTGTTCAATCCAACTCCAAACAAAAATAGTCAGCATTTTCATACATTTTTGCATTTCCTGCACTTTTATTATAATTTAGACACTGTGCCACGCAGTATGATATGGGCTAGCCAGCTAACTAGCGATTAGCATTAGCGGCTAACACTAATTATTTTAGCAACACCTTGCTAAGAAAAGACAAACTAGTAAGCAAAAACGAAAGCAGGAAGCACCAGTGACTCGGTTAATAAGGAAGTGGTCAGATGACGCAGATGCTAAGCTACAGGACTGTTTTGCTAGCACAGACTGGAATATGTTCCGGGGTTCTTCCGATGGCATTGAGGAGTAGACCACATCAGTCACTAGCTTCATCAATAAGTGCATCGATGACATCGTCCCCACAGTGACCGTACGTACATACCCCAACCAGAAGCCATGGATTACAGGCAACATCCGCACTGAGCTAAAGGGTAGAACTGCCGCTTTCAAGAAGCGGGACTCTAACCCGGACGCTTATAAGAAATCCCGCTCTGCCCTCCGATGAACCATCAAACAGGCAAAGTGTCAATACAGGACTAAGATTGAATCGTACTACACCGGCTCTGATGCTCGTCGGATGTGGCAGGGCAAACTATTACAGACTACAAAGGGAAGCACAGCCGCGAGCTGCCCAGTGACACGAGCCTACCAGACCAGCTATATCACTTCTCGCTTCGAGGCAAGCAACACTGAAGCATGCATGAGAGCATCAGCTGTTCCAGATGACTGTGATCACGCTCTCTGTAGCCGATGTAAGACTTTTAAGCAGGTCAACATTCACAAGGCCGCAGGGCCAGACAGATTACCAGAACGTGTACTCTGAGCATGCGCTGACCAACTGGCAAGTGTCTTCACTGATATTTTCAACATGTCCCTGACTGAGTCTGTTATACCAACATATTTCAAGCAGACCGCCATAGTCCCTGTGCCCAAGAACACTAAGGAAACCTTCCTAAATGTCTACCGTCCTGTAGCACTCACGTCTGTAGCTATGAAGTTCTTTGAAAGGCTGGTTATGGCTCACGTCAACACCATTGTCCCAGAAACCCAAGACCTACTCCAATTTGCATACCGCCCCAACAGATCCACAGATGATGCAATCTCTATTGCACTCCACACTGCCCTTTCCCACCTGGACAAGAGGAACACCTACGTGAGAATGCCATGCATTTACTACAGCTCAGCGTTCAACACCATAGTGCCCTCAAAGCTCAGGACTCTTGGACTAAACACCTCCCTCTGCAAATGCATCCTGGACTTCCTGACGGGCCGCCCCCAGGTGGTAAGGGTAGGTAACAACACATCTGCCACGCTGATCCTCAACACGGTGGCCCCTCAGGGTTGCATGCTCAGTCCCCTCCTGTACTCCCTGTTCACCCATGACTGCATGGCCAGGCACGACTCCAACACCATCAATACGTTTGCCGACGACACAACAGTGGTAGGCCTGATCACCGACAACAATGAGACAGCCTATAGGGAGGAGGTCAGAGACCTGGCCGTGTGGTGCCAGGATAACAACCTCTCCCTCAACGTGATCAAGACAAAGGAGATGATTGTGGACTACAGGACAAAAAAGAGGACTGAGCACGCCCCCATTCTCATCGACAGGGCTGTAGTGGAACAGGTTGAGAGCTTCAAGTTCCTTGGTGTCCACATCACCAACAAACGATCATGGTCCAAACACACCAAGACAGTCATGAAGAGGTCACGACAAAGCCTATTCCCCCTCAGGAGACTGAAAAGATTTGGCATGGGTCCTCAGATCCTCAAAAAGGTCTACAGCTGCACCATCGAGAGCATCCTGACTGGTTGCATCACCGCCTGGTATGGCAACTGCTCGGCCTCCGACCGCAAGGCACTACAGAGGGTATTGCGTACTGCCCAGTACATCACTGGGGCCGAGGTTCCTGCCATCCAGGACCTCTATACCAGGCAGTGTCAGAGGAAGGCCCTAAAAATTGTCAAAGACTCCAGCCACATGTACATATTACCTAAATTACCTTGACTAACCGGTTCCCCCGCACATTGACTCTCTACCGGTACCCGCTGTATATAGGCTCCCTACTTTTATTTTATTTTACTGCTGCTCTTTATTTATTTTAATTTTTTTACTTAAAACTGCATTGTTGGTTAAGGGCTTGTAAGTAAGCATTTCACTAAGGTCTACACATGTTGTATTCGGCGCATGTGGTAAATAACATTTGATTTGATTTATTTCCTCTTTTTTTTTTTTTTGCACAAATGTCTTAAAACCAGTTTTTGTTTCATCATTATGGGGTATTGTGTTTAGATTGAGGCAAAAATCAATTTTAGAATAAGGCTGTAACGTAACAAAATGTGGAAAAACTCAAGGGGTCTAAATACTTTCCGCGTACACTGTGTATGTTACCTTAATGTCAAATATGTTTTCCACATGCACAGATTACAATTGTAAACTTCTCCTCCTACAGCTCAGTGAATGGTACGGGGTGTGCTCCCAGTTATAACGGGGTGGACAGTGAGGGTCCCTCCACCTCCTCCGCCCACAGCGACTCCAGCCCCGGCCCCACCCCTGTTGTCAACGGCGATGCAGCATCCTCCCTGACCCACCAGACGGCCAGCCCCAAGCCCACACCCAACCCCGCCCCCACCGACAGTGATGTAGCCAATAGGACTGGTGAGAAAACAGCTCATTTGAATATTGAAGTTGGGATTGTACAGTTAATTATTTTTCTACCTATGGTTTAGGTTTACTCACCCACATGTCAGGCTGAGAAAAACAGGTGTTGTCACTAAGGTCACTGTTGTTGTAGTAAGACTATAAAAAAGCATGCTTAATAGAGATTCTCCATTGAAAGTGCTTTTTAGTCTAAGACTAGGCTTAACCTATGTAAAGGAAACTGTCCCTTATTGATTTTGATAGATATCCTTCAAATTCTCAAAAAATCCAAACATAACTATATGGGTCGTTCCACAAAATGAGTTCCTTTTGGGTAGTGTAACTTGGTGAAAATAAACTTTATTTCACAGAATTGTAACATTGTCATTAACTTAATAAAAAACATGTTATCCCATCTCAAGAGGTTAAAGAAAAAATTGCTATAGTTAGTACCTATTAAGTGCCAAATAAAGTAGGCCGTGGCTGCAGATCTTAGTTTTTTGGGAAGCTTCTGCGGATCATGTTCTGCGCATGTGTACAGTCGTGGTCAAAAGTTTTGAGAATGACACAAGTATTGGTCTTCACAAAGTTTGCTGCTTCAGTGTTATGATATATTTTTGTCAGATGTTACTATGGTATACTGAAGTATAATTACAAGCATTCCATAAGTGTCAAAGGCTTTTATTGACAATTACATTTAGTTTATGCAAAGACTCAATATTTGCAGTGTTGACCCTTCTTTTTCAAGACCTCTGCAATCCGCCCTGGCATGCTGTCAATTAACTTCTGGGCCACATCCTGACTGATGGCAGCCCATTCTTGCATAATCAATGCTTGGAGTTTGGCAGAATTTGTGGGTTTTTGTTTGTCCACCCGCCTCTTGAGGATCGACCACAAGTTCTCAATGGGATTAAGGTCTGGGGAGTTTCCTGACCATGGACCCAAAATGTCGATGTTTTGTTCCCTGAGCCACTTAGTTATCACTTTTGCCTTATGGCAAGGTGGTCCATCATGCTGGAAAAGGCATTGGTCCTCACCAAACTGTTCTTGGATGGTTGGGAGAAGTTGCTCTCGGAGAATGTGTTGGTACCATTCTTTATTCATAGCTGTGTTCTTAGGCAAAATTGTGAGTGAGCCCACTCCCTTGGCTGAGAAGCAACCCCACACATGAATGGTCTCAGGATGCTTTACTGTTGGCATGACACAGGACTGATGGTAGCGCTCACCTTGTCTTCTCTGGACAAGGTGTTTTCCGGATGCCCCAAACAATCGGAAAGGGGATTCATCAGAGAAAATGACTTTACCCCAGTCCTCAGCAGTCCAATCGATGTACCTCCGACGGACTAAAGATCCCGAAATGGTCAGATCAGCAGCCACTCCAAATAAAGTAACAGGGTTGACGATTTCATCTTAAATCAATAAAATCCCCTTGTGACAGGAGGAATTGAAGCTTGCTGTGTGCAACAAGGAGGGGCAATTGAATGCAAGCTTCACAAAAAATAGAAATGTTTCTAGCCTATGGGTAACAGGGTTGATTTGCATACCGCCCCAATAGATCCACAGACGATTTAATTGCCATCTCCATCGCACTGCACACTGCCCTATCCCATCTGGACAAGAGGAATACCTATGTAAGAATGCTGTTCATTGACTAAAGCTCAGCCTACAACACCATAGTACCCTCCAAGCTCATCATTAAGCTCGGGCCCTGGGTCTGAACCCCGCCCTGTGCAACTAAGTCCTGGACTTGCTGACGGGCCTCCCCCAGGTGGTGAAGGTAGGAAACAACACCACCACTACGCTGATCCTCAACACAGGGGCCCCACAAGGGTGCACGCTCAGCCCCCTCCTGTACGTCCTGTTCACCCATGACTGCGTGGCCATGCACGCCTCCAACTCAATCATCAAGTTTGCAGATGGCGCAACAGTAGTAGGCTTGATTACCAACAATGACGAGAGCCTACAGGGAGGAGGTGAGGGCCCTGGTGGAGTAGTGCCAGGAAAATGTCTTCATCAACATAACGAAGGCGCTGATCATGGACTTCAGGAGACAGCAGAGCAAGCACGCCCCCATCCACATCGACAGGACCGCAGTGGAGAAGGTGAAAAGCTCGGCATACACGTCAATGACAATCTGAAATGGTCTACCAACACAGACAGTGTGGTGAAGAAGGCTCAACAGCGCCTCTTCAACCTCAGGGCTGAATACATTTTGCTTGGCCCCCAAGACCCTCTCAAACTTTTACAGATGCGCAATTGAGAGCATCCTGTCGGGCTGTATCACCGCCTGGTACGGCAACTGCACCACCCGCAACCGCAGGGCTCTCCAGAGGGTGATGCGGTCTGCCCAACGCATCATCGGGGTCACACTGCCTGCCCTCCAGGACACCTACAGCACCCGATGTCACAGGAAGGCCAAAAAGATCATCAAGGACATCAACCACCTGAGCCACGGCCTGTTCACCCCGATATCATTCATAAGGCGGGATCAGTACAGGTGCATCAAAGCTGGGACCGAGAGACTGAAAAACAGCTTTTCTCAAGGCCGTCAGACTGTTAAATAGCCATCACTAGCCGGCTACCACCCGGTTACTCAACCCTGCACCTTAGAGGCTGCTGCCCTATGTACATAGACATGGAATCACTGGTCGCTTTAATAATGGAACACTAGTCACTTTAATAATGTTTACATACTGTTTTACTAATTTCATATGTACAGTGGCTTGTGAAAGTATTCACCCCCCTTGGCATTTTTCCTATTTTGTTGCCTTACAACCTGGAATTAAAATGGATTTTTTGGGGGTTTGTATAATTTGATTTACACAACATGCCTACCACTTTCAAGATGCAAAAAAAACAGAAAACTTGAGCATGCTTAACTCTATATTTTTTTTATAACCCAACCCTGATCTGTACTTCTCCACAACTTTGTTCCTGACCTGTTTGGAGAGCTCCTTGGTCTTCATGGTGCCGCTTGCTTGGTGGTGCCCGTTGCTTAGTGGTGTTGCAGACTCTTGGGCCTTTCAGAACAGGTGTATATATACTGAGATCATGTGACAGATCATGTGACAGTTAGATTGCACACATGTGGACTTTATTTAACTAATTATGTGACTTCTGAAGGTAATTGGTTGCACCACATCTTATTTAGGGTCTTCATAGAAAAGGGGGTGAATACATATGCACGCACCACTTTTCCATTATTTATTTTTCAGAATAAATGTGGACTATTTTGTGTATGTCCATTACATGAAATCCCAATAAAATCCATTTAAATTACAGGTTGTAATGCAACAAAATAGGAAAAACGCCAAGGGGGATGAATACTTTTGCAAGGCACTGTATATACTGTATTCTACTGTATTCTAGTCAGTGCCACTCTGACATTGCTTGTCCTAATATTTATATATTTCTTAATTCGATTCTTTTACTTTTAGATGTGTGTGTATTGTTGCGAATTGTTAGATACTACTGCACTGTTGGTGCTAGGAACACAAGCATTTTGCCAAACCCGCAATAATGTGCTAAATATGTGTATGTGACCAATAAAATGTGATTTGATTTGACGTTATGCTCGACCGCACATTTTTACTCATCAAAAGAGCAGAAATTTGCCAAAAAGAGGAGAACCATCTCACCTGCTTTTACACAATGATTTAACACAACGTTTCTCTAGGAAAAAATATTGAAAAAGGAAAAGTTTCACCATATTAAAGCGAGAGTTCACGTAACAGGGTTGACCTTAAAATGAGGGACTATTTTTTTAACCTTAAAATGAATCACTAAAAATCACATGAAATAAATATTAATCTCCAGAAAGCAACAAAATAAGGCTTTACAATGATGGTGAAAACTTAACATCTTCCTAGAAGTCATAGTGTGCACAGTGGGACATGCCAAAATGCAGAATTTTGGCACTTTAGCAAGTCTTTATTCATATTAAATGTCCTGATGTTTGCAGTTTTTTGTAGCTGAGCTGCTGCAGAGTTAATTTCCCTGCTGTTTTATTATAGCCTGGTCATGGTTGAGTTGATCCAAGGGAACAGAACGGATTCATTTTCATTTCAATCCCTCTCTGCTGCTGTCCTGTCAGCACCTCTGTCTTTAAGAAAGCCCTTAGGAGAGATCAGCCAGACACCGAGGAGAGCATTGAGCAAGCAACAATAGTTAGGCAAGACTGCTAAGTGGAGAGGGGGAATATGGTTAGCTAGGCTCTCAGAATGGTTGGAGTAAGGTTAGAACCATAGTAAGGTAGGTAATTGGAATCATTGTTTAACCCCCTAGAGTCGATGTCCACGCCCCGCTGTCCATCAGTTTAAGCTAGCGATATGTTTTTTTTGCATGGGCTGCATCTCAATCACCGCTTCCGCCAATGTCGCCCTTCCGCATGCATCTGCAGTGAAAGGTGGCAGAGCTAGAGCGGTGTTTGTCAGTCTGTAGCGTCCGAACGGTTTGGCCTACAAACTACACTACTTCATGAGCTGAAGTAAAAGATCCCAGAAATGTTCCCATAAGCACAAAAAGCTTATTTCTATCCAATTTTGTGCACATCCCTGTTAGAGAGAATTTCTCATTTGACAAGATAATCCATCCACCTGACAGGTGTGGCATATCAAGAAGCTGATTAAAACAGCATGATCATTACACTGGTGCACCTTGTGCCGTTGACAATAAAAGGCCACTCAAATGTGCAGTTTTGTCACACAACACAATGCCACAGATGTCTCAAGTTTTGTGGGAGCGTGCAATTGGCATGCTGACTGCAGGAATGTCGACCAGAGTTGTTGCCGGTGAATTTAATGTTAATTTCGCTACCATAAGCCACCTTCAATGTCGTTTTAGAGAATTTGGCAGTACGTCCAACCGGCCTCACAACCGCAGACCACGTGTATGGCATCGTGTGGGTGAACGGTTTGCTGATGTCAATGTGAACCGAGTGCCCCATGGTGGCGGTGGGGTTATGGTATGGGCAGGCATAGGCCACGGACAACAAACCCAATTTGCATTTTATCGATGGCAATTTGAATGCACAAAAATACCGTGACTAGATCCTGAGGCCCATTTTGTTTAAGGTATCTGTGTCCAACAGATGCGTATCTGTATTCAAAGTCGTGAAATCCATAGATTAGGGTCTAATGAAGAATAATAATAATAATATGCCATTTAGCAGGCGCTTTTATCCAAAGCGACTTACAGTCATGCGTGCATACATTTTTGTGTATGGGTGGTCCCGGGGATCGAACCCACTACCTTGGCGTTACAAGCGCCGTGCTCTACCAGCTGAGCTACAGAGGACCACTGAATGTATTTCAATTGACTGATTTCCTCATATGAACTGTAACTCAATGAAATTGTAGCATGTTGCATTTATATTTTTGTTCAGTATAGATCTTCTTGAGTTACAGTTTTGTGTAGAAGTAGCCTACAGTGTTGTTTCTTCTTCGTTGTGCTCTACGACCCCCACAATCGTCATGGGACTCGTCTGAAGTCTGTACAGCCGATCTGCCAACTTCTGTCTGTAGTGTCCAAACTGTTTTGGCTACACACTAATAAGTCTCTCACGAACACGTACATGTCGGTTGTTTTGCTCTAGGACGCCCACAAGCCTCACAAGACTAGTCTGAAGGGAGCCCAAAGTATATGGAAGTATATATGGAAATAGTTTAGTGCCTAAAATAAGGGGTTAAATACATGTAAAAAATTAAAATAGTTTCCAGATCTTTCTTATATCTCTCAGAAATAGGACAGACACTTCAGAACAAACTACATTTAGTCCCAAAAAATCTATCTGTTTTTCCATGTATGAAGCTGTTATTCAATCCGTTTCTATGGGCTAATAGCCGTAAGGCCAAATTCAATGTTTCATCAAATATTATTTTGTAAGTATTTTTTTGATACCTTAAGAAACACTGTTGTCAAATTGTCATACTTTCCCCTTTCTCTTGCTCTTTTTCACACTCCTTTTCAATTGTGTCCTTTCCCTCTGTACTTCTAGTTAAAAGTGAGTCCTCTGCTGCTGCTCCTGCCCCCTCCACATCCACAGATGAGACCCTGCCCCCTGCAGATGGCCCTGAGGTCTGCAGCGAAGCCACCACCACCTCTGCTTCCACCTCTGAACCTGTCCCAGCCACCGACCCAGGCTCCACTTCCACCCCTGGTCCCTCTCCCCCTCAACCCACCACAGAGGCTCCCTCCACTGAGCATGACAGTGCTGCTGCTCCCCCCTTCTCCTCCTCAGCCCCAGCCTCAGGCCAGGCAGCCCCAGCCGCCTCCACCCCCACTGCGGAGGCAGCAGGGGGCTCCAGTGGGGCAGAAGCAGACGACGCCAAGCCCAGACAACAGGCCCCCAACGCTGGCACTTCAGACCCCCTGCCCCCTGGGTAAGTGACGTCTCACTGGACTTTTAACTGTGTGTTTCTGCTGGCTGTATCTGTGTCAGATGTGTTCAATATCTGTGTTTCTGTGTTGTAATCCTGTGTTGTGACCCTGTGTATTCCTCTGCAGGTGGGAGCAGAGGAAGGATCCCCATGGAAGAACCTACTATGTGGATCACAACACCAAAACCACAACATGGGAGAGACCACAGCCCCTCCCGCCGGGGTCAGTAAGATGACTATTTGCACTGTGTTGACTTTAACACAATGTCAGCATGTTACCAGGATCTGCTCTTTGCCATCTCTGTTATCGTCGATCCCTTAGAGTAGGATTTATTGGTTTTCTCTCTCGCTCTCCCTCTCTCTCCCTTTCCGCTCTTTCTTTCTCTACCTCTATTTGTCTTTCTCCATCCGTAAAAAGTCGCTTCTAAATGGCATATAATAATACATATATTCTCTCTCTCTCTCTGTCTCTCTCTGTCTCTGTCTCTCTCTCTCTCTCTCTCTCACACACACAGTTGGGAAAGGCGTGTGGATGACAGGGGCAGGATCTACTATGTGGACCACAACACCAGAACCACCACGTGGCAGAGGCCCACCATGGAGTCAGTGCGTAATTTTGAGGCATGGCAGTCCCAGCGCAGCCAGCTCCAGGGGGCTATGCACCAGTTCAACCAGAGATACCTCTACTCGGTAGGGACCTCCTCTTTCTCCTGCCCCGAACAACCAATCCTTGGCTATGTCAGAGAATGTGGCTGTTAGGAAATATTACAGTGCCTTCAGAAAGTATTCACACCCCTTTACTTTTTCCACATTTTGTTGTGTTACAAAGTGGGATTAAATGTCAGTGGAAGAACAATTCTAACATTTGTAAAAAAATAAAATAAAAAAAAAACACTAATAGATCTTGATTTAGATAAGTATTCAAACCCCTGAGTCAATATATTAGAATCACCTTTGGCAGCGGTTACAGCTATGAGTCTTTCTGGGTAAGTCTTTAAGAGCTTTGCACACCTGGATTGTACAATATTTGCACATTATTATTTTAAAACTTCTTCAAGCTCTGTCAAGTTGGTTGTTGGCCATTGCTAGACAGCCATTTTCAAGTCTTGCCATAGATTTTAAATCCAAATTTAAGTCAACTGTAACTAGGCCACTCAGGAACATTCAATGTTGTCTTGGTAAGCAACTTCTGTGTACACTGAGTGTACAAAACATTAGGAACACGTCTTATACACTCAGTGGCCCATGTTGACTCCAATGCTTCTCACAGTTATGTCAAGTTGGCTGGATGTCCTTTGGGGGGTGGACCATTCTTAATACACACGGGAAACTGTTGTGTGAAAAACCCAGCAGCGTTGCAGTTCTTGACATACTCAAACCAGTGCGCCTGGCACCTACTACCATACCCTGTTCAAAGGCACTTAAATATTTTGTCTTGTCCATTCACCCTCGGGATGGCACACGTACACAATCCATGTCTGAATTGTCACTGATTGAAGTGGATTTAACAAGTGACATCAATAAGGGATAATAGCTTTTACCTAGATTCACCTGGTCTGTCTGTCATGAAAAAACTATGTTATGTACACTCAGTGTCTGTTGAAAAGCAAACTGAACCAGGTTTTCCTCTAGGATTTTGCCTGTGCTTAGCTTTATTCAATGTATTCTTATCATAAAAACTCCTTAGTCCTTGCAGATGACAAGCATACCCATAACATGATGCAGCCACAACCATGCTTGAAAATATGAAGAGTGATACTCAGTGATGTGTTGTTGGATTTGCCCCAAACATAACGCTTTGTATTCAGGATATGAAGTTAATTTCTTTGCCACAGTTTTTGCTGTTTTACTTTAGTGCCGTATTGCAAACAGGATGCATGTTTTGGAATATTTGTATTCTGTACAGGGGTTCCTTCTTTTCACTCTGTCAATTAGGTTAGCATTGTGGAGTAACTACAATGTTGTTGATCCATCCTCAGTTTTTTCCTATTACAGCCATTCAACTCTGTAACTGTTTTAAAGTCACCATTGGCCTCATGTTGAAATCCCTGAGTGGTTTCCTTCCTCTCCAGCAACTGAGGTGGGAAGGACACCTTTATCTTTGTAGTGACTGGGTGTATTGATACACCATCCAAAGTGTAATTAGTTACTTCACCATGCTCAAAGGGATATTCAATGTCTGCTTATATTTTTTTTACCCATCTACCAATAGGTGCCCTTCTTTGCGAGGCATTGGAAAACCTCCCTGGTCTTTGTGGTTGAATCTGTGTTTGAAATTCACTGCTCGACTGATAATTGTATGTGTGGGGGTACAGAGATGAGGTAGTCATTCAAAAATAATGTTAAACACTATTATTGCACACAGTGCAACTTATATGACTTGTTAAGAACATTTCTACTCCTGAACATATTTAGGCTTGCCGTAACAAAAGGGTTGAATACTTATTGACTCAAGACATTTTAGCTTTTCATTACTTAATTTGTAAAGATTTCAAAAAAACATAATTCCACTTTGACATTATGGGGTATTGCGTGTAGGCCAGTGATAAATCTCAATTTAATCCATTTTAAATTCAGACTGGAACACAACAAAATGTGGAAAAAGTCAAAAGATGTGAATACTTTCTTAATGTACTGTATATTAGCTACATTAAAGATAGCTTTGTATTTTGAGAGGAGGAAAGACAATTCTCAGTTCTATGCAACAGATACAGTTTTCTGTTTTGTGAGGAGCAAATAGTCATGTCAGTTCTGTGTAACATATTGCATATTCATATTGACCTTCTGGCCCATCTAATAAACCCTGGGTCCCCGCCAACAGCTAAACGCTAATCTGCCAATCAAATTATAGAATCTGTTTGACAGTTTATTCTCAGAATGATCATCAACCAATTACTTCACAGCATAAACAAACCGGATAGGCCTCTGGTCTGAAGCTACGGAAGAACTCCTGGCTTTTATGTAAAACAAATCTAGTAGATTTCACTTTTTGTATTAATATCCAAGTGTTCAATTTATCAGTGAGGCCAGCCTTTTTAATTAAAAATAAATCAAATAAATATTATAATTTATGAATGTTTGTAAAGGCACAGACATGAGTGAATCTTAATCTTACCAATAGACATGACTGTCTGTAGTCCCACCCCTAGTGCTCACATCACTCACAGTGTTAGTGATCACTCAGGCCTGGTCGCTATAGCCACCACTGACACCTTTGATGTAGTGCATTGAGAAGGGTTTCACTGGGCTCCCCTAACCCTTTGAACTATCGTGTAATCTCATCTGCTCTGACGATGATTAGCACACTACACTGACTGACTACCATCTGATGTAGTCAGCATTTTGCTGATGGCAGGCTAGCGAGCTGCTTAGTCACTCAGTCACTCAGCTATATATGCATTTACTCACTTTAGTTGGAATATCATCTCATTTGGACTATTTTCCCTTTGTTTCTTCTCTTCCCTATCGGTACTGTATGGACGTGTACATGATCTCCATTCCACGCTTCCTCCAGGCTTCCATGATGTCGGCAGAAAACGACCCTCTGGGCCCGCTACCTCCTGGTTGGGGTAAGTTCAGTTCTGAAGTTGTGCTGATGTTGTTCTGACTTTGTTCTCAAGTCAGGACCCACTGTGTCCACTATTTGATCTTTAGTGACGTTATGTGAGGTTGTTCCGTAATTGGCTCACTGGAATTCATGATGGTTTATCTTGGCTTGGTTTGTGGCCAGATGTACAAGATTGATACTAAAATGATTTTGTGTATTTTTTCATGCATATTCTGAGTCTTTCTGTCATACTAATCCTTTTGAACATTCACCTCTTGTCCTCTATTTGCAGTCTTGTCTGTTGTTGTTGTTGTTCCTCTTCTCCCGCTGTCTCTCTCTCGCTCTCTCCTGACCTGCATGTTGCTGTGTGAGCTATACCGTTCTCTCTAACTCATCTCTTCCCTCAATCACCACTCACGTTAATTCACTGGGTCTTGTTTGACCTTCTCTCCTGTGTTCCCCATAGAGCGACGTGTGGACTCCAACGACCGGGTGTACTTTGTCAACCACAGCACCAAGACAACACAGTGGGAAGATCCCCGCACACAAGGGTGAGCCCAGCTAGCTCTGTGGCAATGCCATGTCCTGCCAAATTGATCTGATAGTATCTAACAAAAACACATTTAGTAGTCTCTCTCCTTTCTTTAATATTCTCTACCTCTCTCTCTTTCTCTGCCTGTCTCTCTCTCTTTCTCTGCCTATCTCTCTCTCTCTTTCTCTGCCTATCTCTCTCTCTCTTTCTCTGCCTATCTCTCTCTCTTTCTCTGCCTATCTCTCTCTCTTTCTCTGCCTCTCTCTATCTTTATAGCATCTCTTTCTCTTCCTTCTCTCTCGTCTTCTCTCGCCGTCTCTCTCTTTTTCTCTCTTCTCTTTATCGACTACTCTATATTTCGCTGCCTCCTCTCCTTATTGCTCTGCTCTCTCTCTTTCTCTGCCTCTCTCTCTTTCTCTGCCTTGCCTCTCTCTTTCTTGCCTGCCTCCTACTTCTCTCCTCTCTCTTCTCTCTTCTCTGCCCTCTCTCTATCTCGTGTGCTACTCTCTCTCTTTCTACCTCTCTCTCTCTCTGCTCTCCTCTCTACTCTCCCTCTCTCGCTTCTCGCTCTCTCGCTCTCCCCTCTCCCTCTCCCTCTCCCTCTCCCTCTCCCTCTCCCTCTCCCTCTCCCTCTCCCTCTCCCTCTCCCTCTGCCTCTGCCTCTGCCTCTGCCTCTGCCTCCAGGCTACAGAATGAGGACCCTCTTCCTCAGGGTTGGGAGATCCGGTACACGCGGGAGGGCGTCCGCTACTTCGTAGATCACAACACCCGGACCACCACCTTCAGTGATCCGCGCACAGGGAAGTCCTCTGTGTAAGTAGTGGACTGAACTCTTGTTTGTTTTTGGCTGTACGTATCACAGACTGGGCCTTTTTTTTTTTTCACACACTGGGCCTTTTTAAGTTATGTTTTAGCAGCAGCTGCTCTTAAACAGTCATTAGTTAAAGTGTCTTGTGAGGCAATGAGCAGCAAACCTCTGCTTGTAATTATTGTTTTATTTACGTACTCAAGAAAACCACCAACATCTCTGAATCGTTTAAGATCTATTTGATCTAAATCTTTTGGATATTTCTCTGGTTCATTATGGCTTCATCAACCAATGCTTCTGTCACATGATGAGGATTAGTTACATCATGTTACTGTACCCCTTGACCCTGACCTCTAACCTCTGCCACTCCCTCCTCAGCACCAAAGGCCCACAGATAGCGTACGAGCGCAGCTTCAGGTGGAAACTAGCACACTTCCGCTACCTTTGTCAGGTAATATTACTCTCCCTATGTTTTCTTCTTCTGGTTGGACCGTTTTAGTTTGGATGAAGGGATGGTTGTTTTGCACATTCCAGTCACTTTTGATTTCACAGCCACTTTTTCTTTCTTTCTCCAGTCCAACGCACTCCCCAGCCATGTTAAGATCACCGTGTCTAGGCAGACGTTGTTCGAAGACTCTTTCCAACAAGTAAGAGTTGGCCTCCCTCTGTATGTAACTGGTTGTAAGAGCATAATATACAGGACACACACAAACAGCAACACGTAAACACACACCCAGTTCCTTATGGCATGTCACATTGTTCCTCACTGACTGTATATCATTTGTGCAACTCAAAGTAAGACAATTGTATTATTACATGTGATAAGTTGCAGTATGATGATGTTTGTGTTTTTTTGTGACGTAGTTTGTGTTCTGTGTGATCTGTTAACTTTTTTGTATGGACTGTTACCCCTGCCTGCAAACCACATTTCACTCTGAATAAAATGTTTTGACAGTGACCAGTTCTCTATAGGCTAATGCTAGTATTTGTGTTTCCAGATTATGGCCCTGAAACCTTATGACTTGAGGAGGAGACTGTACGTCATCTTCAGAGGAGAAGAGGGACTGGACTACGGTGGCCTAGCTAGGTCCGTCACAACCACACACATCGCATTTGCACACAATGATAGTCACCCTTTAGTCTTTTAGGCAATTTCTGCAACCATATGCTTGTCAGTAAGATTATTCCCGACCTGTTGTTGTTGAAAGAAACATGCATAGTAAAATGACATGTTCCAGATCTTTTTGTCATTGCCAGTCTTCACCTCTGACCTACCTCGCTCTCTCGTCGTCCCCACAGAGAGTGGTTCTTCCTGTTATCCCACGAGGTGCTCAACCCCATGTACTGCCTCTTTGAGTACGCTGGCAAGAGTAACTACTGTCTGCAGATAAACCCAGCCTCCACCATCAACCCTGACCACCTATCCTACTTCTGCTTTATAGGACGATTCATAGCCATGGTACAGCACACACAATGTTCTCTCACTCGCTCTTTGAGATCATGTGCATAGTCTTGCATACACAAACACTCCTTCGGCAGAATCATGTGAACATTCCTGGTCTCTCTCTCTTGTCCACAGGCGCTCTTCCACGGGAAATTCATTGACACAGGCTTCTCTCTGCCATTCTATAAACGCATGTTGAACAAGAAGCTCATCATCAAAGATCTGGAGTCCATCGACCCGGAGTTCTACAACTCTCTGATCTGGATCAGGTAGGCAGACCTACTGCTCTCTTGACCCATCCTAGCCAGGAACCACAAGGTTGTGGGTTCCATTCCCACAGGGATAAAATAATCTGCTAAGTGGCATATTCTTTCCATGACATAGACTGAACAGGTGAAAGCTATGATCCCTTATTGATGTCACTTGTTAAATCCACTTAAATCAGTGTAGATGAAGGGGAGGAGACAGGTTAAAGAAGGAGTTTTAAGCCTTGAGACAATTGAGACATGGATTGTGTATGTGTGCCTTTCAGAGGGTGAATGGGCAAGACAAAAAGATGTAAGTGCCTTTGAACAGGGTATGGTAGTAGGGGCCTGGCACACCGGTTTGAGTGTGTCAAGAACTGCAACGCTGCTGGGTTTTTCATGCTCAACAGTTTCCAGTGTGTATCAAGAATGGTCCATCACCCAAAGGACATCAAGCCATCTTGACACAACTGTGGGAAGCATTTGAGTCAACATGGGCCAGCATCCCTGTGGAACGCTTTTGACACCTTGTAGTTTATGCCCCGACGAATTGAGGCTGTTCTGAGGGCAAAAGGGTTGCAACTCAATATTAGGAAGGTGATTACCCATTTTAACCATTGACTACCAAACCCTTAAGCAATTTTCTCCTGTGTAGGGATAATAACATAGTGTGGTCTGGATATGTACTTCTGACCTTAGCGGGTCAGAAGAAACGGGAAAAAAAAAAAAAACAACCGGTTTTCAGGGATACAGTATCAACTAGCTTATTTTCTTCCTGAAAACCGGATGTGGGGACCCCGCTCAGGCGTTTTATTTTACGCCTGCTACTACGTTAGGTTAGTCCAGAGCTTTCTCCTCATCTCTCCAAGGAGAACAACATGGAGGACATCAATATTGGTCCTGTGGTAGCTAGCTTACACTGGCGCTCTCTCCTCATCTCCAGGGATAACAACATGGACACATGTGGTCTAGAGCTGTATTTCTCTGTTAACATTGGACCTAAGCTTAGCCCTGATTCTGTGGTCCTTTAGGGATAATAACATCCTGCAGTGTGGTCTAGAGATGTAATATCTATAACATAATGGTGCTTGTCCTTCATAACAGGGATAACAACATCGAGGAGTGTAGTTTAGAGATGTACTTCTCTGTGGACATGGAGATCCTGGGGAAGATCACGTCACATGACCTGAAGCCTGACGGCAGCGACCTCCTGGTGACGGAGGAGAACAAGGAGGAGTACATCGGGTAAGGAAGGAGGCGCCGAGTGATGGACCATCACAGAGCAGCTTGTTCACAGAGACATCCAATGATATCCGATGAGCAATTGTGAACATGTATTTTAGCATCATGATAACATGGTGATAATAGTGCCTCTTCTTAGTGATGTACATCCTCATTTTGCTATTCTTACTGCTGTATTATAATGGATTTTTCTGCATAAAGGTACTTGCAAGAGAGATTCTCCATTGAACAAGCTTTTGAATCCAGGACTGGGCTAAAAAACTGGCCCGATAACAACTAGCTAAATGTTTTAGTCATCTTTGCATTCCTTACATTGATAATACCTGAGGCTGCTTATGATTATAAAGATGAGACCCTAACTGTGACTACATCCTGTTTCCTACAGGTTGATGGCAGAGTGGCGGTTCTCCCGCGGCGTGGAGGGACAGACCAAAGCCTTCCTGGACGGCTTCAACGAGGTGGTGCCTCTGCAGTGGCTCCAGTACTTTGATGAGAAGGAGCTGGAGGTGATGCTGTGTGGCATGCAGGAGGTAGACCTACAGGATTGGCAGAGAAACACTGTGTATCGCCACTACACCAGGAACAGTAAGCAGATCATCTGGTTCTGGCAGGTAGGTACATCAGCGCCCCAAAGGTCGTGGGTTCAATCTCTGCGACTGCCTTTCCTTTCAGTTTCAAGTTTTAATGTCACATGCATAAGTACAGTGAAATGCCTTTCTTGCAAGCTCTAACCCCAACAATGCAGTAATCAATAACAATGTAATACTACAAATAACAAGGTAAGAACACGAGAAAGTAAGCATACTATATACAGGGTCAGTCCGTTCCAATACCATATTTACAATGTGCAGGGATACTGGAGTGATAGAGGTAGATATGTATTGCGGTAAGGTGACAAGGCATCAGGAGTAGCAGCAGCGTATATGATGATTGTATTGTGTGTAGAGTCAGTATAAATGTATGTGCATGTTATGTGTGTGTGAGCAAATTATGGATTGTGTGTGTGCTGGAGTGTCATTGTGCGTGAGTGTGTAGGGCCCTGTGAGTGTGTGTATAGAGAAAGTCTAAAAAATAAAATACAAGGGCCAAATCGCATAGTTCATGTAGCCATTTAGTTAGCTATTTAGCAGTTTTATGGCTTGGGGATAGAAGCTGTTCAGGAGCCTGTTGGTGTAAGACTTGATGCACCAGTACCGCTTGCTGTGCGGAAGCAGAGAGAACAGTCTAGGCTTGGGTGGCTGGAGTCTTTAACCATTTCCTTTCACACCGCCTGATATAGAGGTACTGAATGGCAGGGAGCTCGGCCCCAGTGATGTACTGGGCTGTCCGCGCCACTCAATCGAGGGTGGTGCTGTTGCCATACCAAGCAGTGATGCAGCCAGTGAAGATGCTCTCAATGGTGCAGCTGTATAACTTTTTGCCAAACGTTTTCAACCTCCTGAAGGGGAAATCTTCACGATTGTGTGCATGTGTGTGGACCATTTTAAGTCCTTAGTGATTTGGACACCACCTGCCCTGTATTCCTCTATGTTTCTGTACAGGTGGGGTACAGGTATATGTTGGCAAGGATGTGTTAATGTTGTATGTTGTCGCAGTGTTAATCTGCTGTCTCCACCTCCCTCTGTGTGTGGACAGCTGGTGAAGGAGGTGGACAACGAGGTGCGTCTGAGACTCATGCAATTTGTTACGGGGACCTGCAGACTGCCTCTAGGGGGCTTCGCTGAGCTCATGGGTTAGTGGCACACACACACACACAAACACACACACGACTAACCTCCACGTCTACTGATCTGGGGTTGAACAATTAGTCAGGATTTATCTATGCGCCGTTCTGGCTCGGAGAAGGCTTACTTGTCCTAGACTTAATTACCCTCTTCTGTGGAAAACGTAGGTAGTACTGGGGGAAGGGTTATTTAGTTGGCAAGTATTTGCAAGTATTTATTTTGTTCACCTCATATCTCTGTCTCTGTAGGTAGTAACGGGCCCCAGAAGTTCTGCATTGAGAAGGTCGGAAAAGACACTTGGCTCCCTCGGAGTCACACTTGGTGAGTGGTCCGCTTCCACGGCAACATCCTGCTTGTCAATCAAGTCAATGAATCATGATGTTTCAATGTCAAATAACAATGTGTTGGGTGTAAATCATGTCATATTTTAATACAATTACTTTCTTGTTTCATCTCCGTATTCAATGACTGTTTCTTGTTTCACCTCCGTACTCAATGACTGTTTCTTCTTTCGCTTTCAAACTCAATTACTGTATTTTTGCTTATTTTCTTTAGCTTTAACAGGCTGGACTTACCCCCGTACAAAAGCTTTGAACAGCTGAAGGAGAAGCTGCTCTTTGCCATCGAGGAAACGGAAGGATTTGGCCAAGAGTAGAGAAAGTCTCTCTCTCTACCACAGTGTATCCAGCCATGTAAAACAACAAAAAATGAAACATTGCACAGATAACTACCAATGTACATAAGCTATTTTGTCATTTTTAAAACCAAATCTTGATTCACAACCTCATTTTAGCAATCCCCCTTATATTATACCCCATAAAATATGCAAGCATTTCAGCTTTTCCTCCGCTTTTAAAAAACGAAAAATCTATGTATGATTTTTAAAATGTTTTTTCCCCTTTTTGGCTGGTTTTTAAAAGGAGACTGAAAACGTAGAGAGGATTTTTATAGTTGAACCATAACTTACGGCTCTAGTTTTATAGAGCTTTTAAGGGTGATTGTAGTGTTTGGTCCAGTGCCTGGGTTTTTTGGACCTGTAGTTGTGATTGTGCTGCGCTTGCATGGCTGCCTCCAGAAAAGAGGAAGACTGCCTCCAACCCCAACTGCACATCCACTCCTATCAACTGAAGCCAGCTCCCCATCAGTATTGTTGTCATTGAATAAAAACCAGTATTCAGTAGCCCTGACTCGAGCCCCCTCCTCCAACTCAGCACCAAGATAAGAGATGGTGTATGGTGACCATCTGGAGTAATGGTCCAATGCAGCTGTTTTTTTCTCTATATCACATAATTTCTCGGTAACAATTAAGTACCTTACTGTGATTGTTTTAAATTAAAATGGTAAAAAGTAAACTAATAGCTGCTTAGCAAAGAGCAATTTTGCAAGGAAGAATTTAGCTAGGACTGTCTGGGCGTGGTTTGAGATGGGAGGGGAAAACTGTAAATTAGCTGTTGTTGGCAGAGAGGTTTGGAACTTATTGGTCTATTAACTAATTTACAGCATGGTGATGTCATCATGGAATGCCAAAACCCTCCCACCAAAACAGGCAGAAATTCCAGGCGGTCCTTTCAAACAGCTCTTACGCTAAAAGGGCATTATAATTTTCACAGTATTATTCCAACTTCATAGTGTGGATATATATATATATATATATATATATATATATATATAACAGGAAAATCACGTTTTTGAATGCACTGGGCCTTTAAAGTCTGGATGAGAGGATGGTACCTTCACATGAGATTATGCAGTCTTGTTGTACCTTGGATTATGTGTAAATTTGGAGCTGTCGACTAAAAGGAAACAATGACTTTTTTTCTGGGCTCGAGTCAAGAACCGACAGCCTTCACTGTCAAGATCTGTGAGAACCTGACTCAAGGAGGATGATCATCAGTTTGTACTCCATGATGATGTGTAGCCTACAAAGGTTTGTTGCTTCGGAAGAGGATATGGATCAAATCAGTGGTTCCATTTTATGAATGAGTTAATGGGACCCATTTTTATTTTTATGCAGTTGCCTGATAGAATGGTACTTGCATAGAGATCCTATAATGTTGAATTCTAGGACCTATATGGGTGCTTGTTACTGGCTGTTTGTGTACACCAGCTCTGAGAGAGACATCTGTTGTGACTGAGTGGTGTTGACTGGTGGCAGCAGTGGTTTGGGGTTGGGGGCTTCTAGGTCTCTGCTGTAGTGGCAGGTTTATAACTGGCACTCAAAGCTTTGCTCTCAAGCCATGGCACTGCACCTTGCTACTCCTCTTCTTCTTACATCATTTACCTGCCTATTTAATTTATTAAGTAATGTTCTTTTTTCTTGTCTTTTGAGAGAGAGAGATTAATAAGCCTTCGTCTCAAATGCTGTATGTTCACCCGAAGCAAAGCAGTTGCTACTCATGGAGAGAAATAAACGCGAAATGAAAATAACACATTTAGTTATGGATGTATCTATCTCCCGTGTTTGGTGCACTAACTCCCTTTCTGGGATAGTAAATTGATGAGTTACTTGACTTTTCCTGCTAAAAATGTTTCTGTATGTCACATGCATACAACAGAAATGTCAGTGCCAGAAGTGCTTCCTAGTGCTAGTTGCTACCCACTAATTGAATGCTCATGTCTTGGAGTTAATCCATTCAACAAAAGATGTACAAAATTGCAGTAAAATGACAAAATGTTTCTTTGCCATGAAATGAATGAAAATCAGCGAGTGACCTTTTTCTTACTCTTAGACTTAGTAACTAAGTAACTGAGCAGCCTTCTGAATGGACAATGATTGTTAGTGTTACGCAGTGTATATCCCCCCTTGAAACCCTACAAGGTCATTTGCATTGTCTCTGTGCAAGGATACATAGGTGTCCCAACTCCCTTGAGCTATTGTGTAGTATTGTGCCATCACCGGTCAAATAGAATAACCTGTGATAACCTTCTACAGTGTAAACCCCCTAAACCCCACCCCATGTCAGTCCACATTCTCCTATAGGTAGTAAACCCCCTAAACCCCACCCCATGTCAGTCCACATTCTCCTATAGGTAGTAAACCCCCTAAACCCCACCCCATGTCAGTCCACATTCTCCTATAGGTAGTAAACCCCCTAAGCCCCACCCCATGTCAGTCCACATTCTCCTATAGGTAGTAAACCCCCTAAACCCCACCCCATGTCAGTCCACATTCTCCTATAGGTAGTAAACCCCCTAAACCCCACCCCATGTCAGTCCACATTCTCCTATGGGTAGCAACCCCCCTAAACCCCACCCCAGTCCAAGTTCTATTAGTAAGTCAGCAAAGCATGACCTGCCATGCCAACCTTGATGATGCTTTAGGCTGTCCTTTTCTTACGTTGCTGATTAGTTATTTTCTAGTACATTTTTCTCTCTTGAAATGTGAAATCTCTACTAACACCTCTGGTGCTTCTTTTGTTTTGATTGTCTGGTGAGGGAGGGACAAGCCCTAGCCCATCAGCTATGACAAAGCAGTCTGTTGAATTCTGTTCTGACCACTGCAGTGCAAACCAGAATTTAGATTAAAGTTAGGGGTTCATGGTGAAGTTATGTCATGATGTATATAACATCTATTCACTTCCTATTGGTGAGAAAAGTAGAGATGACAAGGAGCATTTGTGGAACTACCCTTGTATGAATGACAGAAGAAGAAAATCAACCCACCACATAATGACAACATGCTTCCTTTTGAACAAATCAATAATCAAAGAAATCAATTGTATATGAAAATTAACTCAATGTAAAAAAGACAAAGTCAAGTACTTAATAGTTATTCTTCAGAGCCTCACCAACATCGAGAGACCGGCTCTGTGACGCCTCATTCATATCAGACATGAACTGTAACATATATACGTAGATGCACACTGTAAAACACCTAATACTACATTGTACAGAGCGCTCCCTACCAGAGACTATAGAAAATTCATTTTTGATCTGCTTTTACCCATGTTAATGAATGAATAGAAGATGGATTTATGAGTTAAAGAAATAAAGAAATAAACCCCTGTCCCTCATGCTTTTCTGTTTTGAGAGACGTGGGGGTGTCGGAGGCCTTCTGCTCAGGATTCACAAAAACCTGTCATCGATTTTTATTATGTTCTTAAAAACATTTATTTTTTTTGGTTGGATCTTGCCTGTGGAAAGAACCATATTTAATAAATATCTGACCATCTTTACAACTGGGTTTGAATTCATTAAAATAATTGTGAGTGAAACCGCATAGATTAAGGCCATGGTTGGGACTGAATACCATTTCAACTCAACTGCCATTTCAACAATGAATTGACCACAACTGACTGTATAATGTTAATATTTGCGTGGAACACATTGGATCCCATTCATTGACCGCATATTGGGATTTTAAATTCAGACACCCATTCTACTTTCTATTTACAAAGACAATAAGATGCCTGCCTGAATGTTACAATGCCAAGCTATCACTACAGACTTGATAAGCATATTAAATTAAAATAGCATTAATTTCAAGTTAAATCACAGCATCTGTAAATCACTATACACAGGTTAGTAGAAAGGCATGTATCATTTCCAGTTAAGGCCGTACATTATAGCCTATATGTACAAAGATATACATATAGTAGATAGACATAGATTACACCTATTATCAACACAATGCCCTCTTGTCCCTGTGTGACTAGGTCATATTATGCCCCGAGCTTCTTCAGAAGGTCAAGGGCTTCTTTATGGACCTATGGAGAACAGGAAATAAACAAATGAGCTCCTATCCAATCAGAGTGTACCTGTGATAATGGTGCGTTCACGTGCTGTGGGAGTTATCGGAAGTTCGGAGTTCCGACCTGGGAAGTTTCACTTGAACAACCCTCCAAGTCGTAATTAAAAGTGGGAAACTCAGAAAATGTTGCTGAGTTGTGACGTTTCACCACTGACCTTTCAACTTTTCAACCAAAAGAAGACAACAAATTCGTTTTTGACTATTACAAACTTGTCAATGTGGATAATGTAGCTAGTTTGACCATATTGTCAATGTAAATTAATTCTGGCTAACTTGATTATTAGCAAACTTAGCAGCTTATCAAGCTAGCTAAAATATTATTGGTTGAATAATTTTTCTGACTTCAAAAGCACTTGAACATAATATCAGACTTGCGAATTCCTTATTGGGAAGTTTCCCACTTCCGACGAGCACGTGAATGTCCTCTAAATTACAGGTAACCGTTATAGGGCCGGTTTCTGAACACAGGTTAAGCATAGTCCTGGACTAAAACACACATTCAATGGAGAATCTCCAGGACCAGGTTAAATATGTGTCCAGGAAACCGGCCCACACAGTATTACATTTTACCTCCTTGTCTTCCTCTGTGTGAGGGGGGTAGTCCCGTGCCTTTCTCAGCCAGAGCACAGCATTCCCCTGGTCCTTCACTGCCATGTAGGACTTTCCCAGCATAAGCAGATTCTTACTGTAGAAGTTGGGGTCCACTATGGAAAGATGATCAAACGATGGATAAACGTTGCCTTGTATTGCATAACATGTGGCTTTAGAAACACAGACAGAACAATGAGTCAGATATTTCACAGTATGTATAAGTGTGAAGCATCCGGTTGGCGTTTCCACTCACTATCAAATATGGTGATGAGAGGAAGCCCAGTAGCCGGCAGTGGGAAAATAGATTTTTGCAGACATTATGCTAATTTTTTCATTGATTAAACATTTGATTTCAATACAATTTTCTGTTACCAAACTAAAATCTGTTACGAACTGAGTGGAATAAGTTTGGTAGATTTTACCCTTTGCCAAAGTTTTAAAAATTGTGTTGATTAGAAGGAGTGCAAGGGCGAATTGGGTTATTGCACACGTCACAGAGTAGGTGTTCCCTAACGGAAATATCCAAATACATGCTAGAATGTGCCAATAGGATCTCACTAGCTCATGCTTTGCTCTGCCCACCTCCTTGCTTGTTCTGCCTACTATGACTCATTTGTTCCTATTGGAAACAACAGGTTGTGGTCTATCTTTGCATTGTATTGTGTTAGAATATTGCATTTAGCACAACAAACCTTCTTCAGCTTTCAGGAAGAACGCCAAAGCCTGAAGTGAAACAAAAAGTATAGTCAAACATGATGCCTTACATTTTACAGTCAAATATATTGTACTGTTCATCTACAAAGAACTGTGGGTAAAAAAAAAAGTATGACATCACACATCTGTCCCAAATGGCACCCTATCACCTATATAGTGCACTTCTTTTGACTAGTACCCATATGTCCTGGTCAAAAGTAGTGTATACAGTGAGCTCCAAAAGTATTGAGACAGTCCAATGTTCCCTCTAGCACGCAGCTCACCTCAGACTGCCGCGAAGAAGAAATATGAGCCAGCACAGAGAAGCACGAGATTGAATTTCACTCAACTTTCTACAGTTAGTTGACAGGCATGACTCAGGCCCGTATTCTACACAGACCGGTGCCATAACCAATCAGAGCTGCAGTAGGCCTATATGCAAATAGCCATTGCCATATATGGATCTGTGCCATTCACTTTGAACTGGACTGTGTTTAGGCTACAGTATGAGTGGTCGTGAGTAGATGCGCTTGTTTTGAGATCAAAGTGAGAGCTGCATGTAGCCACGTGCACATTTGTTCATATTCTTTGCTAGTTAGTGAGTTATTAGCCCAGTTATAGCTCATTTCTAGTCAACAATGGGGGAGTGGTTGCTACCAACAAGCGCATAAAATCTGTGCATTTCTAGCCATCTTTGAAAAGCGAGTCAGGCTTTATGTCTTAAAGGGGAAGTGTTGTATTTTGAGAAGTCTTGAATAAACTTAGTAGCCAACAGGCAGAGCGTAGCATAATTTGTCTGATTCTCTGTAATAATGGTATGGGAATAATAATGCATTTTATTTTGTAAAGTGGTTTCTTGCATCAAACACAACATTTTCAGTCACCTCCTTGTCTGAAGGACAAGTTGATAAACAGGTCAATGTCAAGCCGTGCATTTTTTTTTTCTTCAAAAGTCTAATAGAATGTAGGCATTGAACACCACATTGGCTGTTTCTGTAGGCTGAACGATAGAACAGTTATTTCCATGTTAAAATGTTATGGGATGCTTTTTTCTCCGTTGTTTTTTATGGTAGGCCTACATTATGATCAAATAGCCACAGTCACCTATTTGGCCACTGTTAAAACTGTAACTTAAATCAGGTACAGCGTCAGTGTTCACAGTAAACGCGCGCCGGAAGTTGCACAGAATTTTCACAACGTTCAAGTTTGACCTCATTGACGTCGACACGTTTTCAGAAATGACGTGTCACTGTCCCAATACTTTCGGAGCTCACTGTATATAGGGGATAGGGTGCCACTTAGGAGGTAACACACCTCTTCGTATGTGGCAGTGGGAGGAGAGGCGAAGATCATGGCTGCCACTTTACGTTGATACCACGCCAACTCAGCAAAGGCAAAACACCTAAAAGAGAAAAACGGCTTTGTCAGTACCCCTTAGGTATTTTGATATTGTTTTAGACAGGACACATGTAATTCAAGGCTGGGAGATAGACAGAAGGTACAACACAGGGGTACAGAAGGTACAACACAGGGGTACAGAAGGTACAACACAGGGGGACAGAAGGTACAACACAGGGGGACAGAAGGTACAACACAGGGGAACAGAAGGTACAACACAGGGGTACAGAAGGTACAACACAGGGGTACAGAAGGTACAACACAGGGGAACAGAAGGTACAACACAGGGGAACAGAAGGTACAACACAGGGGTACAGAAGGTACAACACAGACAGCCGACCAAGCTGGGCCTCAAACCCCTGGTGCCCTGGTGGCATGTGTGGTCTGGAGCTTAGACCGCTACCCCAGACTCTGGCACAACATGCTGGATATCTTTAGACACGGACCAAAAACTTGCCTAAGAAATAACAGTTCTATTTTATGTACATAATTTCTATACTAAATAACCTACACTGAGTATACCAAAATATGGTCCTCTGTAGCTCAATTGGTAGAGCATGGCGCTTGTAACGCCAGGGTAGTGGGTTCGATCCCCGGGACCACCCATACGTAAACATTTATGCACACATGACTGTGTCACTTTGGATAAAAGCATCTGCTAAATGGCATATTATATTATTATATATGAGGAACACCTTCCTAATATAGACCCCCTTTTGCCCTCAGAACAGCTTCAATTCATCGGGGCATGGACTCTACAAGGTGTCGAAAGCGTTCCCCAGGGATGCTGGCCAATGTTGACTCCAATGCTTCCCACAGTTGTGTCAAGTTGGCTGGTTGTCCTTTGGGTGGTGGACCATTCTTGATACACACGGGAAACTGTTGAGCATGGAAAAAAACTATTCTTGACACAAACCGGTGCGCCTGGCACCTACTACCATACCCCATTCAAAGGCACTTACATTTTTTGTCTTGCCCATTCACCCTCTAAATGGCACACATACACAATCCATGTCTCAATTGTCTCAAGGCTTAGAAATCCTTCTTTAACCTGTCTCCTCCCCTTCATCTACACTGATTTTGAAGTGGATTTAACAAGTGACATCAATAAGGGATCATAGCTTTCACCTGGATTCACCTGGTCAGTCTATGTCATAGAAAGAGCAATGAGTTCTTAATGTTTTGTATAATCAGTGTATAACTCACCAATAACCCAAGATATGGATGGATGTGGCATCTTTTGGATTTAGCTCGATGGCCCTCTGGAAGATGCATTTTATTTTAGAATGCTGCCAATATTTAAATTAATAATCATATGATATGACATACTGTAAATTATTTAAAAAAACACTTACCTGCAAATGTTCTTTAATGATGTAAGAATTTCCTATTTTTACTTTGACCCCCTCGTAATCGCCTATGTCACTGAGGCACACTGCATACCACTAACCAAGAGAGAGACGGGGGGTAGAAGAATTAGAATATCCACATAAATATTGTGGGGGCCGACCAGGAAGCCAAAACCATGACCAAGATGGACGTCCATATCCTCACATGTTTTTGATTAGCTTACACAACTTAAAAACGGTCTTAAGTATTTTATAGATCTACAAGTGTTTTCCATTATCAGATCAGAACACAGAATTCTAGGCCTCAGAAACAGACAATCCAACCTTGCACTTGGTTAACTGCTGAATATCTCTCTCTCTACCAGGAAACATGACAAAGTAGCAAATGTTTCACTGTTCAATGGAAAGTTGTATCAGTCTCCTATCAACCGTCTGTACTGATGCATATATACGTAATTCAGAATGACTAATCTTGAGACTCAGAAGAATAATTAGATCTTTAGCCAGCAGCCCGTTGAGACATTTAGCCATGATTTTTTCACTGTGCTATTGGCCTTGGCTTTTTCTTTTGCCTCTGGTGCTATTAGGGTTTGCATTTCACATGACAAACTTTCACCAAAGCTCTGTATTAGAATGTTTACCTCGACCGGACTTGTAGCAACTTGTCCACTTGGTCTATAGCAGCAAACCAGGCATTAACGGATTAATCTTATTACCGTAGCCTCAAAATTATGCAGGCAAATTAACCTGATCAAAACCATGATTTAGCTTAGTTTCACAGCAGTAATAGTGTATTGTAGTATGTTCTCTTCAGAGATTCAATGAGAAGAAACCATAGCCTTTATTACTTTGTGTGCTGCGAAGCAGGCCTCATTTTTCTCCAGGGCCTTCTTGGCGTATTCAAACGCCTCAAAGGTCAGCCTCTTCTTCTCGTCAGCAGCAATGTGAGCGAGGAGGGAGAGGTCACGAGACGCCCGCGCCAGCCTCCACAGGAACTCAGCATCATCACTGGACACACACACACACACAAATATTTTATTTCCAAAAATGTAATTACTGAATGGTCAGCAGAATCTAGTGGGACAGAAACAGAACGTTTTTAGAAGTATTTAACAGTATTTGGAGGGCATTCAGTGTTGTTGTCTTACTTCTTAAGTCACCTGACCTCAATTGCTGAGTTCCTGAATGGTACTGTAGCTTTGTCCTGGCTTTTTACTCCTTAGTTCAATGACCCCAAACTGATATCCAAACAGTGAGACAACCTGACTGGCACAATCGTGCTGGATCCCAGCCAAACCCAATCAATACATACTACCATTCTGTTTTTGCAATGGTCACTGTCTGTCTGTCTTATACACATGCAATGGACAACACATGCCTTGACATGTAAACGACATACAGTAGGCCTACCTGTCCTTATACTGTAGCAGAAGCTGGTAGAGTTTCTCTGTCTCCCCACAGCTATACAGGTAATCTGCTTGTTCCACAACCTCTTCAGCTAGAATGCAAAATAGAGGTGCCATTGGATAGAGAAACTGGATAGGAAAAAGCCCAAAATCATACATTTGCATGTTTAATCGGGATATGAAAACTCATAATTGTAATGTCTGATTCAATAGTTCTCCCTTTCAGATCATTTTGATATTGCATTTAATTAAAACCCTTCTGAATTAGTCATTTTCAGGTGGTGTGTACCTTTTTCCAGAGCATGGACCACAGTTGCACTCTGCACCCTCCTGTAGGCTTCCAGGCCTAGATAAGATAGTGCTGGTAAGGTGAGCAGAAATGCAGTTCTTCCACCCTGCACCAGAGAGTGGGACAGACCGAGGTAGTTGAATTGAAGTCATAAAACACTTGTCAGTGTCAGTTACAACCTGATAAAACCAGATATGACTAAAGACTGCTTCACAAGACCTTATATATACACATTTACATTTTAGTCATTTAGCAGACGCTCTTATCCAGAGCGACTTACAGTTAGTATATATTCCACCACAGTTACCTCTCTGGCTAGTCTATATTAGACCCCCCTCCTCCCTTTTACTTGTGAGGAATCCACTTGTTGGTGTGCCTGAGACGTTTTGTTTTTCAAATTCTCAAATTGGCTCAGGTCCCTCTGACCGAAGTACTCGAGACAACAAATGCAGAGGGACAATTCTGAGGGAGAATCTCAATTGCATACTCCTCGCGTCATCTCTTATCTTCAAGTAATATCAAATGAACACAACGATAATGATGATAACTAAATGTAAATATTGTCAAATGTAATTTATATTGTCATGTTTATTCTGTATCATGTGCACCCTATTGTCCTTTCAATAGTGATACTGAACAAATGTTAATGTGGAGAGACAATCACATCACATAAGAATACCCTACCTACCGTACTTTATAACCCTACTGACCTTTCACCTATATCCATTCAGATCAGGGTAGTTTATCTAGTTACTGTATGTTTTACATAGTCAGATATTTTCCACAAATAGCCTACCACTCTGGTTCTATTCTACCAGGTCGCATGTAACACTTTCACATAAGCAACTTAGGAGAAACTGGGCCGATGAAGGGTGTCAAAAGTAAATGGAGGTTTATTTACGTTAATACTTGAGGTATTGTTCCTGAAAGTAGTCAAGTATTGTCGATGATATCCTCGGATCTTGACGGCTTTACAAGCAGGTGCCGATAGCACAGTCCGGGCAGCAAATCGCATGAAAGTTGCTCCTGCCATCATTCTCCCTAATCAAGTCAAGAGCTGAACGATCACTTCGAAGTCTGAGCCGCACACCCAAGGCTTTGAAAGGTAGAACTCTACACAAACGTGGGTCATTCAAGATCGCAATAAGCTAAAACGTTTCGAAACAACACGAACTTCAAAGCAGGTTGTTGTAAATCTGTTTATGATTGATCGGGCATTTTTACACAATTTAACTTGTATTTCCCACTGTATTTTCTCTGGTATCAACTGTTCAACGTCGAAACCATTGCATTGGTGGGTATGATGTTCAAAACTGTTTTTTCTGGATGATTATCTTAAATGCGTCTTTGCAAAATACGTCCTCGGTTTATGGTGTCGACTAGAAACAAAAAGCTACTTCACAGGTTCCGTAGTCAGAACTGAAATCAACAGAATATATAATTATATGCATACCAGTTGCATCACCGTTGCAAACCTTAGCAAAACGTTTTGCAACGGAAACGGCTTTGCGACAAAAAAAAACAAGGGTTCTAATTGGACAGGTTCAGTGTTCCCTGCGCGTTTCGACATTGCGCAAAGTGCGTATCTGGAACCCACCCAAGGCGGGGTGTGGGCCGATTTAACACGGAGCAGTTGTGGAACAGCGCTTGATCCGAGCAGGACCCATATTACTTCAGAGGGACTCTGTATTGTAAAGTAAACACATTGAGGTAGGTAACTAGCTAATAAATAATGCTGTGCTTGGCTTTTCTATGTTTAGCCATTGCTGACTGGGATGTGAAATTGTTTGATGCTTTGTGTTTCAGGAGCTAAGAGAAACAGCTAGCTAGCTAGAGAAATAGCTAGCTAGCTAACCAGCCAGTTGTCACGTCAAACCAAAACCAGGATAGAAAGACAGCCATTACATTACTGTATGCGGTGTATGTCTAACATTGTATAGGTAATACCAATATCTAGCTAGTTATGTTATTAAATTAGCTAGCTAACAAGTAGCCGAACTTTGCTAGCCACCCACCATCTACAGTATGATTAATTTATGCTGCGTTCATAACCAAGTGGGAAGGTGGTAATTATAATTTGTGAAGTCGTAAGCAGTGGCTGCTCCTGAAAAAATTCTCAGGGGGGGCAATTTTTCTGATGATTTAGGTGACCTACACACATTTTAAAAAAGATATGTCCAGCAACAACATGAAGACAGGGGCAGCATATAAGTCAATCCTGATATACACATTACTTGCTTCAAAAAGGCCTCATGGTTGAATTGGAAATATGTGCACCTGAGCATAATTCACAACAAGCAAGCAGGAGCTTTTGGTAGAGGCTACTGAAAACATTGATGCAAGTTATTGGTAATAAGACATTTTTATAGACTTCCATATTCTGCCCTCTTGTATAGATTTGTGAAAATGAACAGTGATAGACATTTAGCCTGAAAACAGAATTTGAAAATAATTTATAGAAAAGGTAAACACAGCTATCTGTATGGCTTTGTAAAAATGAACAACCATATTCTGGCCAATTGTATAGATTTGTAAATATGAACAACCATATTCTGGCCAATTGTATAGATTTGTAAAAATGAACATGAACAGATTTTTTTTTTTTACTTAAAAAAAAATGAAAAATAACTATTTTAAACAACATCAACTGTGAACTGATTTGGGCGTGTGTATGTTAAAGAGACAGACAGGGAGGGACAAAGAGAGAGAGAGAGGCTACATTACTTGTACTGAAACTGTTCTAGCTTGCTGCATGATCAAATTCAGCTGATGCGCATAGCAATGCACGTAATGGGCATTCTTGAAATGCTTACGCACCTTTTGCTGCACACCAGCCTTCTCTCCCCTCACACTGGCTCCATCGTAAGCTTGCGCAATGAGTTTGACTTTCTCGTCGTCTGCAAAAAGACCGTTCAGTCTCTCCAAAAGCACACTGGCGATTGAGACTGAGGTTGATTCCGAGATGGGAAGGAACTCAAAAAAGCGCTCCTGCACTTTGTGGTTGCTATCTATGTACCTCAGCACAAGCACCAGCTGTGTCTGTGTAGAAACGTCCGTGGTCTCGTCAGCTTGGATAGCTACGAAGTTCGCCGACTTCACCTCCTCCACAATATGTTCCCTCATGACCGCTAGCATACACTCCAGTAGCTCGTTTTGAATGGTCTTTGATGTTCCCTTGAAAACTTTAGCATTTTTAAGATGGTCATCAAACACCTCATCTAATTGTGCCACAAAGTTGACAAGTCCAAGAAAAATACCAGGGTTGGTGGCGCCCTCAGTTTCATCTTTGCCTCGCAAAGCTAGCCATCTTGACAGTTGTACGTGAATTGATTGACGCTGCTACCCGCTCTTTTCTTAGTTATGTTCATGGTTACTTATGTTACGTATGACGAAAGCGCGTAAGTGCAAGCCCTCCCGGAACCCATAGAGATTGTATTGAAAGCTCTGATATTTGAAAAAAAAAATATTTTACATGATAGTCTATGAGAGACTCCTGGGCGATTTTCAACCTGACTGAAATCACCCCAAAAGGGGCGGGGCCATTTGAAGCACGACTTTAGCCTGATTGGACATTTAGTGGCAGATCAGACGTCTAGATTAGACCACTGAAAACTACTGTTGCCGTGATATAATTGATTAGAAAAAAAATCCCTTCCTTTTCCCGTTTGGCAGTGCGTCGCCCATATCGCCCTAATGAACACACCGCCCCTGGTCGTAAGTACTAGTTAGACGCGTTCACGTACTTTGAAGTCGTTGAGAAACGCCAATTAGCTAATGGCCATCAAGCTGGGTCAACCATAAACTAAAAGTACAGCTATCATGCTTGTACAATTGTGTTAAAAAACCATACTAATATATATATTTTTAATGATGTTTTGTTACATTTAACTCCCCAAAATGCTGTAATCGAGGTCATTTCCCTAGTAGGTGATGTCAGAGGTCAGCATGTGGGAGAAGTTGGAGCTCAGGGATGATAGACTATTTTCCTTCTACACAGAACAAAACTATAAACTCAACATGTAAAGTGTTGGTCCCATGTTTCATGAGCTGAAATAAAAAATCCCAGAAACGTTCCATACACACAAAAAGCTTTATCTCAAATGTTGTGCACAAATTTGTTTACATCCCTGTTAGTGAGCATTTCTCCTTCACCAAGATAATCCATCCACCTGACAGGTGTGGTATATTAAGAAGTTGATTAAATGGCATGATCATTACACAGGTGCACCTTGTGCTGGGGACAATAAAAGGCCACTTTACAATGTGCAGTTTTGTCAAACAACACAATGCCACAGGTTTTGAGGGAGTGTGCAATTGGCATGGGGGAGTATTTCTGTCTGTAATAAAGCCATTTTGTGGGGAAAAACTCATTCTGATTGGCTGGGCCTGGCTCCCCAGTTCATTAGGCCCTAATCTATGGATTTCACATGACTGGGCAGAGGTGCAGCCATGGGTGGGCCTTGGAGGGCATTGGCCCACCCACTTGGCAGCCAGGCCCACCCATGGCTGCACCCCTGCCCAGTCATGTGACATTAGGGCCTAATGAACTTATTTAAATTAACTGATTTCCTTATATGAACTGTAATTTAGTAAAATCATTGAAATTGTTGCATGTTGCGTTTATATTTTTGTTCAGTATAGTAATTACGAGTTGAAGGGGCGATCAAGTGGATTTTTTCCCTGTTCTATATGGTAAATACCACCTTCCCACTTGGTTATGAAGGCAGCATTAACTCATCCGCAGGCTATTGCTGCATTTGGGTGGAAGTGTCTGGGCAGGGCGGACTGGATTAATTCGCCTAGTGAACCTGTCAATTTTTTTGTTGTTGCTCAAAATGATCATTATCTGGCTAATAATGGGGGCCTCAAGAAACAAAATGGGCCAGTGTGGAGGCTCGAGGTAAAAAATGGTCCGGTGTGTTAGAAATGCCATGGCTGATATCTGGTCCCAGTCCGCCCCTGCGTCTAGGAATGAGATTATGATTAAAGGTGCAATATGCAGAAATCGCTCCTGAAAGGCCGCTCAGCAAGGAAGAAGCCACTGCTCCAAAACCGCCACAAAAAAGCCAGACTACGGTTTGCAACTGCACATGGGGACAAAGATAGTACTCTTTGGAGAAATGTCCTCTGGTCTGATGAAACAAAAATAGAACTGTTTGGCCATAATGACCATCGTTATGTTTGGAGGAAAAAGGGGGTCGCTTGCAAGCCGAAGAACATCATCCCAACCGTGAAGCACGGGGGTGGCAGCATCATGCTGTGGGGGGGTTTTGCTGCAGGAGGGACTGGTGCACTTCACAAAATAGATGGCATTATGAGGAGGAAAATTATGTGGATATATTGAAGCAACATCTCAAGACATCAGTCAGGAAGTGAAAGCTTGGTCGCAAATGGGTCTTCCAAATGGACAATGACCCCAAGCATACTTCCAAAGTTGTGGCAAAATGGCTTAAGGACAACAAAGTCAAGGTATTGGAGTGGCCATCACAAAGCCCTGACCTCAATCCTATAGAAAATGTGTGGGCAGAACTGAAAAAGCGTGTGCGAGCAAGGAGGCCTACAAACCTGACTGTTACACCTGCTCTGTCATGAGGAATGGGCCAAGATTCACCCAACTTATTGTGGGAAGCTTGTGGAAGGCTACCCGAAACGTTTGACCCAAGTTAAACAATTTAAAGGCAATAAGAAATAAAAGCTGAAATAATTCATTCACTCTACTATTATTCTGACATTTCACATTCTTTAAAATAAAGTGGTGATCCTAACTGACCTAAGACAGGGAATTTTTACTAGGATTAAATGTCAGGAATTGTGAAAAACTGAGTTTAAATGTATTTGGCTAAGGTGTATGTAAACTTCTGACTTGAACTGTATTTGGATGCTTGTATTTACAGTAGCTCACAGAAAATGTTTAATTTTGCCTAGGGACATCATCTGTCTCTTCACAGCTAATGTGTGTGTCTGTTCATCGGTCTGTGTTACAGGTGGGTCCAATGGCGACACAGTGTGTGACAAAGGTGGAGCTGACTGTCTCCTGTGAGAATCTTCTGGACAAGGACATTGGCTCCAAGTCTGACCCTCTGTGTATTCTTCTCATGAACACTGCTGGGTCACAGTGGTACGAGGTCAGTCACAGATTCTTGTTTGCCCAAGAAACACTGTGACATTGTTAAATGTTAACCCAACAAGGCTAAAAATTGATTTCTCCCCAAAGCCATCATCATGCATAATTGATTAACTTGAATCATCAGTATTCCGCTTCGCTGTTTGGAAAAGCATCTCAGCATTGTAGAATGGCTAAAGCGAGCATTACCTGTTTCCAGGAAGAATCTGAAATGTTGGGCCAATTCAGTATCACCTGATGTTGTTAATTAGTTTCATGAGGGTGTGAGAATGTTTATGATTTGATTACTAACAGGCTGAAATGTAATGTTGTGTTTGTAGGTGGGCCGCACAGAGAAGGTACAGAATTGCCTTGCCCCAAAGTTTGCCAAGAAGTTCATCATCGATTACTACTTTGAAATAGTGCAAAAGCTGAAGTTTGGAATTTACGACATCGACAATAAAACTGTTGACCTAAGCGATGATGATTTCCTGGGGGAGCTGGAGTGTACCTTGGGCCAGGTGAGATCTTTTTCTTTCCCCTCCTCACTTAAGTGATAATGCCCGAGAAGCCAGTGTTTGGACGATATATTGGTACGGGTGTTGTTAGGCCAAACACCAGCTTCGAGGGCATCACTTTTATACAACGGGTTACCAACATATTCAAATAATGATTAACATATTTTAGTTCAACTTTTTTTATTTTGATTAATTTCTTCATACTATTTCATCCTTCCACGAGATATAGTCCTGACAGAAATCTAGGGTTGCTACCCAAGCTGGCTGGTCGTTTGTTCTGTCGGTTCAGTTGCCAGAGACGTGACCCAGTCATTAAGTCTTTTTGTTCTGTATCTATGGACCCGACCCAGTCGTTCGTTCTAAATGTTCTATTGCCATACTGGCTGGCAACATTCTTATCCCTTGCTTGCTAGCTAGCCAACTACGGCTAACTTACAGTCACGTCAAACAGTGCAGCCAGAATAACAGCAAAGTAGCTGCATTTGCATTTGTTTAAGCTGTTTTCTAGAGACATTTATTTGTATATGTCCATAGAAATAATGCTGATTCATGATTTTGACTGTTTGAGAAAAGCTGCCTGTCTTGTCTCGTCCCGACTCCTACACCATCATTACTATGGGACAGCTGTTTCAAATGTCAGAGAGACAGACCACAAGTTTTATACAAATCTCAGCTATTGAAAATCAATTGCTAGTCTAAAAGAAATGGGAGATTATGTCTAGATGCTTTTTACAGTGGAGATCAAGTTTATAAATTGTCTGGCTGGGCTGATGAGACAGTGGTTTGCGCAGTGAGTTGGAACAGGGTAAATAGGCATTTCAACATCATAGTTTTAGCCGGTGGTTACTTGTGGAATAGACACCGGCTGGATTGCGGTTTTAACCAATCATCATGCAGGATTAGACCCTCCGTTGCAGTAGTCTCTGTTTTGGTGAATCCGGTCAGTGTCTCACTGCCACTCATGTAGAGAGTTAGCATCGTGCACAGTGCATACAACCCCTATATAGACGTGCAGTGGCTGTGCTATCTGTGACTTGACACCAAAGGTTTCTTTTGACTGTTTGTTCAGGCTATGTTCTGTATGGACTTTGTCTGTCTCACATGCATCTGTGTCAATTTAGGCAATAAGGCCCGAGGCAGTGTGGTATTCACCCCCCCCCCCCACTACGAATGTTTACTAATTAATAAAAATATAATAACTAAAATATAGTTGTTGCATAAGTATTCACCCCCTTTCTTCAGGCAAGCCTAAATTAGTTCAGGAGTAAAATGTGGCTTAACAAACCACAAGTTACATGGACTCTGTGTGAAATAATAGAGGTTTACATGATTTTTGAATGACTACCCCTTCATCTGTTCCCCATACATACAACAAATAGTCCCTCAGTCAAGTATTTCAAGTACAGATTCAACTACAACAGCTACAAGCGTTCATTGGCTGTGATGGGGGAAAACTGAGGATGGATCAACAACATTGTATTGATTCCACAATAATGACCGAAAATCTACAGAATAAAACATATTTAAAAACATGCATCCTGTATGACACAAGGCACTAGACTAATACTGCAAAATAAACTTTAGCCTATTTTTTTTATTTCACCTTTATTTAACCAGGTAAGCCAGTTGAGAACAAGTTCTCATTTACAACTGCGACCATGCCAAGATAAGGCAAAGCAGTGCGATTAAAAACAACAACAACACAGTTACATATGGGGTAAACAAAACGTACAGTCAATAACACAATAGACACAGTGTGTCCAAATGTAGTAAGTTATGGAGGTAAGGCAATAAATAGGCCATAGGGCAAAATAATTACAATGTAGTATTAACACTGGAGTGATAGATGTGCAGAAGATGATGTGCAAATAGAGATACTGGGGTGCAAATGAGCAGAATAAATAACAATATGGGGATGAGGTAGTTGGGTGTGCTAATTACAGATGGGCTGTGTACAGGTGCAGTTATCAGTAAGTTGCTCTGACCACTGATGCCTAAAGTTAGCGAGGGAGATAAGTCTCCAGCTTCAGAGATTTTTGCAGTTCGTTCCAGTCATTGGCAGCAGAGAACTGGAAGGAATGGCGGCCAAAGGAGGTGTTGGCTTTGGGGAATGACCAGTGAGATATACCTGCTGGAGCGCATACTACGGGTGGGTGTTGCTATGGTGACCAATGAGCTAAGATAAGGCGGGGAATTGCCTAGCAGTGATTTATAGATGACCTGGAGCCAGTGGGTTTGGCGACGAATATGTAGTGAGGGCCAGCCAACGAGAGCGTACAGGTCACAATGGTGGGTAGTATATGGGGCTTTGATGACAAAACGGATGGCACTGTGATAGACTACATCCAATTTGCTGAGTAGAGTGTTGGAGGCTATTTTGTAAATTACATCGCCGAAGTCAAGGATCGGTAGGATAGTCCGTTTTACGAGGGCGTGTTTGGCAGCATGAGTGAAGGAGGCTTTGTTGCGAAATAGGAAGCCGATTCTAGATTTAACAGACACCTAGGTATTTGTAGTTGTCCACATATTCTAAGTCAGACCCGCCGAGAGTAGTGATTCTATTCGGGCAGGGCGGGAGCAAGCAGCGTTCGATTGAAGAGCATGCATTTAGTTTTACTAATGTTTAAGAGCAGTTGGAGGCTACTGAATGAGTGTTGAATGGCATTGAAGCTCGTTTGGAGGTTTGTTAACACAGTGTCCAATGAAGGGCCAGATGTATACAAAATGGTGTCGTCTGCGTAGAGGTCGATCTGAGAGTCACCAGCAGCAAGAGCGACATCAATGATATACACAGAGAATAGAGTCGGCCCGAGAATTGAACCCTGTGGCACCCCCATAGACTGCCAGAGGTCCAGACAACAGGCCCTCCGATTTGACACATTGAACTCTATCTGAGAAGTAGTTGGTGAACCAGGCGAGGCAGTCATTTGAGAAACCAAGGCTATTTAGTCTGCCAATAAGAATGCGGTGGTTGACAGAGTCGAAAGCCTTAGCCAGGTTGATGAAGACGGCTGCACAGTACTGTCTTTTATCGATCGCGGTTATAATATCGTTTAGGACCTTGAGCGTGGCTGAGGTGCACCCATGACCAGCTCGGAAACCAGATTGCATAGCGGAGAAGGTACGGTGGGATTCGAAATCGTCGGTGATCTGTTTGTTAACTTGGCTTTCAAATACTTTCGAAAGGCAGGGAAGGATGGATATATGTCTGTAACAGTTTGGATCTAGAGTGTCACCCCCTTTGAAGAGGGGGATGACTGCGGCAGCTTTTCAATCTCTACGAAAGAGAGGTTGAACAGGCTAGTAATAGGGGTTGCGACAATTTCGGTGGCTAATTTTAGATAAGAAAGGGTCCAGATTGTCTAGCCCAGATGATTTGTAGGGGTCCAGATTTTGCAGCTCTTTCAGAACATCAGCTGTTTGAGTTTGGGTGAAGGAGAAGCGGGGGGGCATGGGCAAGTTGCAGCAGAGGGTGCAGAGCTGGTGGCCGGGGTAGGGGTAGTCTGGGTGGAAAGCATGGCCAGCCGTAGCAAAATGCTTGTTGAAATTCTCGATTATCGTAGATTTATCGGTGGTGACAGTGTTTCCTAGCCTCAGTGCAGTGGGCAGCTGGGAGGAGTTTACAGGACTTTACAGTGTCCCAAATCTTTTTGGAGTTAGTGCTACAGGAAGCACATTTCTGTTTGAAAAAGCTAGCCTTTGCTTTCCTAACTGATTGTATATTCTCTACTTTACAGGCAGAGAACAGGCTACAGGGGAAGTTAGATCAAAATTAGATCAAGCTGAATCAATGTCTGCAAGATCACATAATGATCACAGTATTCTACATAACAGAACCGAATATAATAGTATAACGTTACTTTAAGACAAAAACACCACCACCAGTTTTTTTTCTTGTGTGGCCAAAACTCAACAGCGTGCGCCACTAGGTAAAATGCTCTAAAATCTGCTCACTGTACAGTCGTGGTCAAAAGTTTTGAGAATGACACAAGTATTGGTCTTCACAAAGTTTGCTGCTTCAGTGTTTTTAGATATTTTTGTCAATGTTCCTATGGTATACTGAAGTATAATTACAAGCATTCCATAAGTGTCAAAGGCTTTTATTGACAATTACATTAAGTTTATGCAAAGAGTCAATATTTGCAGTGTTGACCCTTCTTTTTCAAGACCTCTGCAATCCGCCCTGGCATGCTGTCAATTAACTTCTGGGCCACATCCTGACTGATGGCAGCCAATTCTTGCGTAATCAAAGTTCTCAATGGGATTAAGGTCTGGGGAGTTTCCTGGCCATGGACCCAAAATGTCGATGTTTTGTTCCACGAGCCACTTAGTTATCTTGGGCGCCCTGAAGCCTTCTTCACAACAATTGAACCTCTCTCCTTGAAGTTGTTGATGATCCGATAAATGGTTGATTTAGGTGCAATCTTACTAGCAGCAATATCCTTGCCTGTGAAGCCCTTTTTGTGCAAAGCAATGATGACGGCACGTTTCCTTGCAGGTAACCATGGTTAACAGAGGAAGAACAATGAATTCAAGCACCACCCTCCTTTTTAAAGCTTCCAGTCTGTTATTCTAACTCAATCAGCATGACAGAGTGATCTCCAGCCTTGTCCTCATCAACACTCTCTCTCACCTGTGTTAACGAGAGAATCACTGACATGATGTCAGCTGGTCCTTTTGTGGCAGGGCTGAAATGCAGTGGAAATGTTTTTGGGGGATTTAAATTCATTTTCATGGAAACGAGGGACTTTGCAATTAATCTGATCACTCTTCATGACATTCTGGAGTATATGCAAATTGCCATCATCAAAACTGAGGCAGCAGACTTTGTGAAAATTAGTATTTGTGTCATTCTCAAAACTTTTGACCACGACTGAACATCATTCAAAACAACACTGAAGGCTACTACGACAACACTGTAACTCAAGATCTAAGTGCATATCCCCATGATACTGATCAAATGGTTGATTTACAATGGGTAAAACTTGAAGAATTATCATTTGCGATTGAATGCAGTGGTGATTTTGTCTTACAGTAACGTTATACTATGCTATTATATAGTCGGTTCTGTTATGTAGAATACTGTGATCATTATGTGAGATCTTACAGACATTGATTCAGCTTGATCTAACTTTATTAAACGAGCAGCATTCGCCTGAATAGCCTGTTCTCTGCGCGTAAAGTATAGAATACACATTTGCAGAATCTTCGGAAGCTCTGGATCCACAGCCATGGCCTAAAAAGAAACTGGATGGAGCTAAGCACAGGCAAAATCCAAGACACATACCTGCTTCAGTCTGCTTTACACAAGACACTGGGAGAGGAATTCCCCTTTCAGCCAGTCAATAACCTACAACACAATGCCAAATATACTTTGGAGTTGCTTACCAAGAAGACAGTGAATCTTCGTGAGTGGCCGAGTTACAGTTTTGACTTAAATATGCTTGAAAATATATGGCAATACTTGAAAATTGCTGTCCAGCCATGATCCCCAACACCTTGACAGAGCTTGAAGAATTTTGAAAAGAATAATGGGCAAATATTGTACAATCCAGGTGTGCAAAGCTCTTAAGAGACTTAACCAAGAATGCTTATCTAATCAAGATATAATTGTTTTATTTTTCATAAATTCCACTTTGACAGAGTATTTTCTGTACATCGCTGACAAAAAATGACGCATCCATTTTAAAACCTCTTAGATGTAAGGTCCCCTGGTTAGGGGACCTGCATGATTCTGGTACCGGTTCTGACTGACATTTTCGCTTAAATCGATTTGTGGACACCATAGATCGAAATGGCTTGCATTGAGCGATGGCCCTGGTTCCCACGGTCACAGTAGTATTTTTTCAGAGCCTGTGAAGTAGGATGTGAAATCTGAAACCACTTGAAGCTGGGATGTTCCTCCTACCATTTCAGCCACTGACACATTTTTTGTCATTTAGCAGACGCTCTCATCCAGAGCGACTTACAGTTAGTGAGTGCATACATTTTCATACTGGCCCCCCGTTGGAAACGAACCCACAACCCTGGCGTTGCAAGCGCCATGCTCTACCAACTGAGCTACAGGGGACTACACATGCCTGCAATCGTTACATCGTAGCGCAGCAGGAGAGAGTGGTTTCGTCACGGTAGTATTCAGAGATCGATTTATAGCCATTAATCTAAAATAATTAATAGATTTTAAACAAACACTTTCTGTTTGTCATAGACGAACAATATTAATATAAGATGAAAGGTGAGTTCCTAGTGAGTTCAGGAAGCCAATCTAGAGCTCTGTGAGACGTTCAGTGTTGGGGGCAAACATTTTGATCATGAGCGACCTTTAGAAAATATGCAAATGTTTTCTCTAACACTAAACATACACACATGTATTTTACAGTTATAAGGAAGGTGAAATCTTATAGTTAGTCATTTTATAATTTGATTATGCTATATTTAGAAAGCACATGTCATTTCAAGCCTTTATTCATACAGTTTTGTTGAATAGGAAATGCATCATATAAAATATTTCATATTTTCTAATTTGTACTGTGTACTTGAGCTTGTGTCCTCAAAAGTGACTACACCTCAGCAATCTATAACTGTTTTTACCAGAAAGGTGAGATTTTAACATTTTCTTTGAGGATGCAGCATTACTAGTTATTGTTTATGGTCCTCTCATGATAAATAATTACTTTTAGGGATTACGTAGATTACATTTTCGATTTATATTTTGTTACATTTAACTGGTTATTCCCACTTTGTAACAATAAAATGTGAAGAAATCTAAGGAGAGTGAATACTTATGATAGGCACTGTACACGATGTAAAGCGGAGTGCCTGGATACAGCCTTCAGCCGTGGTATATTGGCCACAAACCCAACATAAATAGAACCGTAAACAAGTATTTCTGCATCATACCTGTGGTATATTGTCTGATATACACACAGCTGATTGCTGTTTCAGCCAATCAGCATCCAGGATCCAAACTACCTGGTTTGTAATCCATTTTATAAACCGGGTACCAGTTTATAATAGCAATAAGGCAGCTCAGGGGTTTGTGGTATATGGCCAATATACCATGGCTAAGTGCTGTATCCAGGCACTCCATTTCGCGTTGTGCATAAGAACAGCCCTTAGTCGTAGTATATTGGCCAATGTACCACACCCCCTCGGGCCTTATTGCTTAAGTAGCCATTTACATTATAAGTGTTTCTTATGTGTCAAATTATATTTTCCAGGTGGTGTCTAGTAGAAAGCATACTAGACCACTTGTGTTGAAGAACAACAGGCCTGCAGGAAAAGGGACCATTACAGTGAGTCACTTAAGAGATGTTTGTTGTTTTTCATCTGTTATGTTTGTTGTTGTCTGTTTTTTTACTTATTAATTTTCTTTGTAGATAAGTGCTGAAGAAATAAAAGACAACAGGGTGGTGAATTTTGAGGCTGAAGCAAGGAAACTGGACAACAAGGTATCGATACAATATTGAAGAATGTGCTCCAAACACGGGTCATCCCATGAGCAACGTATCTCTTGAAGTGATACTTGCTGCTCTGTAAAGCCAACAATTGAGAGAAATGAAGCACACAATAGTTAGCCTAGTTGCTTGTGTCTGTGTGACTGTTTGACTTATAATGTTTTGACTGTTTTTTTTTATGGCTGTTTCCAGGATTTCTTTGGGAAGTCGGATCCTTACCTGGAGTTCTACAAGCAGACAGAGACTGGATGGCAGCTGGCTCATAGAACAGAGGTAAAGTGCAACATAGACATATTTCTATGGAGTACAACACACTCTCATACGGCCCATTTCAACTGAGACTTTTTAATTGGTTTTACAACTATATACAACTTCCATCCAGTTATGCATCAAATACTGTACTCCTGGTCTTATTTTGCATTTTGTGAATGTTAAAGAGGAAGTTTTTAATTGTTTGTGTGAAATGTGCATGCAATACCCATAGACTATGTAATGTCCTGTTGCACACTAGAGATGGGCACGGTTAATCGAATATCCGGATATCCTAACAGACATTAGGACAATTAGGCCTATTTTAACAATGAAAACGTTTTGTCTAAATTAAATTGTCCATGTGACATTGTTACACACAAGGATATGACATTTGAAATGCATAATTTAATAAAACAACAAATGTAAGAAGGTAGTGTTTATGTATGCTGCATTGAGCTACTGCTTCAGACATCATGGCTTTGACAGTACATTTGTTTACAGTTGCACACTATACATGTAGCCTACAGTTCTGAGGACGCACAGTTGTTTTATTTTCAAGCTAATTATGTTTTACATGAAAAGGCATTTTACTATCATAGCGCATTTAGCCCTCCAACGGTATGCTATTTTACCCCTCTTCAGGGATTAGCCTTCATGCGCTCCAACGGAGGGTCCACAAGACCTGACACAGATCAAAGCAGAACACTCAACAGAAAACCTTTTTTAAACAATCACTTCTTTGATGGCTAACATCAGGCTTCTTTCGCAGTTGCTGTTAGCCGAGGCTACCGTTAGCCAAAAACTACCGAGCTAGCACCCTGAAAACAACTACGCACTGTCTGCTGTTGTGGCATTTTGCCTCATTCTGATTGGTCAAGAGTAGAGCATTTTATTTTTTTTGACTTCATGATATTATTCTATTAGTGAAATAACTTCAAATGACCATCACTATTGTGCACTGTTCCCTGACTCACACTGGAGTCAGTGCATAACATTTGCATTGTTTAGTCATGCGTGCATACATTTTTTGTGTGGTCCTCTGTAGCTCAGCTGGTAGAGCACGGCGCTTGTAACGTCAAGGTAGTGGGTTCGATCCCCGGGACCACCCATACACAAAAAATGTATGCACGCATGACTGTAAGTCGCTTTAGATAGATGCGTCTGCTAAATGGCTAATTCATTAATTAATTAAATTCTCCTTTTGTCTAGAAACTCATTACTCTCCTCCTATTCTTGGCCCAGATGCCTATAATGTGATTGAACCAAATGCAATGTAGCTAATGAGTGTCTGCTCGTGTACTGTGTCCAGACACTGGTGTTGTGGTACAGAGTGTGGTTAGTGGTAATGCGATTCAGATAATGGTTACTACAGTCATGGTCAAAAGTTTTGAGAATGACACAAGTATTGGTCTGCACAAAGTTTGCTGCTTCAGTGTTTTTAGATATTTTTGTCAGATGTTCCTATGGTATACTGAAGTATAATTACAAGCATTCCATAAGTGTCAAAGGCTTTTATTGACAATTACATTAAGTTTATGCAAAGAGTCAATATTTGCAGTGTTGACCCTTCTTTTTCAAGACCTCTGCAATCAGCCCTGGCATGTTGTCAATTAACTTCTGGGCCACATCCTGACTGATGGCAGCCCATTCTTGCATAATCAATGCTTGGAGTTTGTCAGAATTTGTGGGTTTTTGTTTGTCCACCCGCCTCTTGAGGATTGACCACACGTTCTCAATGGGATTAAGGTCTGGGAAGTTTCCTGGGCATGGACCCAAAATGTCGATGTTTTGTTCCCAGAGCCACTTAGTTATCACTTTTGCCTTATGGCAAGGTGCTCCATCATGCTGGAAAAGGCATTGTTCGTCACCAAACTGTTCTTGGATGGTTGGGAGAAATTGCTCTCGGAAGATGTGTTGGTACCATTCTTTATTCATGGCTGTGTTCTTAGGCAAAATTGTGAGTGAGCCCACTCCCTTGGCTGAGAAGCAACCCCACACATGAATGGTCTCAGGATGCTTTACTGTTGGCATGACACAGGACTGATTGTAGCGCTCACCTTGTCTTCTCCGGACAAGGTGTTTTCCGGATGCCCCAAACAATCGGAAAGAGAAAATGACTTTACCCCTTGAAGTTCTTGATGATTCGATAAATGGTTGATTTAGGTGCAATCTTACTAGCAGCAATATCCTTGCCTGTGAAGCCCTTTTTGTGCAAAGCAATGATGACGGCACGTGTTTCCTTGCAGGTAACCATGGTTAACAGAGGAAGAACAATGATTTCAAGCACCACCCTCCTTTTTAAAGCTTCCAGTCTGTTATTCTAACTCAATCAGCATGACAGAGTGATCTCCAGCCTTGTCCTCGTCAACACTCTCACCTGTGTTAACGAGAGAATCACTGACATGATGTCAGCTGGTCCTTTTGTGGCAGGGCTGAAATGCAGTGGAAATGTTTTTTGGGGATTAAGTTCATTTTCATGGCAAAGAGGGACTTTGCAATTAATTGCAATTCATCTGATCACTCTTCATAACATTCTGGAGTATATGCAAATTGCCATTCTCAAACCTTTTGATCACGACTGTATATTTGTCCCTGTGCCCTGCATAAGGTGGTGAAGAACAACCTGAACCCAACATGGAAACCCTTCAGAATCCCCCTGCAGTCTCTGTGTGGAGCAGACATGGACAAACCTATAAAGGTATGCAGACACACAACCACACGTGTTCCAGTACTAACCACCTTACACATCAGCAACTCTCTCACTGCACAGACACTGAAATATTCCAGATATTTTGTATTTGATTTGGAGAATGTTTTGCTGTAACACCCTTCCTGGAATTGTGTGTGGTTTGCATGATAATAACACAGGTAATAACCTTAAGATACGTCACCTCCACAATTATTGGCACCCTTGATAAAAAGATGAGCAAAAAATATTGTATAAATAATACAAATACTGAGCTATATTGTAGAGAAGAGATTTTGTTTAACAAGTTTTTTTTCTTTCTATAAAAGATAGTTGCAAGGATAACGGCACTGAACCTTTTTCTGTAATGTTTTATGAGATTGGAGAACACATTGGGAGGGATCTTAAACCATTCATCCATTATAAAATCTTTCTTGATTCTGGATATTCTTTGGTCTGCGCTTATGGACTGCCCTCTTCAATTCAAACCACAGGTTTTCAATTGGGTTCAAGTCCGGAGACTGAGATGACCATAACAAAATGTAGATTTTTATGTGTGCTCGGGGTCATTGTCTTGCTGGACAATCCACTTGCGACAATTTTCTGCCTCCTGGCAGAGGCAACCAGGTTTTTGGCTAAAATGTCTTGGTACTTGGTAGAGTTCATGATGCCGTTGACCATAACATCAAAGATCCAACACCATATTTTACAGTAGGTAGGAGGTTCTTATCTGCATATGCATCCTTCTTTCGAAGTCAAACCCACCACTGGTTTGCGTGGCCAAAGACCTGTATTTTTGACTCATCTGACCATAGCACCTGGTTCCAATCTAACTGCCAATGCCATGTAGCAAACTCCAGGCATTTACATTTGTTGGTTGCTCTCAAAAAAAAAAAAAAATCTGGCAACCCTTCCAAAGAGCCTATTGGCATGAAGGTGGCGTCTAATTGTACATTTGGAGACTTGGTGACCCAAGATGTGACCAAGTTCTGTAATTCTCTGACTTTGGCCCTTGGATAATCCTTTACCTCCTGAACCATCTTCCTCACTAAGCTTGGGGACAAGATATACATGCATCTTTTTCCAGCAAGTTTACCACTGTTCCAGGTATGAGATATATTTCAATTTTTATAAAGAAAAATATTTTACCCATTGTTTGTTTACAGTGCCTTCAGAAAGTATTCTCACCCCTTTTCTCACACATTTTCCACATTTTGTTGTTACAGCCTGTATTTAAAAAGGATTAAATTGAGATTTTGTGTCACTGATCTAAACACAATACCCCATAATGTCAAAGTGGAATTTTGTTTCTAGACAGCTAAAATGTCTCGAGTAAATAAGAATTCAACCCCTTTGTTATTGCAAGCCTAAATAAGTTCAGGAGTAAAAATGTGCTAAGTCACATAATAAGTTGCATGGACTCATTCTGTGTTTAGTAATAGTGGTTAACATGATTTTTGAATGACTACCCCATCTCTGTACCCCACATATACAATTATCTGTAAGTTCCCTCTATCGAGTGGTGAAATTTAAGCACAGATTCAACCACAAGCATGGTGGTGGCTGCATCATGTTATGGGTATGCTTATCATCGGCAAAGACTAGCTAAGGCAGGGGGGTCAAACTCATTCCATTGAGGGCCTAGTGTCTGCTGATTTTTGGGTTTTCCTTTCAATTAAGACCTAGACAACCAGTTGAAGGGAGTTCCTTACTAATTAGTGATCTAAATTCATCAATCAAGTACAAGGGAGGAGCGAAAACCCGCAGACACTCGGCCCTCCGTGGAATGACTAGGAAGGTTTTTTAGGATAAAAATAAATGGAATAGAACTAAGCACAGGCAGTTTTGACTTAAATTTGCTTGACTTGAAAATGGCTGTCTAGCAATAATCAACAATCAACTTGACAGAGCTTGAATAATAAAAAAAAAAAAGAATAATTGGCAGATATTGTACAATCCATGTGTGCAAAGCTCTTAGACTTACCCAAAAAGACTCCGCTGTAATTGCCGCCAAAGGTGCTTTTTGGGGGGCATACAATATAGCTCAGTATTTGTATTTATTTTATATAGTATTTTTTGCTCATCTTAATCAAGGGTGCCAATAATGTTGGAGGTGACCGTACTTGTTAACTGTTTTAAACAGAGCGGGGGAAAAATAACTGCATTAACTCTCACGTTTTTATAATAGATTTTAAATGGTTATCTTTCTCTACTATTAGCTAAGTGGACTACTACTGTACATAGTCTGTACAGCATTAGAGGGCATTGATTGATGTTGACAATTGGTGATTTTTCAGCTGTAAATACACCTAATGCAGTATTTTAAGGAACAACTGATACCCACACTGGAGGACATGTGAGTTACCCTCGGACCTGGGTTCAAATTGTACTTTTTTGAGGGTTGTGATTGAGCCTGCCTGTGCCTACACTTTAAGGACTCTTTCATTGGTTTCAATGTCACAAACAAGCTCAATCAAGCACAAACAAAGTATTTATATGGAAACAAATCTTATTTAAACCCAGGTCAGTTACAGTCATCAGCACGGTGTGTGTGTCCAACTCCAACCTCATGTGTCTTCAGTAGAAGGGTGAAGTGACTAGCCAGTTGTCAGTAGTGGAACACTGGAATGGGTGGGAAACACTTACCCTGTAGTAGGCTGTATCCATCCTGTACTGATAGCCACGGATCCAGCACTTCCATAGACATCCATATTGTCTTTGTTGGACACATGGCGGAAATTGATGATGAAGCTTCCTCTGTCATCATGGCATCATCATCTTGTTGTGCAGTAGTGTTAGTTAACTTAGTGTTAGTTAACTTAGTGTTATTTAACTTAGTGGGTGTGAACTTTGCTCTGAGTTTGGTTTGCTGTCTTGGTTTGGTGTTTTCCATTGCATGATCTTCTTGTTCACCCTCTGTCTGATTCTTAGTGAATATGATGTGAACGATGTTTGTTTGGGGTTTGAAACAGTTTGTGTGTTCATGTTACACACATCTTTTGAGGAGTCATCTTGTGGCTTGTTGCTAACCTGTTGATAACTCAGACTATGCTCGTCCTAAGGTGGAGTGCTACGACTATGACAATGATGGATCTCATGACCTCATTGGAATCTTTGAGACCACCATGACACGTCTGCAAGAGGCATCGCGTACCTCACCGGTGAGATGGAGTGCAAGGGTTACTCTGCATGTGTCTGTCTGTGTGGTGCTTCTCATCCTTGCTCCTCTGACCCTCCCCAGGCTGAGTTTGAATGTATCAACAGTAAAAAGCAACAGAAGAAGAAGGGATACAAAAACTCTGGTGTGGTGAGTGTGAAGCTGTGTCAGGTGGTGAAGGAGTATACCTTCCTGGACTACATCATGGGCGGTTGCCAGATCAACTTCACTGTGAGTAAAGATTTCTCTCTAAATGACCTCTAGCACAGAAATGTACCTTTCATGCTGAGTTTTCTGTATTGTACGTCACACTTGTTTGTTTTATTATTCATTGTATTTCAATTTGTATCCTATGCCTGCCAGCTAAAATGTATTCTCGGGGTTGAAGAAAGTTCATTGAATTGAACTGCCACCACAACAAGCCTCGTCTCTGTCTCCCTCTCCCTCTCCCTCTGTAGGTGGGTATTGACTTCACAGGGTCAAACGGTGACCCCAAGTCTCCCCAGTCTCTCCACTACATCAGTCCACAGGGGGTCAATGAATACCTGTCTGCCATCTGGTCCGTTGGCATGGTGATCCAAGACTATGACAGGTAATCTGACCTGTACTACTCCCTATATACTACATTATGTATGGTGCGGTGACTGGGAAACTCATATGCTGAATTATTTATTTTCCCCATGTAAATTCAATGGTGCTGTATGTTTTTGCTTGTACTGCCTGCCCCTGGAACTGTTGGATGCAAAAATACTGGTCTTACCATTTATCCGGCTTTGCATTCTGTTAACCTTAGGCAATAGTTGTATGTGTGAATGTTAATGATTAGGAGGAGTGTGTGTGGATATTCATGTTTAAAGATGGAATGTGCTGATGCATTTAAAGTTAGCAAGTAAGCTGTTTAGTTAGACTGAGGTGGTTTCCATAGACAAGGTGTCATGATATGACCATGCCTCTTAGTTTCCATTGTGGTTGTATCATTGTTTTGAATGATGGGGAAGTATCTGACTGAAATGTTCCCTGCAGTGACAAAATGTTCCCTGCCTTTGGCTTTGGAGCACAGATCCCACCCACCTGGCAGGTAAATATGGATTTTCATATGGTGAACATCTTAATATCTCGTGGACAGACGCATGTAACAGGATAAAAATGCAAGAAAAGCCCTATCAGAATGCTAATAAAATTAGCACAAACTAATAGTGAAATCACATAGGCGCTGTTAGCTAAACCCTAATGAGTGAAAACTAACAAACTCATTGCAATGACATGCAAATCCATAAAGTTATACAAGCATAGCTAGTTGCTACCGAATGTCATTTTTGGTGAGTGTGGACATTTACAAGCGAAAGTGAATGAGAGAAATTTTGCAAATGAACAAAGTTGTGACGCATGCTTTTCTGAAGGAAGAGCAGCACGTGTACACGGAGAAGAATGAAGGATATAAAAACGCTTGTAGGAAGCACAGGGAAAAAATCACATCCAGAGCTCTTTGACTTCTGGCAGAAAGCCATTCTACGATATCTGATGGCAAACATTTAGTAGTGAATTGCATACAAGTGTAACTTCATCACCTCATGTGCGCTGCACAACAGATATTCGCTGCAAGATATATATAATGCTATGGACTCGCCAGCTCCCGCTTTCTCCCGTTGTGATATTTACAAACACGTAACTGGCTCAACTGTTCTAGGGAACTACGGTAAGCTTCATAATGTAAAATAATGTGACCAATAAAATTTGATTTGATTTGATTTGAACTTAACGCAGATCCAAGTTCAGTTTTGAGATCCAATGGTGTCATTAGCGTAGGGTTAGCTGGACGTTTCTGACTGGTCTTGGAACTGTGACAACTGGCAGCCTCTCCCCGCTTGACTCAGTGGGATATTTAGTGATTTTGCCAACACAGCCAGATATGTTCACAATCTTGTACCCTTAACCATTTTTAAACTGACTATCGTATTTGTTGATTAAATCAGACGTTTTATTAATGCAATGAGTAATCTAGGAATGTCACAAGTTAATTGACACAAGAAAAATAGCAATTCTACAGAGCGCAATGACTACAATGAATGGCTAAATTACTTCCGGACACAAAGGGTCCGCGGAGCTCCACTTTCTCACCACTATTAGGCAAGGTTTTAGTTCTGGGTATCTGAGATGGTGAACATCGCAGTCCTGCTTTAAATGACGTTCAGCTTATAAAGGCTTCAAAAAGCCATTATGCCTTCATAAGCACTACATAAATGTGTTACAAAGCATCTATAACCGTATGTCATGCTTTATAAAGGGTTCATAAATGTGGCATAACTGACATAATCAATGTCAAATGTGACATAACCCACTATGTCGAATATGATATAAACACGTTCTTTATAAAGGATGACATGTTGTGCTGAAGGATGGCATACGCTCTAAAGTGATGTCATGTCACATTACACCTAATCTCGTTCCCAGACACTTCCGCCCAAATGCCCGGAAGGTCTGGTGGACCAACGCATCAAACTTGGCCTTCATTAGTTAGTGTTAGGTTTAAAATAAAATATTAAGAAAAATAGTGGAAATAGGCAGGGATTAACAATAATTATGACTTTTTGACTGCGTTAAATAGTGATGGTGACAATACTTTACTCAGTAAGGTCACTCCTATAGAATTATAAAGCCAACTTTGAATGGTTGATATCCCAGGCTTATATATGCTGTGTGTGTAATAGTCTGGAGACGACGTTACACCAAGAAACACTTACCTTGATGAAAGCCCCCAACCTAAAGAAATTTAAAGTGTCTTTCTTCTGGAACCAAGTTACATGTTCCTCAGTACACAAACACGCACACAACAAAAACAAGCCATACTGTGCGGTGCTGGGCCCAGTCAAGTCTTTGACACATTCACCCACTTCCCCGCTGAACGATCAGCCACAAAATGTTGCCACCATTGTAACAGGTTGTAATCAAGCCCTGGTCTCCACCATGGGAACAGAAGAGGAATACCTGATGCGGTAGTCTCAGGGTGGACTACGCCAAATCATCTTGGTTCTGACACACACACACACACACACACACACACACGCAAGCTTTGCCCTACAGTAACCTGTGGATCATGAGAGAACCTTCATAAATCAGCAGAATGTTAACAACCTATTTATTGACACTTTATGTAGTGTCCTGTAATACTTAGTTTGAAGTGAGACGCCTTCGGTCATTCATAACACATCCATAAAGACTATCGCATGACGCTGTACTTAATTTAAATCAAATCAAATTTTATTGGCCACATGCGCCGAATACAACAGGTGCAGACATTACAGTGAAATGCTTACTTACAGCCCTTAACCAACAGTGCATTTATTTTAAATAAAAAAGTAAAATAAAACAACAACAAAAAAGTGTTGAGAAAAAAGAGCAGAAGTAAAATAACAGTAGGGAGGCTATATATACAGGGGGGTACCGGTGCAGAGTCAATGTGCGGGGGCACCGGCTAGTTGAGGTAGTTGAAGTAATATATACATGTGGGTAGAGTTAAAGTGACTATGCATAAATAATTAACAGAGTAGCAGCAGCGTAAAAAGATGGGTTGGGGGGGGCAGTGCAAATAGTCCGGGTAGCCATGATTAGCTGTTCAGGAGTCTTATGGCTTGGGGGTAGAAGCTGTTGAGAAGTATTTTTGACCTAGACTTGGCACTCCGGTACCGCTTGCCGTGCGGTAGCAGAGAGAACAGTCTATGACTAGGGTGGCTGGAGTCTTTGACAATTTTGAGGGCCTTCCTCTGACACCGCCTGGTATAGAGGTCCTGGATGGCAGGAAGCTTGGCCCCAGTGATGTACTGGGCCGTACGCACTACCCTCTGTAGTTCCTTGCGGTCGGAGGCCAAGCAGTTGCCATACCAGGCGGTGATGCAACCAGTCAGGATGCTCTCGATGGTGCAGCTGTAGAATTTTTTGAGGATCTGTGGACCCATGCCAAATCATTTCAGTCTCCTGAGGGGGAATAGGCTTTGTCGTGCCTTCTTCACGACTGTCTTGGTGTGTTTGGACCATGATAGTTAGTTGGTGATGTGGACACCAAGGAACTTGAAGCTCTCAACCTGTTCCACTACAGCCCCGTCAATGAGAATGGGGGCGTGCTCAGTCCTTTTTTTTCTTCCTGTAGTCCACAATCATCTCCTTTGTCTTGGTCACGTTGAGGGAGAGGTTGTTATCCTGGCACCACACGGCCAGGTCTCTGACCTCCTCCCTATAGGCTGTCTCATCACTGTCGGTGATCAGGCCTACCACTGTTGTGTCGTCGGCAAACTTAATGATGGTGTTGGAGTCGTGCCTGGCCATGCAGTCATGGGTGAACAGGGAGTACAGGAGGGGACTGAGCACGCACCCCTGAGGGGCCCCCGTGTTGAGGATCAGTGTGGCAGATGTGTTGTTACCTACCCTTACCACCTGGGGGCGGCCCGTCAGGAAGTCCAGGATCCAGTTGCAGAGGGAGGTGTTTAGTCCCAGGATCCTTAGCTTAGTGATGAGCTTTGAGGGCACTATGGTGTTGAATGCTGAGCTGTAGTCAATGAATAGCATTTTCACATAGGTGTTCCTCTTGTCCAGGTGGGAAAGGGCAGTGTGGAGCGCAATAGAGATTGCATCATCTGTGGATCTGTTGGAGCGGTATGCAAATTGGAGTGGGTCTAGGGTTTCTGGGATTATGCTGTTGATGTGAGCCATGACCAGCCTTTCAAAGCACTTCATGGCTACAGACGTCAGTGCTACGGGTCGGTAGTCATTTAGGCAGGTTATCTTAGTGTCCTTGGGCACGGGGACTATGGTGGTCTGCTTGAAACATGTTGGTATTACAGACTCAGTCAGGGACATGTTGAAAATGTCAGTGAAGACACTTGCAAGTTGATCAGCACGTGCTCGGGGTACATGTCCTGGTAATCCGTCTGGCCCTGCGGCCTTGTGAATGTTGACCTGCTTAAAAGTCTTACTCACATCGGCTACGGAGAGCGTGAACACATAGTCATCCGGAACAGCTGGTGCTCTCATGCATGCTTCAGTGTTGCTTGCCTCGAAGCGAGCATAGAAGTGGTTTAGCTCATCTGGTAGGCTTGTGTCACTGGGAAGCTCGCGGCTGTGCTTCCCTTTGTAGTCTGTAATAGTTTTCAAGCCCTGCCACATCCCACGAGCGTCAGAGCCGGTGTAGTAATATTCAATCTTAGTCATGTATTGACTCTTTGCCTGTTTGATGGTTCGTCAGAGGGCATAGCGGGATTTCTTATAAGCGTCCGGGTTAGAGTCCCGCTCCTTGAAAGCGGCAGCTCTACCCTTTAGCTCAGTGCGGATGTTTCCTGTAATCCATGGCTTCTGGTTGGGGTATGTACGTACGGTCACTGTGGGGACGACATCATCGATGCACTTATTGATGAAGCCAGTGACTGATGTGGTGTACTCCTCAATGCTATCTGAAGAATCCCGGTACATGTTCCAGTCTGTGCTAGCAAAACAGTCCTGTAGCTTAGCATCTGCGTCATCTGACCACTTTTTTATTAACCGAGTCACTGGTGCTTCCTGCTTTAGTTTTTGCTTATAAGCAGGAATCAGGAGGATAGAGTTATGGTCAGATTTGCCAAATGGAGGGCGAGGGAGAGCTTTGTATGCGTCTCTGTGTGTGGAGTAAAGGTGGTCTAGAGTTTTTTTTTTCCTCTGGTTGCACATTTAACTTGCTGGTAGAAATGAGGTAAAACGGATTTAAGTTTCCCTGCATTAAAGTCCCCGGCCACTAGGAGCGCTGCCTCTGGATGAGCATTTTCCTGTTGACTTATGGCCTTATACAGCTCATTCAGTGCAATCTTAATGACAGCATTGGTTTGTGGTGGTAAATAGACAGCTATGAAAAGTATAGATGAAAACTCTCTTGGTAAATAGTGTGGTCTACAACTTATAAGATACTCTACCTCAGGCTAGCAAAACCTTGAGACTTCCTTAGTATTTGATTTTGTGCACCAGCTGTTGTTTACAAATATACACAGACCGCCACCCCTTGTCTTACCGGAGTCAGCCGTTCTATCCTGCCGATGTAGCGTATAGCCCGCTAGCTGTATGTTATCCATGTCGTCGTTCAGCCACGACTCGGTGAAACATAAGATATTACAGTTTTTAATGTCCCGTTGGTAGGATAACTGTAATCTTAGGTCATCCAATTTATTTTCCAATGATTGAAGATTGGCTAATAGGATTGATGGGAGCGGCAGTTTACTCGCTCGCCGTCGGATCCTTACAAGGCATCCCAACCTACGTCCACGATATCTCCGTCTCTTCCTCATGCGAATGACGGGGATTTGGGCCTTGTCGGGTGTCTGTAGGATATCCTTCGCGGCCGCCTCGTTGAAGAAAAATTATTCGTCCAATACGAGGTGAGTAATCGCTGTCCTGATATCCAGAAGCTCTTTTTGGTTATAAGAGACGATGGCAGAAACATTATGTACAAAATAAATTACAAATAACGCGGAAAAACACACATAATAGTACAATTGGTTAGAGGGCTGTAAAACGGCAGCCATCTTCTCCGGCGCCATTTCGGAAAAAGTCAGACCCATTTGGTAATTTTATAACATAAATGCCTTGTAACATATGACGCTGTACTTACTATAAGTGACCGACTGGCTCGATTCGGTCTGATGTAGCAACATTTTAAATTATGTTTTTTTGCATTGGATAAAAGTAGAGACTCAGAGCTAGAAAATGGTATATCATACACTACAGTTGAGGAACAATGGGAAAGTAATTCTGCTTTGAAAGTTGATAAACTTGTAAACCCACTTTTGAGAAAATGGCTGTTGAATGTTTTGGTACACCTACTGGAGAGCTCTTCTTTGTCTACACACATTCAGCATCGTTCACACCCTCTTAAGCCAGCCCCACCCATCTCTTTAAGATTTCAAGACAAAAGGCTGGTTTATACTACGTCTATCGACATGTCTGTAGACAGTTGTCGCAGTGACATCATGAACATTCTATTGTCGTTATGAAAAAGTATAAACACAAAAACGACATGCTGCATGACATCAGCAGCCTGGTGGTCCAAAATAGCATAGTGTATTTTAACATCAATAAACCCATCCGTTTAAAAATGAATTTAGTATATGTCAATCTAGCAAACTAGGCAACTAAAAGCACCCTTTGAAACAATGTTTTGGTTCGATTCTAGCTTATTAGTTAGCTAGCTAACATTAAGTTTGCTGGCTAGCCAGTTCAAATAATGACCATATCATAGCTGACAATGTCTTAACTTTACCTAATTTGTGTTCATTGTTCCAGAAAATAAACTCACAACAAGATCATTATTTACAAGTTAATGTCGAGCTAATTACAGAAAATAGCTTACGGTTGTGAGTGTGATGAAATAAAAGCAGGGCATTCTACCGGAGAATTTTAGAACTTGGACACTGTCTCGTTGGCCTAACGTTATATCCTAATTCGACTTTGGTGCAGGTCATGTTGTTCTTCACATTACTGTCTCTGGTAAACACACACTATATCAACTAAAATCAAAGTTTATTTGTCACATGCACAGGATACAGAAGGTGTAAACGGTACAGTGAAATGTTTACTTGCATAGTGGAGTGTCTTGTTTAATCCCAACTCATAACGTTACTACCATGCATGAATCTGCAGGTAGCTAAAGCTATCCAACTAGGTTCAGTGTTAGCTAGCTAGCTAACGTTAGGCTATAACTAGCGACACAAATGGCTTTCTGACAAAATTAAAAATTCTTACCTGTATACCGGATAATAATTGTCTACACATTAACAATGATTCATATTTGTTCATATTTAAGTGACATTTGCATTAAATGTGGGTTTTAACCCATGTTTCAAGGTCAAATAAATGCCCCCAATGCGAATCACTGGATATGTAATACATATTGGCTTAGAGCAAGAACTATTCTCGGTGCAGCAGTAAAAGTATTGTAGTGAATACTCAGTAGGGTCTGTAGCATGTATATATGGTGTCATTTCATGGGGCTCTGAATAATACGGAGTGTTGCTGGCCTTTTACTCCGCCCATTCCATTGGTGGCCGAATCACATCATATGTGGGCTTACTGCACTACAGAAAACCTGCTAACCAAACAACAGTGCAGGGCATGCTCACTGAATTAAAGGGCAACTACACTCGATCAACATTTTTCCCAGACCTCAAAAGTCATCCCCTGATGTGGTTTAAGCATTGCTGTGAACACAGAACATGTAATTTTGTGGGTTTTCTATTAAAGAAGTGTGAAAAAAACGGGTAAACCCAGAAAAAAATGGGGAAATCTGAAACCTGGAAAAATTATATCAACAAAATCATGCTGTGCATGACTGCACTTTAGACTTTAGAGTGCGTGTCATACTGCAGCACAGCATTTTGAGGAAAGTTGTGGTCGGGTCCAATATTGACTATGCACCCAAGAGGGAAAGAGGTTGGGCCATCCTAGAAATGTTTTAATGAAATATAATATATCAAATTAGCAGACACTTATCCAAAGCGACTTTTATTTATATATATATATATATATATATATATAAATGGCCTTTATTAAGCGGTGCTTATGCCACCTTTTTATAAAGCATAGGTTTGTCATATATACATAGTGGGTTATGTCACATTTGACATAGTTGGATATGTCACACAGTTATGCCACATTTATGAACCCTTTATAAAGCATGACATATGGTTATAGATGTAACACATTTATGTAGTGTTTATGGAGCCTTTAAGCTGCACGTCATTTCAAGCGGGACCCATTTGGGTCTACAAGTATTATTTCTAGCAGAAATTCTAATTTGAATTTTCTGGATGTATTGTGTTTTACAGGTTTCTCATGAGTTCCCTCTCAGTTTCAACCCTGCAAATCCATTCTGTGCAGGTATGTGTGCAGACAGTTTTTGAAGGAAACCGTTATAACATGGTAATTAATATATATGGTTTGGGAGTTTTTCACAGTTTGTGTGTGCGTCTACAGGCATCGAGGGTATAGTGGAGGCCTACAGAGTGTGTCTTCCCCAGGTGAAGCTCTACGGTCCCACTAACTTCTCTCCCATCATCAACCATGTAGCCCGCTCCGCTCTGCAGGCTACCCAGCAGAAAACTGCCTCTGTGAGTAGTTATGCTACATACTGAACTGCCTCTGTGAGTAGCTATGCTACATACTGAACTGCCTCTGTGAGTAGCTATGCTACATACTGTACTGCCTCTGTGAGTAGCTATGCTACATACTGTACTGCCTCTGTGAGTAGCTATGCTACATACTGTACTGCCTCTGTGAGTAGCTATGCTACATACTGTACTGCCTCTGTGAGTAGCTATGCTACATACTGTACTGGCTCTGTGAGTAGCTATGCTACATACTGTACTGCCTCTGTGAGTAGCTATGCTACATACTGTACTGGCTCTGTGAGTAGCTATGCTACATACTGTACTGCCTCTGTGAGTAGCTATGCTACATACTGTACTGCCTCTGTGAGTAGCTATGCTACATACTGTACTGGCTCTGTGAGTAGCTATGCTACATACTGTACTGGCTCTGTGAGTAGCTATGCTACATACTGTACTGCCTCTGTGAGTAGCTATGCTACATACTGTACTGGCTCTGTGAGTAGCTATGCTACATACTGTACTGGCTCTGTGAGTAGCTATGCTACATACTGTACTGGCTCTGTATGTACTGTAAGGTTTTCCAGCACACAGCTTTGACCTACTACGGTAGCTATGTTGGTCTACTGTACTTCAAACAACATGTAGGCAGATTGCTTAGGATTCCATCCTCAAATAGCCTAATTTATACTCCTCATCCGCTTCTCCTCCCTCCTCCTCCAAGCAATACTTTGTCCTCCTGATCATAACGGACGGTGTGATCACGGATCTGGACCAGACACGCTCTGCCATCGTTAATGCCTCCCGTCTGCCCATGTCCATTATCATCATCGGTGTGGGCGGGGCCGACTTCACCGCCATGGAGTTCCTGGACGGTGACGACGGGCGGCTCAGGGCGCCAACGGGAGAGACGGCTGCGCGGGACATCGTCCAGTTCGTCCCCTTCAGACAGTTCCAGAACGTGAGTAGATAGTCATGCTGCTCTGCTCTCTGGAAAGGCTTCGATGATAGTATCCATATGTTTCTACAACATTGTTTATAGGATGACTGAGGTGTTGATACCATCGAAAAGGATGTCCGCAATTATGGCATCATTGACTTGAATGGGAAGCCTGTTCTACTCATTCTAGGTCTGTGATTGTAGTCTGGTGTAATCTGTCTCCTGTGTACTGACTAACTGCCTGATTTAACTAAGGATGCCACCCAGCATGGGTTTAACCACCTCAAATGATCAAAAGCATCTCCTTTCCTATCATCATAGATCCTCAATTGCTTATATCTGCATCACTTCAACCATCCCCCCAACCCTTAGAGCTTCTCCCACCCAGCATTGTTACTGTACCCTCTCATCTTGTTTCAGGCACCCAGGGAAGCTCTTGCTCAAAGCGTACTGGCAGAGTTGCCTGGACAAGTGGTGTCCTACTTCAGTATACACAAACTGAAGCCTCCCCATGACCCTGAGTCCCAGCCCTCAGCCCCGTCAGCCTCAGCCTTATGAGTCCCAGCCTCAGCCCAGTACTTCGTAGAAATGTAGGGATACATACCCCAAACGCTTCAGCTACTCCCCATTGGCTTCTTCAACCCAACCCCTGTCTGTGTGCTTCCTTGCATGGTACGCCTGTCCTAGCTAGTAACTAGCTTAGAATAATCGTAGTGCATGGCTGCTTGCAGGGCCCACCCAGTCCTATTGTTGTCATTTGTGATAGAAATCGACTTAACGGTTTATTTTGTATGAAAATAAAAATACAAGTTCATGGTCTTGAGGGACTTGAATGAATGAAAGTAGTCCCATTCAATGCATTGTTCTGCTCACCCCTGTATTGTCAGCCTGGTATTTAAGCGTTATCCCTTCCTCTGCATTTTCCTTCGTTATTGTCTCTTAACTTTCTCCATTATCCTCTCTTTTCTCTCCAGTCTCCTAAAGAGGCTCTGGCCCAGTCTGTGTTGGCTGAAGTCCCTGGTCAGGTGGTCACCTACTTCAACATGAACAAGCTGAGTCCTCCCAACACTGACGCTCCCCCTGCCTCCGTCCCTACACCAGCAGCTACCGCAGACAGGCCCACCCTCACCTCCTAGTGCCCAGGAGAGGAACCAACAACCAACCCCAGTACCCAGCACTCCAACCTATCCCCACCTCACAGAAGACAAAGTACACTGTCAGGATGAGTAGACAGTCGCTCATCTCAGTAGCTACCATAAGCACTCTCTGCTATCTATCATTGTGTCAAAGGGATCATGACCGGTTAACAAATCTCTAGCCATTACTAACTAGCATGCGTCAGGTTGAATTGAGCAGGGTGGAAGTTTTGTAGGGGGAACTTCTCCAAGTTAAAACAAAACACTGCATGTGTACTTACAGCAACCAACCACACATTGGTCCAGTCTGGCTTGTTCCCAATCTCCGTCAATAGGCCAAGCCCACAGCATGTGTACATATACTCATATGCACAGTGCCTAGTGAAAGTCTACACATCCTCTTGCACAGTTGTCACATTTTGCTGCCTTAAAACTAAATCTAAAAAGGGATTACATTTGTATTTTTTGCTACGATATGGATTACGATTCTACATGTTGCTCACTATATGTCTGCTGAAGAGAAGGCATTAAAAAAAAGTTTTTTTTGGATCAGTCATGGAAAGAAAAGTGTTAGCTTACTATTTAAAAAGAAGATGGAGAACAAGCTATTTGATGAAAAATACAAGAGTTTTGGCGCAGGTACAGCCAATTTAACGCTAGCTGGCCAAAAAAAAGGTATTATATTTTTTTCCAAAATCAATACTTGTCAAAGTATCGATTATAATATTGTCCAAAATAATATTGCGACATGAAACTGTATCAATTGTTGCCCCATCACTACTTTAATTGCCGCCAAAGGTGCTTCCACCAAGTATTAACTCTGGGGTGTAAAGACATACACAATCAAGACATCTTTGTTTATTTTTTAAAATTAATTTAGACAATTTTCTTTACTTCTTTCAATTTCAAAATGTGGAGCAGGCTGTGTAGATCAGTATGAAATCACTTTCAAATATGTCATTTTAAGGTAGCAAAATGTGACAACTGTAGAAGGGGCGTGTAGACTCACTAGGCACTGTATCTTTTTTTAAGTAGCCTAATGCTTCTTAGTTGCTCCTATTTTATACTGTTTGGCATTTTATTTTTGCCTTTTTGTCATTTTTAGCAGACACTCTTATCCAGAGCAATTTACAGGAGCAATTATGGTTAAGTGCCTTGCTCAAGGGCACATCGACAGATTTTTCACCTAGTCAGCTTGGGATTCAAACCAGTAACCTTAGTTACTGGCCCAACGCTCTTAACTGCTAGGCTACCTGCCGCCCTATTTCAGTATAAACCTTGCTTCGTCAGATGTTTTGTTATAAATTTATAGATTTTTTTATAGTTGTAGTTTGGCACATTTTTATATATTCCTGTATACTACTAAGTTTAATTCTCAGTATAGATTCTTAGTTATCAAGCTGTGAGTAGCACTATATCTACAGTAATTGTCCAGTCCTCAAATTAATGGTTTGGATATACATTTTGTTTATTCAAACAGGCTAAATTCATGCTTCTTTTTAAGGAATGGTATTTAAACTGACGGTTTAGCAAATTGGATATTGTGTTGTGAATGCAGCTTTTATGAGTGAATGGCATTCATAGTGTATTAATCGTTCCACTCCAGAATAATGATGATTACTTGATGTTTGTGTATTGAGTTGCTATAGAGCACTCTTGTTTTTCTTCCTCTTGTGCCAATTATGCTTGAAGAGCCACTTTATGGACTAGCTAGCAGAGTTCCTAATCCATTTGAGCATAAATACAAATAATTGAATTCAATTATGACCATATTAATTATATAAATGTCAGCTTTAGCTTAGAGTATATATTGTTTTACATTTCTGTTATATAGGTAATATTGATAAACAATTTACTTGATTTAACCTGTCCTTCCCCATTGATAATTGATCAGGTTTAATATGACCTAAACTGGAAGTACAACTTCAACTGGATTAGTTATTTTGTCATTCATAATTGTGTACAGTTTATGGGTTCATAAAAATGGAGGGCCTTATATTATAGATATTACTATAGTAAGTAACACAATCAAATTGTTCTTTCTGCTCTTCCATGTTATGTCAATGTCCTGTATTATTTTATAAACTGGGTGGTTCAAGCCCTGAATGCTGATTGGCTAAAAGCAGTGGTATATCAGACCGTCCGTATACCATGGGTATGACAAAAAAAGTACTTTTTATTGTTCTAATTAGTTTGGTAACCAGTTGCGTCATGCATAAGAACAGCCCTTAGCTGTGGTATATTGGCTATATACCACACCCCCCGGGCCTTATTGCTTAAGTATGTGTGCCTTGGCCATTTATAGCTGTTTTTCCCCCAAAGGAATCAAGCATATTCTTAATATTGTATGATGATCAGAAGTAAACATTATTGCTTATCTACCACAATGTTTGTCTCATCCTTCTTATGGGGAAAAAAACTGTTTGCTTCTTCAGCTTGTTTTTTTTATGTTATATTGATTCCATAGGATGCTAAGGCTGTGTTTACACAGGCAGCCCAATTCTGGTAATTTTTTTCCATAAATTGGTCTTTTGACCAATCAGATCTAAAAAATATCTGATGTGATTGGTCAAAAGACCAATTAGTGGTAAAAAAGATTATAATTGGGCTCCTTAACTGAAAAATGAAATGAAAAAGATAGCAAGACACTGCAGTTGTAGTAAATATTTTAATAGTTTTATGTAAAATTAAGTACTATTTACAGTGTACAAAGTTTAACATACCGGTATTCTCCATCATATTGGCTAGCAGCACAGAGATCAGAACCCCTCACTGACTAATCAAAGCATAATCAATTGTCAACAACGCACTCAAAATGTGTTTCTGGGTTCCAAGATCAATCGAAACATAATAAATAAACAAAATTATAATAAGCTGCTAAACATTTTTGCTACGGTGTGCACTAATGAATACACCCCAGTGCAGTAGAGGAATATAAACAAAGATGGCGGATCCCAGTAATGGATCAGATGTCTCACCCTCTCCTCTTTTACTTCCCCTGCTGCTCCTTCACTTGTGCAGCCTGGAAAGAAAGAAGAAAACATTAACCTCAGTCATATATATTTCTACTGTACAGTCGTGGTCAAAAGTTTTGAGAATGACACAAGTATTGGTCTTCACAAAGTTTGCTGCTACAGTGTTTTTAGATATTTTTGTCAGATGTTACTATGGTATACTGAAGTATAATTACAAGCATTCCATAAGTGTCAAAGGCTTTTATTGACAATTACAATAAGTTTATGCAAAGAGTCAATATTTGCAGTGTTGACCCTTCTTTTTCAAGACCTCTGCAATCCGCCCTGGCATGCTGTCAATTAACTTCTGGGCCACATCCTGACTGATGGCAGCCCATTCTTGCATAATCAATGCTTGGAGTTTGTCAGAATTTGTAGGTTTTTGTTTGTCCACCCGCCTCTTGAGGATTGACCACAAGTTCTCAATGGGATTAAGGTCTGGGGAGTTTCCTGGCCATGGACCCAAAATGTCGATGTTTTGTTCCCCGAGCCACTTAGTTATCACTTTTGCCTTAAGGCAAGGTGCTCCATCATGCTGGAAAAGGCATTGGTCGTCACCAAACTGTTCTTGGATGGTTGGGAGAAATTGCTCTCGGAAGATGTGTTGGTACCATTCTTTATTCATGGCTGTGTTCTTAGGCAAAATTGTGAGTGAGCCCACTCCCTTGGCTGAGAAGCGAGCCCACTCCCTTGGCTGAGAAGCAACCCCACACATGAATGGTCTCAGGATGCTTTACTGTTGGCATGACAAAGGACTGATGGTAGCGCTCACCTTGTCTTCTCCGGATAAGCTTTTTTCCGGATGCCCCAAACAATCGGAAAGGGGATTCATCAGAGAAAATGACTTTACCCCAGTCCTCAGCAGTCCAATCCCTGTACCTTTTGCAGAATATCAGTCTGTCCCTGATGTTTTTCCTGGAGAGAAGTGGCTTCCTCGCTGCCCTTCTTGACACCAGGCCATCCTCCAAAAGTCTTTGCCTCACTGTGTGTGCAGATGCACTCACACCTGCCTGCTGCCATTCCTGAGCAAGCTCTGCACTGGTGGTGCCCCGATCCCGCAGCTGAATCAACTTTAGGAGACGGTCCTGGCGCTTGCTGGACTTTCTTGGGCGCCCTGAAGCCTTCTTCACAACAATTGAACCTTTCTCCTTGAAGTTCTTGATGATCCGATAAATGGTTGATTTAGGTGCAATCTTACTAGCAGCAATATCCTTCCCTGTGAAGCCCTTTTTGTGCAAAGCAATGATGACGGCACGTGTTTTCTTGCAGGTAACCATGGTTAACAGAGGAAGAACAATGATTTCAAGCACCACCCTCCTTTTAAAGCTTCCAGTCTGTTATTCTAACTCAATCAGCATGACAGAGTGATCTCCAGCCTTGTCCTCGTCAACACTCTCACCTGTGTTAACGAGAGAATCAGTGACATGATGTCAGCTGGTCCTTTTGTGGCAGGGCTGAAATGCAGTGGAAATGTTTTTGGGGGATTAAGTTCATTTTCATGGCAAAGAGGGACATCGCAATTCATCTGATCACTCTTCATAACATTCTGGAGTATATGCAAATTGACATCATAAAAACTGAGGCAGCAGATTGTGAAAATTTATATTTGTGTCATTCTCAAAACTTTTGACCGCGACTGTAGGTAGCCTTTATCCTTATAAATCAAATACTGTGTGAGATCTAAAGGTTTATAACCTAAGCCAGATAGAATCTACAGTGCCGTGAAAAAGTATTTGTCCCCTTTCTGATTTTCTCTATTTTTGCACTGGATGTTATCAGATCTTCAACCAAAACCTTATATTAAAGGGAACCAGAGTTTACAAATAACAAGAAACTGGATACCTATTTTATTTCATTAACAAAGTTAGGCTTCACCCAATTCCCCTGTGTAAAAAAGTAATTGCCCCCTTACACTCAAACTGGTTGCCACCTTTTGCTGCAATCACTGCAACCAAATGCTTCCTGTAGTTGTTGATCAGTCTATCACATTGCTGTGGAGGAGTTTTGGCCCACTGTTGCATGCAGAACAGCTTTAACTCAGCGACATTTGTGGGGTTTCAAGTATGAACTGCTCGTTTCAAGTCCTGCCACAACATCTCAATTGGGATTAGGTCTGGACTTCGACTTTAAAATGTTTGTTTTTAGCCATTTTCATGTAAAATTGATTGTGTGTTTTGGATCATTGTCTTGCTGCATGACGCAGCTGCGCTTCAGCTCAAAGACTGATGGGGCCCATTATGCCTGGTGAAAACCAAACACTGCATTCCACAGTAAGAACCTTATACCAACAGTCAAGCATGGTGGTGGTGGTGGTGTGATGGTTTGGGGATGCTTTGCTGCCTCAGGACCTGGACAACTTGCCTTAAAAGAAGGAACCATGAATTCTGCTCTGTATCAGAGAATTCTACAGGAGAATGTCAGGCCATCAGTCTGTGAGCTGAAGATTAAGCGCAGCTGGGTCATGCAGCAAGACAATTATCCAAAACACACAATCAATTCTACATGAAAATGGCAAAAAATAAATAAAATAATTGACGTTTTGGAATGCCCTAGTCAAAGTCCAGACCTAATCCCAATTGAGATGTTGTGGCAGGACTTGAAACGAGCAGTTCATGCTTGAAAACCCACATGTCGCTGAGTTAAAGCAATTCTACATGGAAGAGTGGATCAGAATTCCTCCACAACTACGTGACAGACTGATCAACAACTGCAGGAAGCGTATGGTTGGAGTCATTGCAGCTAAAGGTGGCACAACTAGTTAGTGTAAGGGGGCAATTACTTTTTCACACAGGGGCATTGGGTGTTGCATAACTTTGTTTATGAAATAAGTGTGTCATTGTTGAGTTTATTTGTTCACTCAGGTTCCCTTTATCTAATATTATGTTATAGTTGAAGATCTGATAACATTCGGTATCAAAAATATGCAAAAGTAGAAGAGATATAGCTTGTTGTCAGTGGGTTTTATAGGGCTACCATGTGTAATGCGGGTGCTCTGTCGTACTATGTAATGTAGGAGTGTGTAATAATAATGTAAAGGGTACTGTAGCTGAAATATACCTTCAGTTTCTCCAAGAAGCCTCCTTTGCCAAAGCCTCCGAAGACGCGTGCCAATTTAGGAGTGGGGGGTTTGGGTCCGAACAGCGCCAGTCCTTTCTTCTTTTCAACCTCAGCCTTAGCACCAGCTGGACCCTTCGCCTTCATCAGTTTCCTTTCAGAGTCACAACAGTCAACAATCTCAAAGAGACACACAACGATCACAATCTTGTAGAGCGGTTGATCAAAAAAACACAGAACTTGATTTCATTCTGACATGTCTAACTATACATTCTTAGTATAGGTCTCATACCTTAGCTAGCTCACACAAAGAGCTTACCTTCCTTTCTTGGCCAGCACTCTCTGGGAATTTGGGTAGTGGACCAAGATGTCAACCAGGTCTTTCTTATCCAGGACAAAAAGGTTGACGAAGCCGTGAGCTTTTACGTTAGCCGTCCTTCTGTTCCCGCCGTCTTTGGCAGACTGTAGCAGACTGAGGAAGAGCACCGATTCAGAACTCTGATTGAAGATCCTCGACCAACACTCACACTTAGAAGTTAATCTGTAATAGTAACCCTCTGGGCACAGACATCAGTTCTACATCTGGTTTTGATTTACATTTGTTTGAGTTGTCAACTAATGTGAATTCGATGAAGAAAAAATATATAATGTCATTGGATTTAAGTTAAAAGTTGGGTGACAAAAATACGAAATTCCCTTACATTGACTTTTCAAATCTAATCAGTTTTCCACGTTGATTCAAAGTCAATCACATAGATTTGGGGGGTTGAAATGATGTGGAAACAACTTTGATTCAACCAGATTTTGCCCAGTGGGAATCTCTTCTACTGGAGTTTAATATTATTACATTGGAATATTGTAGTGTAATGATAATACCTGATTTCTCCAAACACACAGCCGGCCTTTAGTGTCACAAACACAATGGAGTTATCTGGTCCACCAACCACCTGCACCTCTCCACCCTTTATGATGTACATCTCTTTACCAATGTCACCCTATAGAAGACAACGATCAAACAGAACACAGATTGGAAAATGTAGTTTAAAATCACAGGGTGGTGTTGAGGATGTTCTGAAATTACATAGACTTTTATCCTCATTTCATTGGACCTTAAAAGGGTGAAGCCCCTCCCTCATGGAAGAAAGCATCATAACTGTCATACCAAAAGAGGGTAAAGACAAAGAACATATCAGTAATTATAGGCCAATCTCGAATTTGAATTATGACTATAAACTATACACCTCGATTATTACCAAGGGCCTTGAAAGCTTTATGCCGGATCTAATTGAGTTGGACTAAACTGGGTTTATTAGAGGACGTCAAACCCAAGATAACATCAGAAGATCTCTAGATTAAGGAAAACAATTCAGAAGCACTATTAGTCCGTTTAGATGCAGAAAAGGCATTCGCTAGCGTTAATTTGACTTATATCATGTTTTAAAGCGATTTGGCTTTAAAAAGGACGCAATCCAATGTTTTAAAACATTTATCATTAAAGTGAAAGTAATTTTACAACGCAGCACACGTCAGGGATGTTGCGCCTCACCTGAGTTATTTGCCTTGTATATTGAGCCCCTTGCCCAAGCGATAAAGCCAAATTATGAATTACAAGGTATTAGCATCAGAGGAAAAGAGCATAAAATTGCCTTGTATGCTGATGATGTGCTAGTTTACATGACTGACCCCAACACTTGCTTCTCAAAACGAATGAACATTCTGGAAAATATGGTTATTATTCAGGATACAAACTTAGTTTACCCTTTAATTCTACCCCATTGGTTTCAACTGGAATTCCAAAAAGGTTACATATCTAGGGGTAAACCTGAACAAAGGATATTTCAAAGCTATACACAGTGTACAAAACATTACTCCCCCCCCCACCCCCTTAAAAATCCTTCCTCCCCTTCATCTACACTGATTGAAATGGATTTAACAAGTGACATCAATAAGGCATCATAGCGTTCAACTGGTCAGTCTGTAATGGAAGGAGTAGGTGTTCATAATATTTTCTACACTCAGTGTATATATAACTAATTATAAACCAATTATCCTAAATATTCATAAACATATACAGTAGAAAGATGGTACCTTCTCCTTTTAGATTTCAGCTCTATAGTAGAGACAGTTAAATGAATATTCTCCCCTATTCCAGTCTCTACCAGTTGCGGTACCCCTGAAACAATTCAATCTGTGGGACAAGTTAATATCACGGTTCATTTGGAGGAAACCAAGGATTTAGATATTCGACTCTTCAGCTCCCTAAAGACAAAGGGGGATGGCACTACCTAATCTTAGGGAATATTACTTAGCTGCACAATTTAGGCCAACAGTGTGTTGATGTGACTCGCAATACAGTACTATATGGAAAGATATTGAGGCTGCCGTTCAAGGTTGCCCAATCCAGTATGTACAGTTGAAGTCGGAAGTTTACATACACTTAGGTTGGAGTCATTAAAACTAGTTTTTCAACCACTCCTCAAATTTCTTGTTAACAAACTATAGTTTTGGCAAGTCGGTTAGGACATCTACTTTGTGCATGACACAAGTAATTTTTCCAACAATTGTTTACAGACAGATTATTTCACTTAAAATTCACTGTATCACAATTCCAGTGGGTCAGAAGTTGACTGCCTTTAAACAGCTTGGAAAATTCCAGAAAATGTCATGGCTTTAGAAGCTTCTGATAGGCTAATTGACATAATTTGAGTCAATTGGAGGTGTACCTGTTGATGTATTTCAAGGCCTACCTTCAAACTCAGTGCCTCTTTGCTTGACATCATGGGAAAATCAAAAGAAGTCAGCCAAGACCTCAGAAAATAAATTGTAGTCTGGTTCATCCTTGGGAGCAATTTCCAAATGCCTGAAGGTACCACGTTCATCTGTACAAACAATAGTACGCAAGTATAAACACCATGGGACCACGCAGCCGTCATACCACTCAGGAAGGAGACGCGTTCTGTCTCCTAGAGATGAACATACTTTGGTGCGAAAAGTGCAAATCAATCCCAGAACAACAGCAAAGGACCTTGTGAAGATGCTGGAGGAAACAGGTACAAAAGTATCTATATCCACAGTAAAACGAGTCCTATATCGACATGACCTGAAAGGCCGCTCAGCAAGGAAGAAGCCACTGCTCCAAAACCGCCATCAAAAAGCCAGACTACGGTTTGCAACTGCACATTGGGACAAAGATCGTACTTTTTGGAGACATGTCCTCTGGTCTGATGAAACAAAAATAGAACTGTTTGGCCATAATGACCATCGTTATGTTTGGAGGAAAAAGGGGGTAGTTGCAAGCCAGAGAACACCATTCCAACCGTGAAGCAAGGGGTTGGCAGCATCATGCTGTGGGGGTGCTTTGCTGCAGGAGGGACTGGTGCACATCACAAAATAGATAGCATCATGAGGAGGAAAATTATGTGGATATATTGAAGCAACATCTCAAGACATCAGTCAGGAAGTTAAAACTTGGTCGCAAATGGGCCTTCCAAATGGACAATGAGTCCAAGCATACTTCCAAAGTTGTGGCAAAATGGCTTAAGGACAACAAAGTCAAGGTATTGGAGTGGCCATCACAAAGCCCTGACCTCAATCCTATAGAACATTTGTGGGCAGAACTGAAAAATCATGTGCGAGCAAGGAGGCCTACAAACCTGACTCAGTTACACCTGCTCTGTCAGGAGGAATGGGCCAAAATTCACCCAACTTATTGTGGGAAGCTTGTGGAAGGCTACCCGAAACGTTAGACGCAAGTTAAACAATTTAAAGGCAATGCTACCAAATACTAATTGAGTGTATGTAAACTTCTGACCCACTGGGAATGTGATGAAAGAAATAAAAGCTGAAATAAATCATTCTCTCTCCTATTATTCTGACATTTCACATTCTTAAAATAACTGACCTAAAACAGGGAATTTTTACTAGGATTAAATGTCAGAAATTGTGAAAAACTGAGTTTAAATGTATTTGGCTAAAGTGTATGTAAACTTCCGACTTCAACTGTAGCTGGGGATAAAGACACATTTGGGACATTAACAGGAATACTTAACCCTATATCATCATTTCCACTAGACCTCTGGTTTCGGATGGTGAAACAACACAAGCTGAAAAAGGAAATCAGAATGTTGAAATGGTTTGCGTTTAATCCTAAATTTAAACCAGGTATCTATGATTAAAAAAATAAGGAATGGACTGAGAGAGGCATGACAGCACTTTGTACCATTGTAGAGGATGGAGAACTCTTAGGTTTTCAGAATTTAAAGGAGAAATATGGCATGGAAAACCAAGATTTCTTCAGATACTTACAGTTAAGGGACTATTTTGAAAAATAGATAAATGTATTCTTCAATACCAAACCAAATATGACTAACCAAATATGACTAACCATGTGATTCGAAATGCATATAATCAGGCAATGTCCAAGACGATCTCTTTACTCTGTCATGGCCAGATAGCCTCTAGAAAAGACTCAACTCTTTATATTAAAGCAAAATGGGAAAAGGAACTGAATATAGACATCTCAGAGGAAGACTGGGACAATATATGCAGTACTCAACATACTTCTACAAACTCAAGAACATGGAGAGTTTTATTGGAAAAATATGACCCGTTTTTTTTATCACTCCTAGAATCAAAGGTCAACAGCTAGGTATACAACAGCCATGCTGGCGGCTGTGTGACCATGTAGATGCCACCCACACCCATGTTTTTGGGGAATGTCAGAAGATGTCAATGTTTTGGGGTAATGTATGTTCGGTGTTAAAAGATGTCCCTAGAACTGTAATGTACCTTGGTAATGTTCCAGAGAATGTGATGGGCAGTGACAGATACCAGCTAAAAGTAGAAAAGCCATTACCAGAAACTGGTATAAAATAGAAGCCCCAACATTTTAAGAATGGCAAAGTATAATCCAATAAATCTTTAATATGGGTAAGCTTGACATATGCTTTAAGACTCCAAAAACCTGTATTCGAAAGTAACTGGGACAAATGGATATCATTCACAAACCAGGAAGACTTGATTAACTAATCTTGTTAACAATACAACATCACAACTCTGTATACTTACTTTATATATTATTCTGTACCTATTGGATGGCAACTTCTGTTTGCTTTTATTTATTCTTTAGTTTCATTGTTTCTGTTGCTTTTTACTGTTTTTGCTGTATTGTTTTGAAAAAGACTAAAGTCAGTGGAGGCTGCTGAGGGAGGACGGCTCATAATAATGGCTGCAACGGAGCGAATGGAATGACATCAAACACAAGGAAACCATGTGTTTGATGTATTTGATACCATTCCATCTATTCCGCTCCAGCCATTACCACGAGCCCATCCTCCCCAATTAAGGTGCCACCAACCTCCTGTGATCCAAGTGTATATAAAGAAATTACATATTGACTATATTATGCAACAGTGACCGTCCCATACACTCACTTTCTTCACCACAAAGTCTCCAGGTAGATATATAATAGACTTGAGCCTCAGCAACATGTCCACCAACATCTGCTTATCACAGCCCTAGGGGACAAAGACATAGAGAAAACAGTCAGATAACATTTAGGCAACATTCAGAGGGTGTTGCAGGTGTGCTGTTAGTTGCCTGTTAGCACAAGGAGTCATAATGACATCATGTTAATTTCAACCTATATTTACCTGAAAAAGAGCAATTTTATCGAAGGTGGCAAAGTTTACATCCACACCAATGGCTGTTCTCATTACAAGAGGCATCTGCTCCAGCAGTACAGACTCGTCTGGAGAGGAAAGGAGAGGGGGGGAGGGGAAAGAGGGGGAGATGGAGAGGGGGGAGGGGGAAGAGGGGGAGATGGAGAGGGGAGTAAAAGGAAGAAAAATTGTGGGGGGAAAATTGTTTCAAGACATTACTACAGAGCAAATGTACACCATGTTAATTGCCGATTTGCCATAAAATGACATTAACATTATTTACAGCAGGATTATGGCAGCATGGAGTCAAGATTAATTTATTCACCACTTATTTATTGCTTACCCAGCATGCCCTGGGCGTCCCAGGTGTAGTTGTACCAGGTGCGTACTCTGTTCTGCACCAAGTCGGGGATGTCGAAGGTGTTCATGTATTCCACACAGCCATCCATGGAGGCCCGGAAATATGTCTGGCCCTGCGTGGCAGCCCCGATAACATCTCTCATCTTTACCAGAAGAACAAAGAAAATACTTTCAATCCAGGACCACTGGACCACTCACAACAAACCAATGTTGGGGCCAATTCCATTTCAATCTAGTCAATTCCAATTACATTTGAGTCCATTTCCTCATTTAAAAGAAATGAGGAAAATTAGATTTGGAATGTCACTTCCTGAATTGAAATGGAATTTACCGCAATCATAATTGTTACCAGAGGATGGCTGCCTCTTGCCTGGAGTGCATTCTGCATGTCTTTAGTGATACTGTACCTGTCCAATCAAACTGGAGAACACGAAGACACCAGTGAAGAAGTTGGTCATCTGGAAACAGATCTCAAACACAGAGCCTGGCTCAGGAAGACCCCCGATGTTGATCAGACTACGAACAGCGAAGTAATAACAACGCAGGTACCTGTAGGAAGGATACAGGGGTTTGGAAGAAGACGGTTACTCACACCCCTAATCCACAGTGAAGGCAATGGAGACACTGGTTTAGGGAAAACTACAAATTGAGAAACTGTTCAACTGTAACAGTCTCGGAGACAAGCGACTATATTGGAAGTATAGAATGTTTTACTCCTCGGGATGCAAAATTCTGTTAATTTCCTCATAATTCCAGGTTTTACCAGAAATCCAGGTTGGAATATTCCCAAAATCAGGAGAGAATAAGCAGGAATCCTGGAATCCTCCTACCAGGAATTCTGGAAAACCTGGCAATTTTGAAACCCTATATACTCTACACAATAATATACGTACGCGGTTCCCTCTCCATTGTAGACCCATTTGGAGGTGCCGATGCCAAGGTACACTGATGCCACGTAGTAGAAACAGGCGTTGAGATGGAGCATGAACAGCAAGTAGCCAGTGGTGCGACCAACTCTGAACAAACACAGGGAAGAAGAAGAGGTCTTAGATAATGGTTTTCTGTTGCGGGTGTGGTAAAGCTATTCTAGCATTCTCCATTCATCCAGTATCATCACCTTCATCATTCACACATCTAACTAGACTAAAGTATAACATTACATTAGTATGCCACATAGCAGACACTTCCATTCTATAGATTAAAAAAAAAATCACATCTGAAATTATTCGCACCCTTGATAAAGATGAGCAAAAAATACTGTATAAAATAAATAATACAAACCGAACTACAGTATATTGTCAGCAAATTTTGGGGGAACATTTTATTATTTTATACTAATACAATAAACATCTAAAAAAGATTGGTGTCAAGGAGGAAGACTATCCGTACCAAACTTTAAATTGTATTTCCAGGCGCTTGCATTTTCCCCCATCCTAAATTGGTTTAGAAATGATTATTCTGCACCCTGGCAGAGTATAGAGAGACATTTGGTGTCTCCTATTGCCCTGGAACAGGTGGTCTCCACTGATATATCCCTTAAGAATGTAAACTACGCTTTGGTCCTATTACTGCTAACACAATTTCCATTTGGTGCAACATTTCAAAACAATGTAACTGGGAATCAAAATGGCGTGCCCATACTCCAATATTTCACAATAATGGCTTGCAATCTGGAGGGCGGCCTTTTGCATCCCCCCAATGGTCCAGATGTGGAATCCGTACCCTTACCGATATCATAGACAGTAATGGTTTGAGAACATTCCAAGATTTGAAAGATACATACACATTACCGGGCAACTCCTTTTTATATACTGAACAAAAATGCACTGATCAAAAAAATTATGGGAACACTTTAACAACACAATGTAACTCCAAGTCAATCACACTTCTGTGAAATCAAACTGTCCACTTAGGAAGCAACACTGATTGACAATAAATGTCACATGCTGTTGTGCAAATGGAATAGACAACAGGTGGAAATTATAGGCAATTAGCAAGACACCCCCAATAAAGGACTGGTTTTGCAGGTGGTGACCACAGACCACTTCTCAGTTCCTATGCTTCCTGGCTGATGTTTTGGTCACTTTTGAATGCTGGCGGTGCTTTCACTCTAGTGGTAGCATGAGACGGAGTCTACAACCCACACAAGTGGCTCAGGTAGTGCAGCTCATCCAGGATGGCACATCAACGCGAGCTGTGGCAAGAAGGTTTGCTGTGTCTGTCAGCGTAGTGTCCAGAGCATGGAGGCGCTACCAGGAGACAGGCCAGTACATCAGGAGATGTGGAGGAGGCTGTAGGAGGGCAACAACCCAGCAGCAGGACTGCTACCTCCGCCTTTGTGCAAGGAGGAGCAGGAGGAGCACTGCCAGAGCCCTGCAAAATGACCTCCAGCAGGCCACAAATGTGCATGTGTCTGCTCAAACGGTCAGAAACAGACTCCATGAGGGTGCTATGAGGGCCCGACGTCCACAGGTGGGGGTTGTGCTTACAGCCCAACACCGTGCAGGACGTTTGGCATTTGCCAGAGAACACCAAGATTGGCAAATTCGCAACTGGCGCCCTGTGCTCTTCACAGATGAAACCAGGTTCACACTGAGCATGTGACAGACGTGACAGAGTCTGGAGACGCGGTGGAGAACGTTCTGCTGCCTGCAACATCCTCCAGCATGACCGGTTTGGCAGTGGGTCAGTCATGGTGTGGGGTGGCATTTCTTTGGGGGGCCGCACAGCCCTCCATGTGCTCGCCAGAGGTAGCCTGACTGCCATTAGGTACCGAGATGAGATCCTCAGACCCCTTGTGAGACCATATGCTGGTGTGGTTGGCCCTGGGTTCCTCCTAATGCAAGACAATGCTAGATCTCATGTGGCTGGAGTGTGTCAGCAGTTCCTGCAAGAGGAAGGCATTGATGCTATGGACTGGCCTGCCCGTTCCCCAGACCTGAATCCAATTGAGCACATCTGGGACATCATGTCTCGCTCCATCCACCAACGCCACGTTGCACCACAGACTGTCCAGGAGTTGGCGGATGCTTTAGTCCAGGTCTGGGAGGAGATCCCTCAGGAGACCATCCGCCACCTCATCAGGAGCATGCCCAGGCATTGTAGGGAGGTCATACAGGCACGTGGAGGCCACACACACTACTGAGCCTCATTTTGACTTGTTTTAAGGACATTACATCAAAGTTGGATCAGCCTGTAGTGTGGTTTTCCACTTTAATTTTGAGGGTGACTCCAAATCCAGACCTCCAAGGGTTGATAAATTTGATTTCCATTGATCATTTTTGTGTGATTTTGTTGTCAGCACATTCAACTATGTAAAGAAAAAAGTATTTAATAAGATTATTTAATTCATTCAGATGTAGGATGTGTTATTTTAGTATTCCCTTTATTTTTTTGAGCAGTGTATAAACGCAACATGCAACAATTTCAATGTTACAGCTCACATAAGGAAATCAGTCAATTTAAATAAATAAATTAGGCCCTAATGTATGGATTTCACATGATTGGGCAGGGGCGCAGCCATGGGTGGGCTTGGGAGGGCATAGGCTGGGGAACCAGGCCCAGCCAATCAGAATGAGTTTTTCCCCACAAAGGGGCTTTATTACAGACTCCTCAGTTTCATCAGCTGTACGGGTGGCTGGTCTCAGATTATCCCACAGGTAAAGAAGCCGGATGTGGAGGTCCTGGGCTGGCGTGGTTACACGTGGTCTGCGGTTGTGAGGCCGGTTGGACGTACTGCCAAATTCTCTAAATTGACGTTAGAGGCGGCTTATAGTAGAGAAATTAACATTCAACTCTCTGGCAACAGCTCTGGTGGACATTCCTGCAGTCAGAATGCCAATTGCATGCTCCCTCAATTTGAGACATCTGTGGTGTTGTGTTACAAAACTCCACATTGTAGAGTGGATGGATTATCTTGGCAAAGGAGCAATGCTCACTAACAGTGATGTAAACAAATTTGTACACAAAATTTGAGAGAAATAAGCTTTTTGTGCATATGGAATATTTCTGGAATATTTTACTTCAGCTCATGAAACATGGGACCAACACTTTGTTGCGTTTATATTTTTGGTCAGTATATATTTACAATTTAGGTCAGCTATGTTGGCTTATGGAGTCCCTTGGGAAACGCAACTACCGAAACATTCAATGATGGGATTTATAAAATAAATTATCTGGGCTCCCGAAAGGACTGATCGCTATAATATATCAACAACTTTTGGAAAGCTCATTCTGAGCTAGCCATTAAAAAAAGTATGGTCCACAGATCTAACTGAATCTGAACCACACTTTAACTGGAACAGAATATGGAAAAATATGACTTTGGAAAGTGTACATATTCTATCTATCAAGTTTACATCTAAATGTTGTATAACATATATTATTAAGTATGAGAGTATTTTGGTGAAGATAGGAATGTGATTTTAGTATTCTAATGAGATAATAGTTTTTCATATAAACTATGCAGTGCCTAGCCACGCTCCGAGTGACATCAGAGATCGTGTCATCACCCAGAGGGCACGATCTTTTACCCAGAGGGCATAAAAAGCCTTGAAAAACAAATCAACCTTTAGACCAGCAGACGTGAATCGTGAAGCGCTAAACGTTGCAAATGGTTGAATTTCTACCAGACCAGGAAGCCAAGAAAACGTGAGACATTAGTCCACACGTTTAAAATGGAGAAACTCTGAAACTCTCAACCTCTACACAAGGTGAAGAAGAAGATAATGCACTGGACCGTTAAACAACTTCCGTGGTGGCCAAAATTCTTAATGAATGAATTGTTACTTAATTTAATCAAGTGACAATTAAACATAGTTAGGTGATTCGATAAATAACAGTCATACGTTAAAGTAAGTCACGTCACGACACTGTATTTAACACCAAGGAAACATTTTATGATGAAATTGTCCGGAACTCCCTACTGTTCACTGTGTCCCCTAAATCAGGTAAGCGGGGTGGGAAGCGAGGTGGTGGGGAGGGAGGAAGATGCAGGCGGGTGGATGGGGACTGATTGGGGGAATGGGTTTGGGTTATCTTTGTATGCATTTATTTGATTGTTTTTGTACCTGTAACCTCCCTCTGAAAAATAACATAACAAAACGGAATAAAAAGTTGGTCACAAAAAAAAAGATAAGTGTCAAAAGGATTGGCACCCTTAACGATTCTTATAATAAAATCAAACGAAATGTAATCTGCATTAACATTCACATTTTTTTATTAATATAAATTTAAGGAATTGTATTGTGGCCTTTCATGGATTTCTGTTTCACTGGAGTATAAAAACGAGTTAATGCGCATGTAAAATCAATTTGTCATCCATCACCACGGGCAAAGAACTCACAAATGAAAGGACAACTAGTTGTTGACATTCAATAATCAGGCAAATGGGTACAAAAAAACGACTGAAAATGAAATATACCATGTACCACTACTATGGCAACAATTAACAAGTTTAAAACTACTGGAACAGTGGTAAACTTGCCCGGTAGAAGACCCAAGTGTATCTTCTCCCCACTCACAGTGAGGAAGATGGTTCGGGAGGCAAAGAAAAGTCCAAGGAAAAGAGTTGGAGAATTACAGAACTTGGTCGCATCTTGGGTCACCAAGTCTCCAAATCTACAATTAGACACCACCTCCATACCAATAGGCTATTTGGAAGGGTTGCCATGAAAAAGCCTTTACTGAGAGCAACCAACAAATGTAAACACCTGGAGTTTTCTAAACACCATTGGCACTTAGATTGGAACTACAGTGGCTTGTGAAAGTATTCACCCCCTTGGCATTTTTCCTATTTTGTTGCCTTACAACCGGGAATTAAAATGGATTTTTGGGGGGTTTGTATCATTTGATTTACACAACATGCCTACCACTTTGAAGATGCAAAATATTTGTTTTTGTGAAACAAGAAATAAGACAAAAAAACAGAACTTGAGCATGCATAACTATTCATCTGACCAGAGTACCTTATTCCATATGTTTGGGGAGTTTCCCACATGCCTTTTGGCGAACACCAAACGTTTGCTTATTTTTTTTCTTTAAGCAATGGCTTTTTTCTGGCCACTCTTCCGTAAAGCCCAGCTCTGTGGAGTGTACGGCTTAAAGTGGTCCTGTGGTGCTTTGCAGCTCCTTCAGGGTTATTTTTGGTCTCTTTGTTGCCTCTGATTAATGCCCTCCTTGCCTGGTCCGTGAGTTTTGGTGGGCGGCCCTGTCTTGGCAGGTTTGTTGTGGTGCCATATTCTTTCCATTTTTTATAATGTATTTAATAGTGCTGCGTGGGATGTTCAAAGTTTCTGATATTTTTTTATAACCCTGATCTGCACTTCTGTCTCCACCAACTTTGTCCCTGACCTGTTTGGGTAGAGCTCCATTGGTTCTTCATGGTGCCGCGTTTGCTTGGTGGTGCCCCTTACTTAGTGTGTTTTGCATGACAATCTGTGGCCTTTCATAATAGGTATATATACAGAGGATCTGTGACCTTAAATTGCACACAGGTGGACTTTCTTAACTAATTTGTGACTACTCTGAAGGTAATTCGTTCGCTACCTCTTATTTAGGGGCGTCATGCAAGGGGGTGAATACATATGGCACGCACCCACTTTTCCTTATTTTATTTTTTATAATTTTTTGAAACAAGTTATTTTGGGACAATTTTGTGAATGTCCATTACATGAAATACAAATACAAATCGATTTAAATTACAGGTTGTAATGAAACAAAATAGGAAAAACGCTCTTACCCACTAAGCTACCTGCCGCCCCTGTTGTCCTTGCAAGGTTCAATAAAATATTTTCCCCTGAGCAATTGTATTAGTATAAAATAATATACATTTCCCTTTTTTGCATACAATATAGCTCAGTATTTGCATTATTTATTTTATACAGTATTTTTGCTCATCTTTATCAAGGGTGCCAACAATTTTGAATTTGACTGTATTTGTTTGATGGGTGTACCTCCAGATGTAAGCCTTGGCCATGATACTCTCAAGCCGATCGCTGAACTCGAAAAACATATCAATCTGCGAAACGAAAGCCAGAAAAACATTGGTACAGCAAATGTCATGAGAGAACAAAATAAACAAATTGTATCTATTATCAGATGTATTATCAATGTAATGTAATCCATCATTATTTTTTAATACTGAGAGACAGCATACGTCGAAGCTTCATAGGTGTGCATGCATGTTGTTCCCCAAACACTATCTAATGTCCTAATGCCACCCTCTAGTCTAATGTAATCTATAGCAATTTAATAGAAGATGAAGAACAAAACATATCATGTTTGGTGGTAAAGAAGATAACTGCAGTGTCTACCCTCAGTAGACGGTTGAGTCTGTATAAAGCAGAGAATCCAAACGGGATACCTAGCAAATCGAATGGGATGATGCTGATCATATCCAACTGCCCCAACAGAAAGAAAATACAACGTTTAGTGGAAATAATATAGTCATCATGAAACAAGCACAACATATCTATCTACAGTACAGTACATGGTCTTGATATTTCTACATCAATATGTGTGATATGTTACTTGAATTATGCCTCGAAGTGGAATGAACAATGTTGCACTGTGTGTTTCTCTGTATACTATAATATACGCTGAGGGAATACCATCAACAAGGTTTATAGGTGTACACAAGATGAAAGTGAGATAAATTATGAAATAAGAGCTTACATTAAACCTCGAAATCTCTCGATAATGTGGCTTCGTCATAGTCCGGTCTTTCTGAAATATAACATGAAGTCTTATTAACCTGTATGTTTCTCTACATTACGCTGGAGTTGTTGCCTAATAATATAATATATGTTAGAAGTGCATACAAAACATATGCATGCACACTTGAACATACACACACTTGCATGTACGAACACACACGCAGAAACACATACAAACACATACAAACACACCAGTGGAGGCTGCTGAGAACGGCTCATAATAATGGCTGGAATGGAATAAATTGAATGGTATCAAAAACATGGTTTTCATGTGTTTGTTACCATTCCAGTCACTCCATTCCATACATTGTACTCCATTCCAGCCATTATTAAGAGCCGTCCTCCCCTCAGCAGCCTCCACTGAAACACACACACACACAATATCAAGTCCTTCATCTCTCTCTAGTGATATTTAGAATGACTTACAATAATGTCTCCTCCTTTCACAAACTGCAGTCGTGGCTGCCAGAGGATGATATCTATGACATTGACACTGTCAGCAAGAATGTCAGCAATTATCCAGAAAGGAATGGACGCTGGAGTATGGATGGGAAAGACCAAACGAACCGGTGTAAACCAAATGTTGTAGTTGAACGCCAAACTTACAAGTGTTATCCAAGCAATATACTTGCGATCTAGAGAGAGAGAGAGAAAAAAAAGATGAATCAATGTGAAAGAAGCTGAAATGCACTGTGTAGTCCATACCTCCTCTTGTAGTGTGGTGTGTATCTGTAGGGTAGTATCTCTAGGGTAGTGTGTATCTGTAGGGTAGTATCTCTACGGTAGTGTGTATCTGTAGGGTAGTATCTCTAGGGTAGTGTGTATCTGTGTAGGGTATCGTAGGGAGTATCTCTAGGGTATGTGTTCTCTGGGTATTGTATCGTAGGTAGTGTGTATCTGTAGGGTAGTATCTCTAGGGTAGTGTGTATCTTGGATGTGTATCTGTAGGTAGTATATCTATAGGGTTTAGTGTGTATCTGTAGGGTGTACCAGTGTGTACTGTAGGGGTTAAGTCTAGGTAAGTATCTGTAGGGTAGTGTGTATCTGTAGGGTAGTATCTCTAGGGTAGTGTGTATCTGTAGGGTAGTATCTCTAGGGTAGTGTGTATCTGTAGGGTAGTATCTCTAGGGTAGTGTGTATCTGTAGGGTAGTATCTCTAGGGTAGTGTGTATCTGTAGTGTGTAGCTGTAGTGTGTAGCTGTAGTGTAGTGTGCAGCTGTATTGTGTATATGTAGTATGTAGCTGTAGTGTGTAACTTTAGTGCAGTGTGTATCTGTAGTGTGTAGCTGCCCTTACAGAAAAAACACATGCATTTCCGTGATAACGTGTGACGTTAATGTGATAACGTGACAACATGTGAAATCAACATTTGATAACATGAAACTACATATGAAAACATGATCTCATGTGAAATAAATTTGACACCATGGGGGGGATGCAAAATTTCAACAAAGTCATATTTTGATTTTCACATCTGAAAGTTTTTCACATGTAAAAATGTGAGTTCGATTTTAACATCTGCAAGGTTGTAAACGTGGAAATTCAATTTTCCCATGTGAACGTTTTTCCCATGTGAAACTGCAACGGTGAAAAGGTGATGTTAACATGTGAACTCAACAGTGCATTCAGAAAGTATTCAGACCCCTTCACTTTTTCCAAATGTTTTCCAAATGAAATTCGTTATTTACATAACTATTCAGACCCTTTGCTATGAGATTCGAAATTGAGCTCAGGTGCATCCTGTTTCCACAGATTTTTTTATTTTTATTTATCTTACCTTTATTTAACGAGGCAAGTCAGTTAAGAACAAATTCTTATTTACAATTACGGCCTACACCGGCCAAACCCAGACGACGCTGGGCCAATTGTGCGCCGCCCTATGGGACTCCCAATCACGGCCGGTTGTGATACAGCCTGGAATCAAACCAGGGAGTCTGTAGTGACGCCTCAAGCACTGAGATGCAGTGCCTTAGACCGCTGCGCCATCCTTGAGATGTTTCTACAACTTGCTTGGCGTCCACCTGTGGTAAATTCATTTGATTAGACATGATTTGGAAAGGCACATACCTGTCTATATAAGCTCCCACAGTTGACAATGCATGTCAGAGCAAAAACCAAGCCACGAGGTCGAAGGAATTGTCCGTATTGCTCCGAGACAAGATTGTGTCGAGGCACAGATCTGGGGAAGGGGTACCAAAAAATGTCTGCAGCATTGAAGGTCCCCAAGAACACAGTGGCCTCTATCATTCTTAAATGGAAGAAGTTTGGAACCACCAAGACTCTTCCTAGAGCTGGCCGCCCAGCCAAACTGAGCAATCGGGGGAGAAGGGCCTTGGTCAGGGAGGTGACCAAGAACCTGTTGGTCACTCTGACAGAGCTCCAGAGTTCCTCTGTGGCGATGGGAGAACCTTCCAGAAGACAACCATCTCTGCAGCACTCCACCAAACAGGCATTTATGGTAGAGTGGCCAGACAGAAGCCAGTCCTCAGTAGAAGGCACATGACAGCCGGCTTGGAGTTAGCCAAAAGGCACCTAAAGGACTCTCAGACCATGAGAAACAAGATTCTCCGGTCTGATGAAACCATAATTGAACTCTTTGGCCTGAATACCAAGCGTCACGTCTGGAGGAAACCTGGCACCATCCCTACGGTGAAGCATGGTGGTGGCAGCATCATGCTGTGCGGATGTTTTTCAGTGGCAGGGACTGGGAGACTAGTCAGGATCGAGGGAAAGATGAACGGAGCAAAGTACAGAGAGATCCTTGATAAAAACCTGCTCCAGAGCGCTGAGGACCTCAGACTGGGGCGAAGGTACACCTTCCAACAGGACAACAACCCTAAGCACACAGCCAAGACCACGCAGAAGTGGCTTCAGGACAAGTCTCTGAATGTCCTTGAGTGGCCCAGCCAGAACCCGGACAAACCCAATCGAACATCTCTGGAGAGACCTGAAAATAGCTGTTCCCTATCCAACCTGACAGAGCTTGAGAGGATCTGCAGAGAAGAATGGGAGAAAATCCCCAAATACAGATGTGCCAAGCTTGTAGCGTCATACCCAAGAAGAGTCGATGCTGTAATCGCTGCCAAAGGTGCTTCAACAAATTACTGAGTAAAGCAGGGGTGTCAAACGTCCGGCCCGCGGGCCGGATCAGGCCCGCAAACGGGTTTAATCCGGCCCGCGAGATGATTGAAAAAATAAATAAATAAATAAATAAATAAATAAAAATTGTAAAGTATAAAAATGCGCTGCAATTTTTCAATAAAATAAACTGCTGTTCCAATTGCGTCCACTGGATGGCGCAATAGCAATTGTGTTAAGCAAACAAACTGTTTATACCGGGGCAGAGCAAGTAGGTCAAGCACGTGCAGCCAATGAGCTACTTTGTTTTGCCCGCGATATTTATTACGGCTTCTACTTTTAACATTATGTGCTTTGGCACACTCATTGCCCCAATATGTCTCTGTCAAAAAAGAGAAAAGTGGACGCAGAGTGCAGAGTGTTCCAAGAAAAATGGTCATCCTATTTATTAACGGAATTGAATGGGAAAGCTGTATGTTTGGTGTGTTCAGAGCATGTTGCAGTGCTGAAAGAATATAACCTTCGTCGCCACTATGTGAGTCTTCATGCCGACAAATATGACAACTTTCAAGGACAGCGGAGATGAGAGAAGGTGAATGAACTGTTGGCGGGTCTGAAGAAACAGCAGTCTGTGTTTACTCACAGCCGAGACATCAGTGACGCTGCAGTGAAAGCTAGCTACCTCATTGCTAATGAAATCGCAGTGGCTTCAAAACCATTTAGTGAGGGTGAATTTGTAAAAACATGCATGATGAAGGCAGCGGAGATTGTGTGCCCTGAAAAGCGGCAGGCTTTTCCAAATATCAGCCTGACAAGAAACATAGTTGCAGACAGGATTTCCGATCTTTCAGTGGATTTGGACAGCCAGTTGAAGCAAAAAGTAAAGTCATTTATTGCGTTTTCGGTTGCAATTGATGAAAGCACGGACATTACAGATGTTGCACAACTGGCCATTTTCATCCGCGGAGTTGATGACACATTGACCGTCACCGAGGAGTTTGTGGAGTTGGTGCCGATGACAGATACAACGACAGCAGCTGATATTTTTACCGCACTCGTCGGCGCGCTGGACAGGGTCGGAGTGGACTGGTCCCGCGCTGTCAGCCTGGCTACAGATGGTGCGCCCTCAATGATCGGGAAAAAAGCAAGCGTTGTGACAAAGTTCAGAGAGAAAGTGCAATCTGCAAATGGAGGACGTGATTTTTTGACTTTTCACTGTATTTTGCACCAGGAGGCTTTGTGTTGCAAGTCATTAAAGATGGATAACGTCATGAAGGTGGTCATCCAAACTGTTAATTTCATCCGATCCAGAAGCCTGAATCACCGTCAGTTTGACAGCCTTCTCAGAGAGAAAGACCACATCTATGGCCTGCCATACCACACTAAGGTAAGATGGTTAAGCCGAGGTGCTGTGCTGAGGCGTTTCTTTGATTTACGAGAAGAAATTGAACAGTTCATGGAAGAAAAGGGCAAACCAGTGTTAGAATTTCATTCCGCAGAATGGATGCAGGACCTTGCATTTATGGTGGATGTTACAGAGCACCTGAATAACTTGAACAAACAGCTGCAAGGGCGCAACAAAGTTGTCACGCAGTATTATGACAGCATACGTTCTTTCAAGTTGAAGCTGTCATTGTGGGAGACGCAACTTGCCGGTGGTGATGCAGCTCACTTCCCCTGTCTGAAAAATGTGTGCGCGACCCAACATGTGGCAGACATGAAGCGGTTCAAAGATAAAATAACGGGACTGTTACGGGAGTTTGAGCAACGCTTTCAGATTTATGTTTATATAGTTTTATGTTGATGTGCTATTGTTTTTAATTGATTTTATTTTATTTGTATATTTAACCTATTCTTGACTCTGTGGTTCTTGCACTTGTTTGGGGAACAGGATTTCATTATTTTTATCTACATTTCTGCCTGAGAAATGACACCCTGATATAGTTCTGTGATCTGTGAAACAGTTCTGTTAATCACTGAGGCATTGTGTGTTTGTGTGTTCTTTTTCTTTAGAATTTTCAAATAAACTTGACGTGTTTTATGATTAATAGTGATGTTGTGCTTGTACTATTTTGGACACACTGTCCTCAGGCTCCAGCTTTATGTTGTATGTTGATCGTATTAAAACAAAGAAAACAATCTGAAGTTGTTGTTTTTAAGTTATATATATACCATGATTTTTCCGGTCCGGCCCACTTGGGAATAGATTTTCCTCCATGTGGCCCCTGAGCTAAAATGAGTTTGACACCACTGGAGTAAAGGGTCTGAATACTTATGTAAATGTGATGTTTTTTTGTTTTCTTTGCAAAAAAATCTAAAAACCTGTTTTTGCTTCATCATTATGGGATATTGTGTGTAGATTGATTGTGTGTAGATATTTTTTTTAAATCAATTTTAGAATAAGGCTGTAACGTAACAAAATGTGGAAAAAGTCAAGAGGTCTGAATACTTTCCGAATGCACTGTAACTGTGTTATGAAGCTGTAGTGTACATTTTTTGTCATTTAGCAGATGCACTTATCCAGATCTAGGGTTAAGTGCCTTGCTCAAAGGCACATCGACAGATTTTTCACCTAGTCGGCTCGAAGTTTCGAACTAGCAACCTTTCGGTTACTGGCCCAGCTCTCCTCACCGCTAGCTGCCTACCTAATGTGTAGCTGTAGTGTAGTATGTAACTGAGCCTACCTGTGAATGGATCTATGGTGTTACCAAGCACTGAGTCCATGGCGTTTTCTACTGGTTGGAGCAAAGTGTCAATGAAGGAAAAGCTGAACATGGGACAAATGGCTGCATCTCTAGCTGCCTGCTCCTCCTCCTGTTTCTTTAGCCGCTCTGCCTCCTTCTTCTCCGCGTCCGCCTTCGCTTTCTCCTCCTTTTTCTTTGCCATCTCAACTGCCTTGATCGCATCCGCTTCTGCTTTTTTTATCGCGTCCTCCTCTGCTTTTATCCTCTCTGCCTCCTTCTTTCTCAGGTAGTCTGGTTTCCTCAACACCGGGGCTATAGAGAACAAGCAGAAATCATTATGAATGATATGAGTGGTATGGAATAGCAGATTAGTTTATAATTATATAGTCTAACATTTGGGCTTTATCATTGAGAACATCAGGCCTTCTAAATTCTAACATGGACCATATGTATTGAAGTATAATATATTATACATACACTATGATACATATACTGTACATTATTAGACAACCGGAAACTAATAAAAAACTAAAGTGATTGATGATTGATTGATTGATTGACATGTCTTTCTCATTGACACAACAACATCTGTGTACAGTAGGTCCACTTACTGATAGGGGGGCTGATTTCAGGTGTGGTAGTGTAGGGGTCAATGACTCTCTCTTTGTAGATATTTGTCCGGTCTCTTAACCGTTTGACAATGTCCCGGATTGTGTCGTCTGCATACCTGTTGTACACCACCGGGGGAGGTGGAGGAGGGGGCTGCTCTTCACTGCGTCAAGAGACAAGAGGACAAATTGTGCAACAGAGTTCTGATTAATTCAAATAATCAGAAGAAGAACATGATTTGTTTCCAAATAAAAGTGGGATGAATGTTATGGCATGTTCCTTAAATAGATATTGCATGTAAGGGAAGTCCGGACCGGGTGGTGCGATTTTTATTATTGCTTAACAATTTTTTTTGAGTGCTACCGGCTACATCGGTCTGCTAATACACAGTGGCGACCCGTCATTCAGGGTAGGTGTAGAGCCACACCTGTTTTGAGCCCCCCTGTTTAGATAAAAAATATACACTACCGGTCAAAAGTTTCAGAACACCTACTCATTCAAGGGTTTTTCTTTATTTGTACTATTTTCTACATTGTAGAATAATAGTGAAGACATCATAACTATAAAATAACACATATGGAATCATGTAGTAACCAAAAAAGTGTTAAACAAATCAAAATATATTTTATATTTGAGATTCTTCAAATAGCCACCCTTTGCTTTGATGACAGCTTTGCACACTCTTGACATTCTCTCAACCTGCTTCATGAGGTAGTCATCTGGAATGCATTTCAATTAACAGGTGTGCCTTCTTAAAAGTTAATTTGTGGTATTTCTTTCCTTCTTAATGTGTGTAAGCCAATCAGTTGTGTCGTGACAAGGTAGGGGGGGTATACAGAAGATAGCCCTATTTGGTAAATGACCAAGTCCATATTATGGCAAGAACAGCTCAAATAAGCAAAGAGAAACGACAGTCCATCATTACTTTAAGACATGAAGGTCAGTCAATACGGAACATTTCAAGAACTTTGAAAGTTTCTTCAAGTGCAGTCGCAAAAACCATCAAGCGCTATGATGAAACTGGCTCTCATGAGGACCGCCACAGGAATGGAAGACCCAAAGTTACCTCTGCTGCAGAGGATAAGTTCATTAGCGTTACCAACCTCAGAAATTGCAGCCCAAATAAATGCTTCACAGAGTTCAAGTAACAGACACATCTCAACATCAACTGTTCAGAGGGGACTGCGTGAATCAGGCCTTCATGGTCGAATTGCTGCAGCGAAACCACTACTAAAGGACACCAATAATAAGAAGAGACCTGCTTGGGCCAAGAAACACGATCAATGGACATTAGACCGGTGGAAATGTGTCCTTTGGTCTGGAGTCCAAATTTGAGATTTCTGGTTCCAACCGCCGTGTCTTTGTGAGACGCGGTGTGGGTGAACGGATGATCTCCGCATGTGTAGTTCCCACCATAAAGCATGGAGGAGGAGGTGTTATGGTGTGGGGGTGCTTTGCTGGGGACACTGTCTGTGATTTATTTGGAATTCAAGGCACACTTAACCAGCATGGCTACCACAGCATTCTGCAGCGATACGCCATCCCATCTGGTTTGGGCTTAGTGAGACTATCATTTGTTTTTCAACAGGACAATGACCCAACACACCTCCAGGCGGTGTAAGGGCTATTTTACCAAGAAGGAGAGTGATGGTGTGCTGCATCAGATGACCTGGCCTCCACAATCCCCCGACCTCAACCAAATTGAGATGGTTTGGGATGAGTCGGACCGCAGAGTGAAGGAAAAGCATATGTGGGAACTCCTTCAAGACTGTTGGAAAAGCATTCCAGGTGAAGCTGGTTGAGAGAATGCCAAGAGTGTGCAAAGCTGTCATCAAGGCAAAGGGTGGCTATTTGAAGAATCTCAAATATAAAATATATTTTGATTTTGATTTCTTTAACACTTTTTTGGTTACTACATGATTCCATGTATTATTTCATAGTTTTGATGTCTTCACTATTATTCTACAATGTAAAAAATAGTAAAAATTAAGAAAACCCCTTGAATGAGTAGGTGTATCCAAACTTTTGACTGGTAGTGTATATAATTTTTTTCCTCGCAGAAAAACTTGGGGGGCCAAATAAAACCACCCCTGGGCCAAATTCAGTTGGGGAACCCGGACCGACAATATGGTCTTAGACAGGGCCTAGATTTGATCCTGGGTGCACAGAGCTGCATTGGCTACATTCAAATAACTCCTCGTAATCATTATGGTTGTGTTTACAAAGTCAGCCCAATTCTGATCTTTTGCAACTAATTGGTCTTATAACAAATCAGATCTTTTGCCAATAATTGGGCAAAAGAACAGAATTGAGCTGCCTGTGTAAACCCAGTGGGACCACCATGTCTGTGTTGTCCATGGGGACCTATTGAATCATACTCAGCACAGCAGCATACCTCCCACCTGCCCACTTAGTACTAGGAACAAAATAATCTCTCTCTCTCTGCGCACTGGAGGTAATCCTGGTGCTAGTGATTAGTTGGTTACACAGTCATTGCCAGGTGTGCCAGGAAACTAAGTATATTTTCCTTCTGTACTGTATGTCCTTAATATACTCTGAGAGGATGCTGTATTTACACTGGACTGGTATTCACTTTTTATCTGTCCCTTTTTAATTTACTGCAGTGGGCTAAATCAGGGTCACACAGAGTATTTATTGGTATTGTTAAACAATCTACTTTTAAACAAAAGTATACACATCACATACATGGTTATGGTCTTTAAAAAAAGAAGACACATGTACCATGTCAGATATAGAGTTGAAATGTATTACATTTTGAGTTTGCATCCCAATATTACACTTTATATACATCACAGAAGACTGAAATAAAACAAAACCGTCTGACATAGAAACAGCTGATTTTCAGCAGATTTTTTGAAATAATGTTTATTAATTATGAAATTATTAAAGATATTATTATCATTCCACCCATGAGGCCACTAGAGGCCGCTTTGGTCATTCCACTGCAGGAAAGGGCTACGATGGCTCTTATAAGAATACTATACCAGATGAAGCATTTAAGAAAACACACACATTAAGAGGTATGGAGCTTACTGCTCTGTACAGCCAGAAATAGAAGCAGGTGGGATTTCCGTTCTGTTTTTATCTGGTTGTACCTCAACAAGGAAATAGGATTTCAGCACAAGTCACACCCACTGTATGTAAAGTCAGCCTATACAGAAGCCAAATACAGAATACAAGTTATCTCAATCAAGACCAGTGACTATTTCCCTGTAAAACATAGCCTACTTCCTTGAAGTAAGAAATTAGCTACAGTACAGAGAGAAAGCAAAGAAACCCTTTGCAAATAAAACGTACACGTGAACTACCACCACCCATCCTCTGACCTTCTTAAGTCACAAATACCCGTAATCCCATAATCTTATTCAGCTACTTTGGGAGTCACAAGCTGCAAGTCATTCTGTAGTGTGGAGGGAAAACATCCATCGCTAAGCAGCTGCCTGCAGCCATAATATAGGCCTACATTGCACTATTAGTCTGTTTGGAGTCTTGCTTATGTTGTCCTTAGTACAGTAACATGTAGACTATTGTCTTCCCACAAGCCACAGCCACTGCAGTTGTGGGAAGAGACTAGTCTACATGTTACTGTGCTGTGTAAGGACAACACATGTATAAGCTTTTTACACCTGTTGTATTCGGCACGTGTCAAATAAAATTTGACTTGATTTGATTTGTTTTAGCTACATGGAAGACACTTAGATCTCTTTAACGAAACACTGAAGAGATTGAACAGAAACTACTTGCTCTCTGGCTACCAAACTATTATTAACACATCTCATCTCAGTAGATGAACAGCCCCACTATGAACTCTCTCTCACCCCCCATGTTCTCCCCTATCTCTTTAACTGGCTAAACTAATAGCCCATGGACACAGTTCACAGCCAGGTGTGATTGATGTTCTTACCCTTCAGCCCCCTCAGTGGGTTTGTCCCCTTCTGCAGGTGCAGGTGCAGGTGCAGGTGCAGGTGCAGGTGCAGGTGCAGGTGCAGGTGCAGGTGCAGGTGCTGGGGCAGCGGCCGGGGCTGGAGCAGGAGCTGGGGCAGGAGCAGAAGCTGGGGCAGGATCTATGGGTAGTGTACAAAATATAATATGAGCAAGTGGACCGTGTAGAACCTGAGTAGAGACTAAAACTTAAGAACATACAATGAGTATACCAATGTCCTATGGGTGGTGGACCATTGTTGATACACACGTGAAACTGTTGCGCATGAAAAACCCAGCAGCGTTGCAGTTCTTGACACACTCAAACTGGTGCGGCTGGCACCTACTAACCCTGTTCAAAGGCACTTACATATTTTGCCTTTCCCATTCACCCTCTGAATGGCACACATACACAATCCATGTCTCAATTGTTGGGTCATTGTCCAGTTGAAAAACAAATTATAGTCCCACTAAGCCCAAACCAGATGGGATGGCGTATCGCTGCAGAATGCTGTGGTAGCCATGCTTGTTAAGTGTTCCTTGAATTCTAAATAAATCACAGACAGTGTCACCAGCAAAGCACCCCCACACCAGAATACCTCCTCCTCCATGCTTTACGGTGGGAACTACACATGCGGAGATCATCTGTTCACCCACACCACGTCTCACAAAGACACGGCGGTTTGAACCAAAAATCTCCAATTTGGACTCCAGACCAAAGGACAAATTTACACCGCTCGTGTTTCTTGGCCCAAGCAGGTCTCTTCTTCTTATTGGTGTCCTTTAATAGTGGTTTCTTTGCAGCAATTCGACCATGAAGGCCTGATTCACGCAGTCCCCTCTGAACAGTTGATGTTGAGATGTGTCTGTTACTTGAACTCTGTGAAGCATTTATTTGGGCTGCAATTTCTGAGGCTGGTAACGCTAATGAACTTATCCTCTGCAACAGAGGTAACTCCGGGTCTTCCATTCCTGTGGCGGTCCTCATGAGAGCCAGTTTCATCATAGTGCTTGATGGTTTTTGCGACTGCACTTGAAGAAACTTTCAAAGTTCTTGAAATGTTCCGTATTGACTGACCTTCATGTCTTAAAGTAATGATGGACTGTTGTTTCTCTTTGCTTATTTGAGCTGTTCTTGCCATAATATGGACTTGGTCATTTACCAAATAGGGCTTTCTTCTGTATACCACCCCTACCTTGTCACAACACAACTGATTGGCTCAAACGCATTAAGAAGGAAATAAATTCCACAAATTAACTTTCAAGAAGGCACACCTGTTAATTGAAATGCATTCCAGGTGAGTACCTCATGAAGCTGGTTGAGAGAATGCCAAGAGTGTGCAAAGCTGTCATCAAGGCAAAGGGTGGCTATTTGAAGAGTCTCAAATATAAAATATATTTTGATTTGTTAAACTTTTTTTTGGTTACTACATGATTCCATATGTGTTATTTCATAGTGTTGATGTCTTCACTATTATTCAACAATGTAAAAAATAGTAAAAATAAAGAAAAATCCTTGAATGAGTAGGTGTGTCCAAACTTTTGACTGGTAGTGTATATCTCCTGGAGTTAGATTGTCTACGACAGAAATCCATAGACAAGAGGATAGAATGAGACTTTGTTGATGTTGTGGCTGCAACATTTATGGGTGTGTGCCAAAGGGTACGCCACAGCCAAAACACCAACAATGAAAAGTCTTAATTCTGTCCCCTTGTGTTTGAGTATTATATGGCAAAAACTGAGCAGGTTTAATATCATATAGAAGCAAGAGAAAATGCTAGATGAAAACAAACAAACAAACTTACCTGCTGGTTTAGCCTCCTCCTTCTTAGGTTCTTCCTCTTTCTTCTCATCTTCCTGTGAACACAACACTGTTACCTCACTGAAAACAATGGCCCATATTCACCAACAGATTTAGAGTAGGACTGCTGATCTAGGATCAGATTCCCCCTCTTATTCATTATTACCTGAAAGGCAAAACTGATCCTAGGTCAGCACTCCTACTCTTAGATATGGTCCAATGAGACATGAAGACAGGTGCCCATAAGCACTGGCGTGACGCAGTTTCTCTGGACCCCTGCAAGGTCAGAGTCCCCCACCCCCTCCCTAAAATATAAAAAAATTGAATGCCTCAGCCAAACAGCCAATCACAAAGTTTAGACTACCGATCGCTGTCCATGGTGTTGAAATTTTGACGTCTCTGCGGCTGCCTATCGAATCGATAACAGGCTTTCTGTGGTGTCAGAGCACGTAGACTATAGTTTTGTTTTAGATAATGGATACAATTTTATTGGTAGGCCTATTTGGTCATCATTTTCTCATGTTAAGCCTAACATTTGGCAATAATATATTTACTTGTTCAGTAATTTATAGTTGGAAATTCAAACATTGCAGATTGTACAATTTACAGTGGGGGAAAAAAGTATTTAGTCAGCCACCAATTGTGCAAGTTCTCCCACTTAAAAATATGAGAGAGGCCTGTAATTTTCATCATAGGTACGTCAACTATGACAGACAAAATGAGAAAAAAACATCCAGAAAATCACATTGTAGGATTTTTAATGAATTTATTTGCAAATTATGGTGGAAAATAAGTATTTGGTCAATAACAAAGGTTTCTCAATACTTTGTTATATACCCTTTGTTGGCAATGACACAGGTCAAACGTTTTCTGTAAGTCTTCACAAGGTTTTCACACACTGTTGCTGGTATTTTGGCCCATTCCTCCATGCAGATCTCATCTAGAGCAGTGATGTTTTGGGGCTGTCGCTGGGCAACACGGACTTTCAACTCCCTCCAAAGATTTTCTATGGGGTTGAGAGAAGTTACAGTTCTGTGAGAGCCAGAAATCTTGCTTGTTTGTAGGTGACCAAATACTTATTTTCCACCATAATTTGCAAATAAATTCATTCATGTACCTATGATGAAAATTACAGGCCTCTCTCATCTTTTTAAGTGGGAGAACTTGCACAATTTGTGGCTGACTAAATACTTTTTTTCCCCACTGTATGTGCTTTCTTGAGCAGGGGGACCTTGCGGGCGCTGCAGGATTTCAGTCCTTCAGTCCATTTCAGTCCATCTTGCATGGAGCCCCAGGCCGAGGGAGATTGACAGTTCTTTTGTGTTTCTTCCATTTGCGAATAATCGCACCAACTGTTGTCACCTTCTCACCAAGCTGCTTGGCGATGGTCTTGTAGCTCATTCCAGCCTTGTGTAGGTCTACAATCTTGTCCCTGACATCCTTGGAGAGCTCTTTGGTCTTGGCCATGGTGGAGAGTTGGCAATATGATTGATTGATTGCTTCTGTGGACAGGTGTCTTTTATACAGGTAAGAAGATGAGATTAGGAGCACTCCCTTTAAGAGTGTGCTCCTAATCTCAGCTCGTTACCTGTATAAAAGACACCTGGGAGCCAGAAATCTTTCTGATTGAGAGCGGGTCAAATACTTATTTCCCTCATTAAAATGCAAATCAATTTATAACATTTTTTACATGCGTTTTTCTGGATTTATTTTTTGTTATTCTGTCTCGCACTGTTCAGATAAACCTACCATTAAAATTATAGACTGATAATTTCTTTGTCAGTGGGCAAACGTACAAAATCAGCAGAGGATCAAATACTTTTTTCCCTCACTGTATGTCTCCATAAGCTTGGCACATCTAGCCACTGGGATTTTTGCCCATTCTTCAAGACAAAACTGCTCCAGATCCTTCAAGTTGGATGGGTTCCGCTGGTGTACAGCAATCTTTAAGTCATACAACAGATTCTCAATTGGATTGAGGTCTGGGCTTTGACTAGGCCATTCCAAGACATTTAAATGTTTCCCCTTAAACCACTCAAGTGTTGCTTTAGCAGTATGCTTAGGGTCATTGTCCTGCTGGAAGGGGAACCTCCGACCCAGTCTCAAATCTCTGGAAGACTGAAACAGGTTTCCCTCAAGAATTTCCCTGTATTTAGCACCATCCATCATTCCTTCAATTCTGACCAGTTTCCCAGTCCCTGCCGATGAAAACATCCCCACAGCATGATGCTGCCACCACCATGCTTCACTGTGGGGATGGTGTTCTCGGGGTGATGAGAGGTGTTGGGTTTGTGCCAGACATATCGTTTTCCTTGATGGCCAAAAAGCTCAATTTTAGTCTCATCTAACCAGATTATCTTCTTCCATATGTTTGGGGAGTCTCCCACATGCCTTTTGGCGAACACCAAATGTTTTTGCTTATTTTTTTTATTTAAGCAATGGCTTTTTTATGGCCACTCTTCCGTAAAGCCCAGCTCTGTGGAGTGTACGGCTTAAAGTGGTCCTATGGACAGATACTCCAATCTCCGCTGTGGAGCTTTGCAGCTCCTTCAGGGTTATCTTTGGACTCTTTGTTGCCTCTCTGATTAATGCCCTCCTTGCCTGGTCCGTGAGTTTTGGTGGGCGGCCCTCTCTTGGTAGGTTTGTTGTGGTGCCATATTCTTTCAATTTTTTAATAATGGATTTAATGGTGCTCCGTGGGATGTTCAAAGTTTCTGATATTTTTTTATAACCCAACCCTGATCTGTACTTCTCCACAACTTTGTCCCTGACCTGTTTGGAGAGCTCCTTGGTCTTCATGGTGCCGCTTGCTTGGTGGTGCCCCTTGCTTAGTGGTGTTGCAGACTCTGGGGCCTTTCAGAACAGGTATATATATACTGAGATCATGTGACAGATCATGTGACACTTACATTGCACACAGGTCAAATCAAATCAAATCAAATGTTATTGGCCACATGTGCCGAATACAACAGGTGCAGTCATTACAGTGAAATGCTTACTCACAGCCCTTAACCACCAGTGCATTTATTTTTTATAAAAAAGTAGAATAAAACAAAAATGTGTTGAGAAAAAAAGAGAAAGAAGTAAAATAAAATAACAGTAGGGAGGCTATATATACAGGGGGGTACCCTTTATATATATTTAACTAATTATGTGACTTCTGAAGGTAATTGGTTGCACCAGATCTTATTTAGGGGCTTCATAGCAAAGGGCATGAATACATGCACCACTTTTCCGTTATTTATTTTGTAGAATCTTTTGAAACAAGTTATTTTTTTCATTTCACTTCACCAATTTGGACTATTTTGTGTATGCCCATTACATGAAATACAAATACAAATCAATGTAAATTACAGGTTGTAATGCAACAAAATAGGAAAAACGCCAAGGGGGGTGAATATTTAGCTGCTATTTAAAAAACCTTTTATAAAAATTACACATCAAATAGCCTAACAATGAGGAAAAAAGTAGTCGGCTTTTTAGATACTATTTATTGTTGAACTCAGCAGGTTTTGTCTGGCTAATAGCCTACACAAAATGGCTGCAAAGGTAAATTAAATCCAACTTGAGATACTGGTCTTCTGAAGTCCTCCTGAGACATTGTGCATTATAATGTCCCAGAGCTTCCTATACAGCTAATCTCTTTCCATAACGTGTTGAGGCCTGCAATTAAGGAGAATGAGAGGCTCAATTAAAGATGTTACAGAACTGCTGAATTTTAACCAGCACTCCTTCTGCCCAGTTTCCCTGATGTTGCTACGGCAATCAAACTGATTTTAAGCATCCCTGTAACTGTTGCTTCTGCGGAGAGATCATTTTCTAAACTAAAACTCATAAAAAACTACCTAAGAAGCATTAGGCTTTTGGTCTGATATGTGCTTTTGAACACCTGAGTAAGCTCCGCTCATTGCACTGGCGCTGTAGCCTTGACCTAGGTATTTGTTCACGATATCCCCTTACTTTCAATCAGTCCAATCATTTCTCTTTAAAGGCCTGAGGCTTTTTCACCAGTCACATTCTTGAAGCCCAAGAAGCAAACACTTACCTTTCTAGTACATATGGAAATTAAAAAGGTTTATTAATTACTTTTTGGAGGGTTACTGTCAAAATTATTTATTACTTTATTTTATTTTATAGACATCGATGACAGGCGCATGGGCCCCCAGAGCTCTTGGGCCCCCCCGCCTTGCGAGGGCTGCGGGGGTGTCTGGTACACCAGTAGCCATAATAATAATATAATAATAATAATATGCCATTTAGCAGACGCTTTTATCCAAAGCGACTTACAGTCATGCGTGCATACATTTTCTTTGTGTATGGGTGGTCCCGGGGATCGAACCCACTACCCTGGCGTTACAAGCGCCGTGCTCTACCAGCTGAGCTACAGAGAACCACAAGTATGATGTTGTGGAAACAGTCAAGTGTATCACAGCTCACATAATCAAACTATTATTTTTCGGAGGGCTTGGGTTCTTCATTCAGTGCCCAGAATGTACTTGGAGGGAGGGGGTGGAATCCATGTTGGAAATAAGGTGTATGAAAACTCATGGCTTGTAGATATTACATCTGTCTGACTCCAAAGTGAGCACTTCCTCACTTTGGTGTCTCTGATAGATTCATGGCTTTGTCTTATTAACAAACATCTTAATCATATACTAAGAAAAGGATGATCCAATCATTAATCAGTGAAAATCCTCTCCGTCTTTCATACATGAACTCCCTCCTCCTCATCAATAACAAACACTTTCTTTCCAGACTTAGAAGGCCAATTACCCAGGCCACTGACGGCCGAAACGTTACAATTTTAACTTTAACTAGATAAATAATAAATAATTTAATTGTGAGCGAGAGTCACACATATTCCTTTCAAACTCCATTATGATGTTTGGTTACACCTTATCTCATGTTGGTTGACAACTTCTTCTCCTCTCCAAAGGCCAATTACTCAGCCTGAAACCGAGGCTATAAGTGCTTCTCTACTCTAGTGCCAGGCTATACTGTTGATAGGAGGTATTTGAGATAGGCTGGGCTCTGAAGCATTGAAGCCAAGCTGTTTCAACCTGAAGCTTTCCCTGATCTGACTGACTCAGCTGTCATGGTTTGCTGTCTAGTCAATCTCACCATCTCATGAGTCACTGCCCAGTGTCCCCATCCAGTGTCACAATCACTGAGAGATACTGTTGAATCTAACATCCGTTTAGAACATGACATTTTGTCCACTTTAAAGGGGTAATCTGGGATTCAAAACAACAGAGTGGTGCCCCGCCACTTTTTTGGTAAACAGCAAGCATTACTCAATATAAAGACTATCGTTTTGAGCAATTTGTCATGGGATAAGGTGAATTAGTCATACTGTATGTTGACTGTATATATGTTAACCATATTATATTACATTTTTAGGGCCATTTAATCCTGTGTACAGTTTAAGACATTCAGAAACAATCCTAAACAATAAATATAAAATAAAAAAAATACACATTTACATACATCAGTAACAGCCAGTCATTATACTAAAGTCCCACAATATCTATATAATCAGTGGTAATAATATAGGCAGTGTTTATTCAACCGCTCGAAAATTAATTAATTTCTACCCCTATGCCTAAGTATTTGTCCTGCCGGCAAACACTTTCAATGATATATCCTGCTGTAGTGTTTTGGAAAGATAGGCGATGCCTTACCTTGGCTGGAGGTGCTGGGGCAGGAGCAGGAGCAGGAGCTGGTGCAGGGCCAGGGGCAGGAGCCGTGGCAGGAGCAGCAGCGGCATCCGGCTTCGGAGGTGGCTCGGGCACCGAGAACAGTGCTTTGAGCTTGGCAAACATGGTGGTTGTTGGGCTAGTGGGCAGTGTGGGCGAAAGGGAACCTGGCGAGCCTATCCAGGGTTACAGATCTGATCCTTAGACTCTCTCCTCTGTCTTACCAACTGTCTAACCCTGAACGCCTGACAGTGGTAACGACAGCCTGCCTCATGTAATTAATCTCCAGTTCCATGAATTCCCTCATAGGAACTCCCCCTCTCCTCTTCGCTCTTCTCTGCTCTTCCTATGGGATGGGTCAACAAAGAGCAGCTACCACTGCCACCTATGGCTGCTTCACATCCCCAACACTCTTCCTGTGACGTTGGACTGTTTGGTAAATATACTGTGTTGAATGAGCAGCAACTGTACTGTAGGAGGCCATTTTGTTTCTTGTCCATGGCTGCAGCAAGCTTGGCAGTTAGTTTGGATAATTGATCATTCATTCAAATCAATTAATTGATAAATCAGAAAAGTCCAGGAGTTGATCAACAAACTTCAAATAGGTTTAACACCAGATTTGTGTACATTTGTGTACATTTCTTAATACACAATAGTAAAGTGGCAACAGAAGAATTGCACTGTGACTCTTAGGTAGGGGCTAAACTCAGCTATGTTAAAGTGACTATAGTATCTGGGTTATTCTTAGCATCGCTGGCTACCGAGTGTTAAGGCTGGGGACAGATACAGAAAGGAGACCACTTACTTAATTAAACATCACAATGTCCCGCCCCCTTCCTGGCTAAGACTTCACAATGTCCCGCCCCCTTCCTGGCTAAGACTTCACAATGTCCCGCCCTGGATAAGGGGATTACTGGATGTAACCTACAACTGAGATCTCCATGGTTGGCTTTCTTTCACTTTCAACTCCTATTTAACACAACACACAATAGCTCAGGAACTGATGCAGTCGTTAGTAAATTAGGATTTATTTATTTAGGTAAATGTGTATCTTACAAAGCAGATAGATGGAGTCACTTAAGTAGCTTGTTTTGTAGCTAAACTGTTACACAGAAAAACAAATCATTTGATTGGCACTGCATCCATAACTGTCACCACAAACTACATGAGCTGTGTATTGGCAAATCAAAAATAGTGATTGGCAAAAAAAGAAACGTTTCTAAACCTGACCTATAATTTTTAATTGATATGAAAAGAAAAACAATCAAAAAACTTCTAGACAGATTAATTTGTTCCACTTTTCATATTTTCTTTCAATATTGCACATCTTAATAAAGTTTTTCTAAAGGATAGTATGTGAGAGGGTAGTAGTATTCCTCTTACAAGAATCCCTCAAAATAGTGTTCTGTACACACACTCACACATACTGTTCATTCAGCTGTGAGTGTAAAGAGGGGATTGACAAATAACGCACTGTAAATTCACCCCAAAAGGAATAAATATGAGAAACGATGCAGTTTGATATTCTCAATTTTGTTGATTTTGGGTGGCATGCTACAAGAGAAAGAAAACCACAACACAATACAGTCGATTACAAACCAGCTTGAGCCACTAACAGTATTTATAAAGCTGTCTTGTACCATTACCAACTGTAACTGAACATCAATACACTGTACATACCTGTATACCTACAGTTGTTAACAACAGGTCAAAGTGAGAGTAAGGGATGTTTCTTACCTTGAGTTTCTCCATAAAGCCTTTGCAGCCCCCAAAGGCACGCAGCATCTTAGGAGTGGGGGGTTTGGGTCCGAACAGCGCCAGTCCATTCTTTTTGTCTTCGACAGCCTTAGCAGCAGCTGGACCCTTCGCCTTCATCAGTTTCCTTGGAGAAAAAAAAATGAGTCAAGTGTATCTATCTCTATTACATTACATGGTATCGTTTTATTTGAATAGTCCATCTATAGCTACATAAAGTATAAATAGAGTTTGATGAGCTATTACTGTATAGATGGATTAATCCAAATACCTATTGGTATTGATAAAGGATAGCAGGGAAGCAGTATTCTTTAGCATTTTTAATGTTTTCCCTACAAGAGACTACTACTACTGCTACTAACTAATTATCTTAGATGAAAACTAGGAACTAATCCAATGCAGTACCAATAATACAGCCAATCTCCTCTCTTACTTTCCTTTCCTGGCCAGAACTTTCTGAGCCAATGGGTAGTGGACCAGAATTTCAAAGAGATCCTTCTTTTCCAGGACGAACAGGTTAGCAAAGCCATGAGCTTTGACGTTAGCTGTCCTCCTGTTCCCGCCATCTTTAGACGATTGCAACAGACTGTTGAACAAAAACACTCCTAGTCATCCAATTGTATAATATAATCTCAGTGTAGGCATCTCAGTGTAGGCTACACCATGTCTGTGTCCGAAATGGCAGCCTATTTCCTTTCCTTCCTACTTTTGACTAGGGTACATAGAGGATTACTTTTTAACAGAGCCTTATTATATGGGCCCTGGTCAAAAAAGTGCTCTATAGGAAATAGGGTACCATTTCAGATGCAGCCCATTATTTCATGTTCACAGGAGAGCTCTGTTCTGTACCTGATTTCTCCAAACACACAGCCAGCCTTCAGTGTAACAAACACGATGGAGTTATCTGGTCCACCAACCACCTGCACTGCTCCAGACTTGATTATGTACATCTCTTTACCAATATCTCCCTACAGGACAAGATAGTCAGACAGAAAACTGTTATGCTATAGATGTACAGTGCCTTCAGAAAGTATTCACACCCCTTGGACTTTTTCCACATATTGTTGTGTTACAGCCTGAATTTAAAATGGATTAAATTAAGATTTTGTGTCACTGGCCTACACACAATACCCCATAATGTTAGAATCTTTTACAAACAAATTAAAAATGAAAAGCTGAATGGTTTTGAGTCAATAAGCATTCAACCCCTTTGTTATGGCAAGCCTAAATAGGTTCAGGAGTAAAATTGTCACATAAAAAGTTGCATGGACTCGGTGTGCAATAATGGTGGAATAAGTCAAGGGGTATGAATACTTTCTGAAGGCACTGTACATCTCTTTACCATTATCTCCCTATGGGGAACCAAATATACACACATAAAGCTGATTAAAAAAGCGGATTATACTGCATCTCTTTACCAATATTACCCTATGCGGACGAAATAGTGTGTTAACTATCTGACTGCATTTAACATCTGACTGCATTTAACAGATCCCTTATAGACTACATGAAACAGCTAATTCCATGACTGAGTCTCTTTCTCTCTCTCTCTATCACCCCCTCTTTATTTCTCTCTCCCCCCCTCTCTCTCCGTTCTAATGCCTGTCTCCCCTCTACGCAATTTCACCTCCAGCGATGACAGGATTATGTCTGACATGTTTAAGAAAGTGCTTTGGCAGCAGCAGACAGGCAATAAAACACAAACACACACAAACTCACCTTCTGCACCACAAAGTCCCCAGGTAGATATATAATAGACTTAAGCCTCAGCAACATGTCTACCAACATCTGGTTATCACAACCCTGAGGAAATACAATTCAACGTCATAGACTAAAGCAACACAAGGTATTACACATACACATTTCTGTGTGAGGTTGACTTAAAGAAAATTTCAAGATATGATGCAAACTGCATCATACTGGCTGTATTTCTGTATTTTGAAAGTTATATATCTTGAAAATTTGATTGCTGACATGCAAAACATTTTGGGACTATATCAACAATGGCCTAATGAAACAAATACCAAAAAAATAGTTTTTGGGTGGAGTTTTCCTTTAAGTAATGTTTGTGTGTGCGTGTGCGTTGGTGATGCGCGGGTTTACTCATATCCTGGCGGGTTTAGGGTCATGAAATATTGTATGGATGAAGGGCGGGTGGGCGGCGGGCAGTTTGAATAAAGAGAAAACAATACCTTAAAAAAAATCCATAAATGTATAATTATTGTGCAATTTATGCCTATAGGCTACATTTAGGTTTTTCTTTCATTATTTTAGGCTATCTGGCATTAGTGCGTAAGCCTAATGCCTGATGTCCACCAGATGCATTTTGTTTGTTTTGCCGGCCCGTATTTTCAGTACTTAACGCACATGTGCTTTGCTTTTGAACTTGCTAAAAGCTAGCTGACTGTGTCCATAAAATGTATATAGTATGTATAAGCTGGAAGTAGAGGCCTAAGCGTTGTTGTTCACTAGTTTACTCCAATTAGGGAAGGGGTGGTGGGGTTGGAAAGTAATAAAGGGAAATATATTTTAAAAAAGGATATGTGTATATATATGTACAGTTGAAGTCTGAAGTTTACATACACTTAGGTTGGAGTCATTAAAACACGTTTTTCAACCACTCCACAAATGTCTTGTTAACAAAATATCGTTTTGGCAAGTCGGTTAGGACATCTACTTTGTGCATGACACAAGTAATTTTTCCAACAATTGTTTACAGACAGATTATTTCACTTACAATTCACTGTATCACAATTCCAGTGGGTCAGAAGTTTACATACACTAAGTTGACTGTGCCTTTAAAGAGCTTGGAAAAATCCAGAAAATGATGTCATGGCTTTAGAAGCTTCTGATAGGCTAATTGACATAATTTGAGTCAATTGGAGGTGTACCTGTGGATGTATTTCAAGGCCTACCTTCAAACTCAGTGCCTCTTTGCTTGACATCATGGGAGAATCAAAAGAAATCAGCCAAGACCTCAGAAAAAAAATTGTAGACCTCCACAAGTCTGGTCTACCACGTTCATCTGTACAAACAATAGTACAAAAGTATAAACACCATGGGACCACACAGCCGTCATACTGCTCAGGAAGGAGACACGTTCTGTCTCCTAGAGATTAACGTACTTTGGTGCGAAAAGTGCAAATCAATCCCAGAACAACAGCAAAGGACCTTGTGAAGATGCTGGAGGAAACAGGTACCAAAGTATTTATATCCACAGTAAAACGAGTCCTATATCGACATAACCTGAAAGGCCGCTCAGCAAGGAAGAAGCCACTGCTCCAAAACCACTATAAAAAAGCCAGACTACGGTTTGCAACTGCACATGGGGACAATGATCGTACTTTTTGGAGACATGTCCTCTTGTCTGATGAAACAAAAATAGAACTGTTTGGCCATAATGACCATCGTTATGTTTGGAGGAAAACGGGAGAGCGCTTGCAAGCCGAAGAACACCATCCCAACAGTGAAGTACGGGGGTGGCAGCATCATGCTGTGGGGGTGCTTTGCTGCAGGAGGGACTAGTGCACTTCACAAAATAGATTGCATCATGAGGAGGAAAATTATGTGGATATATTGAAGCAACATCTCAAGACATCAGTCAGGAAGTGAAAGCTTGGTCGCAAATGGGTCTTCCAAATGAACAATGACCCCAAGCATACTTCCAAAGTTGTGGCAAAATGGCTTAAGGACAACAAAGTCAAGGTATTGGAGTGGCCATCACAAAGCCCTGACCTCAATCCTATAGAACAGGGGTGTCAAACATACGGCCCGCGGGCCGGATCAGGCCCGCAAACGGGTTTAATCCGGCCCGCGAGATGATTTCGAAAAAAATAAATAAAAATTTAGTATAAAAATGCACTGCAATTTTTCAATAAAATAAACTGCTGTTCCAATTGCGTCCACTGTATGGCGCAATAGCAATTGTCTTAAGCAAGCAAACTGTTTATACCGGGGCAGAGCAAGTAGGTCAAGCACGTGCAGCCAATGAGCTACTTTGTTTTGCCCGCGATATTTATTACGGCTTCTACTTTTAACATTATGTGCTTTGGCACCCTCATTGCCCCAATATGTCTCTGTCAAAAAAGAGAAAAGTGGACGCAGAGTGCAGAGTGTTCCAAGAAAAATGGTCATCCTATTTAATCACGGAATTGAATGGGAAAGCTGTATGTTTGGTGTGTTCAGAGCATGTTGCAGTGCTGAAAGAATATAAATAATTTGTCGGCACTATGTGAGTCTTCATGCCGACAAATATGACAACTTTCAAGGACAGCGGAGATGAGAGAAGGTGAATGAACTGTTGGCGGGTCTGAAGAAACAGCAGTCTGTATTTACTCACAGCCGAGACATCAGTGACGCTGCAGTGAAAGCTAGCTACCTCATTGCTAATGAAATCGCAGTGGCTTCAAAACCATTTAGTGAGGGTGAATTTGTAAAAACATGCATGATGAAGGCAGCGGAGATTGTGTGCCCTGAAAAGCGGCAGGCTTTTGCAAATATCAGCCTGACAAGAAACACAGTTGCAGACAGGATTTCCGATCTTTCAGTGGATTTGGACAGCCAGTTGAAGCAAAAAGTAAAGACATTTATTGCGTTTTCGGTTGCAATTGATGAAAGCACGGACATTACAGATGTTGCACAACTGGCAATTTTTTCATCCGCGGAGTTGATGACACATTGACCGTCACCGAGGAGTTCGTGGAGTTGGTGCCGATGACAGATACAACGACAGCAGCTGATATTTTTACCGCACTCGTCGGCGCGCTGGACAGGGTCGGAGTGGACTGGTCCCGCGCTGTCAGCCTGGCTACAGCTCAGGCTCCAGCTTTATGTTGTGTCAGCCTGGAGCTCAGGCTCCAGCTTTATGTTGTATGTTGATCGTATTAAAACAAAGAAAACAATCTGAAGTTGTTGTTTTTAAGTTATATATACCATGATTTTTCCGGTCCGGCCCACTTGGGAATAGATTTTCCTCCATGTGGCCCCTGAGCTAAAATGAGTTTGACACCCCTGCTATAGAACATGTGTGAGCAGAACTGAAAATGCGTGTGCGAGCAAGGAGGCCTACAAACCTGACTCAGTCACACCAGCTCTGTCAGGAGGAATGGGCCAAAATTCACCCAACTTATTGTGGGAAACTTGTGGAAGGCTACCTGAAACGTTTGACCCAAGTTAAACAATTTAAAGGCAATGCTACCAAATACTATTTGCGTGTATGTAAACTTCAGACCCACTGGGAATGTAATGAAAGAAAGAAAAGCTTAAATAAATCATTCTCTCTACTATTATTCTGACATTTCACATTCATAAAATAAAGTGGCGATCCTAACTGACCTAAGACAGTCCATACAGTAGTTGCAGCGATGGGACAAGACTGTAACTACCAATTTGGATATCACGAGATAAAATATATATATATATATATATAAAAGATGGGGACATCAAATCAGCCAGGTCACCAGTGATACAAGTCAGTATTCGACGTCCATCCATGTCGGGAGATTACCTGGAGACCAGCCCCTAGGGGCAACAGTGAGCGCTGTTACATTCAAGTAGGTTTCAGTGTTGCTAGGGCATTGGAGATAGCAGATGGGCATAAGCATCTGCCTCTGAATCCAAAGGTTGCACGTTCGAATCCAGCGATAGAAAGTTGTTTTTTATATTTTAGTTTTAAGCCTATCCCAATCCAAGCCTATCTTCTAGGGCAACATATAATGTCAAAAAATAAGCTACATGTATCTAATTATAGACAAGTTGACTAACAAATAGCCTACCAAAAATATTCTAAATTATAAGTAGAAACATATCTAAATCAGGACCAGAAAATCCTGCACCCCCTGTCAAAAAATCGTTCCGCATTCTCTGACTGTAGCCTATAGCGCATTTTCTATATTGGCGGGTTAGGGCCTCAGATTTTCATTTCATCACATATAGTCAGGCGGTTGCGGATGGGTTATTAGCAATTGCGTGCAGGTGCGGTTGAACAAACAGCTGACTCATGCACCACTAGTGTGCATGCGTGCATGCTTTCGTGTGTACCTTAAATAGATCAATTTTCTGGAAGGTAGTCAGGTTGACGTCAACAGCAATGGCTGTCCTCATGACCAGAGGCATCTGCTCCAGCAGCTCAGACTCATCTAAAGGCAGGCAAGAAGAACCATAAATACACAGGTAATTACTGATGTCTTATCGAACATAACTCTTATTCACATAGACCTGAGCCTCTGTTAAAGGTAGACTCAGCGATGTGACGTAGATGCAGAAAGTAAACAGCATAGTGGGTCCATTTCTGAAACAACTAAGAGTGTTGAAGCGCAAGGCTCAACTTCTCCACTGTTTTAGTCCTGTGGCTACCACGCTGCACAGATACTGTGTGTGACTGTGTGAGAGCGAAGTGTTGCATCTCGCTCATCTCACTATCTCAGGCGCTGCTCCTGGCAACGTCATTTTGCAGAGTCTACCTTTAATGCTTGAAAGAAAATATTGAGGTTGCGTCTCAAATATGGAATACAGTGCCACTTGGGACGCAGCCTGAGAGTTTCCTTACCCAGCATGCCCTGGGCGTCCCAGGTGTAGTTGTACCAGGTGCGTATCCTGTTCTGACACAGTTTGGGGATGTGATTTGACACCATATAATACACAGTGTTGTCCATGGAGGAACGAAAGTAGGTCTGGCCTGCGGTGGCTGCCCCAATGACATCTCTCATCTGGAACGGATCATATTAGACACATAGGTCAACTGAGGTCAAGCTCAAGTTCAACTTCTAACTTTATTGGTCCGAGAGGGGAACATTTGTTACAAGTTGGTTGTACAGCTAAATTACACATAAACCATTTTTTACACACCCTCACCCCTGCGCACACACACACATGCACCAACTTTTAACAAATGTAATAAGTGACATTTACAATAAATCAAATAAACATGTAACAGGAATTCCAAGCTAAATACAGGTCAGTGAGGTTGGTCAGTAGGCTAAAATCGTCTTTGATTCATTACCAACACACAACCTGACTACTTACCTGCATTTCTACAGGTAAACAATCTACTATATCTATATCAGTCTGGATAGATCAGAGTCCTGAGACTGAGGTGGCTATGGGCCAGCGAAATAAGGCTATCATCAAACATCCTCTTTGGTTCACTTAAACAGATTAAGTCTAATACTGGACTAAACTGCACTTTCAACAGCGATTCTCCAGTGAGATTGCTTTTTAGTCCAGGACTAGGCTTAAGCTGTGTCCAGGAAACTCAAAGTTACTTTCGTAACCCCGGTTCTCTGATATTATGAGTGAGATATCTCACATATGGGATTGACCTGAATCTCAGAAGCTCAAAGAACCAATTGCACACGTTTGTCGGAGACAGGGGTAGAGTGGCAAATTAGGTGAGCCCCTCCCCTCACGATAAGGAGCCACTCGCCCGCCCTCTAGTCATTCTCGAGTATGCCGAACTTCCTCACACTCTTGCGAGCGAGGAATGCAGTGAGATATCGCACTCATAATATCAGAGAACCAGAGTTACAAAAGTAACCTTGTGTTCTATTTCAATTATCCGTTTCAATATCTCACATGTGGGATATGGCCAACTCCCGTATCGCAAGCATGCTCTCCGAAGCCAGGTAGTCTCAACGTATCAACCCTCAGAGGCCCCGACACTGAGGACAATATGCGCCAAAGAAGTGATATCTAGCCGGTAAAACTTCATAAAAGTATGAGAGGATGCCCAACAAGCCGCATCACAAATCTCCTGTAAGGAGATGGCCTTGAACAGTCCCCAAGAGGTAAACATACCTCTGGTGGAGTGAGCCCTCAGGCTCCCACAAAGGCTGTAACCCCTTGCTATTATAGGCCAATATAATAGCTTCCACAATCCAATGTGATAACCGTTGACAAGAGAGGGGCCTCCCCTTGCAAGGAGGTGCCCAGGACACAAAGAGTTGGTCGCTTTTGTGCAAAGCTCTTGTTCTATCAAGTATACACGCAACGCACGTACTGGACACACATGATAGAGACGCTTTTCTTTCGTAGAAGTGAAGGGTGGAAGGGTGGAAAGTCACAAGCTCCAAGGCAAGACAATTGTAATTGTCGCTTACCTTAGGCATAAAGATGGGGTTGGGCAACAAAGAAACCTTGGAAAAGCCCAGGGCAAACTGTAGACACGAATGGTGAACTGATAGTGCATGCAGCTCACTTACTCACTTTGCGGACATAAGGGCAACCTGTAAAGCGGTCCTAAGGAGAGATACTTCATCTCCACGCTTTTTAGCAGCTCAAAAGGCCGCCGTGAAATAGCCAAAAGATGGGGCAAAGGCTTGGATACTGGAGGTAAGTGAACTGCCCCCTTCATGACAAGCCTAGATAGACCTTAACAGTGGAGAATGCCTTCCCTCTGTCAATAAGGTCCTACAAAAAAGCATAAAACCTGGATACAGAGAATTTGTAAGGAATTATCTGTTTTTGGTCACACCACTTCTCAAAAAGGCACCACTTGTCGTGTAGAAGGGGCTCTGGCACTCTGGATAGTCTCAATGACTCCGAGATGGAGGCCTGTCGCATCCAAATTTAACCTTTCACGGGCCAGGCGCAGAGGGCCATTGTGTCTGGGTGAGGGTGGAAAATCTCTCAGTTCGCTTGGGTCAGAAAATCCCTGCATAACGGGAATGCCAGGGCTCGTCGTCCAGCAGGAGAATGATCTCCACTACCCAAAGCTTGCCTGGCCATCGAGGGGCTACCAAGATGAGGGATGAGCCTTCTTCCATCACTCTGACTGAGCTGCCTCTACACATTTGCTGAATGTTTATGGAGCTAGAGCTAGCCCGAATGGGACAGCGATGTATTTGAAGGCTGTGCCTTGAAAAGCAAACCTTAGAAACCTCCTGTGTGCTGGCTGGATGCTTATGTGAAAATAAGCGTCCTACAGGTCGACTGATATGAACCGAGACAGCACGTTGAATGTAAACATACGGGAATGTGAATGTTTTCAGATAGCTGTTGAGGACTCGTAGGTCAAGAATGGGGCATACCCCTCCCCCTATTTTTGGGAACCAGGAAGTACCCAGAGTAGAAGCCGAGGTGGCTCTCTGCTGCTGGTATTGCCCTGATAGAACCTTTGCTTATTAGAGAGATTTCCTGCTCTAGTATGCATGCCGAATCGCCAATCGCCCCTGATTCCAAAATGCAGTTGAAAACGGGTGGTCTCAGAGCAAACTGCAGTCTGTACCCCTTTGTCACCATGGACCAGACCCAGGGCTGGAATGCGCATGCGTGCCAGTTCCCTGCTCTTGTGGTGAGTAGCCCACAGTTCAGTAGATTCTCGCTCACCAGTGGTGCTGTTGGGAAATAATCAGCTGTGCGGGACCTCGATGCGGCTGCAGCGAAGGACCATTTTCCCCACTGTCAGCCCCTGTTCAGGGGCCCGAATCTGCTTCATTTCTGGGGGACTTGCACGGAAGGCCCTGGTGCCAGCTAATTGCCCTCTCCCTGCCGCGAAGCCTTGGCTCGTGGAGGGTAGCCGGGTAGCCACAGTTCCCGGGTCTACGGGATGGCATGGCAGCGACAGCCGGCGCAAAAAGTTCCTTCGGCTTGACAGGAGTGTCAAGGAAATCTGCTTTTTCTTTGTCCAACAGGCTGGACAAGTTGAGCCACAAGGCTCTTTCCTACACCACTGCAAAGCTTATGGTACAGCCACAACCTTGAATGGTGCCTCTGGAGGCTCTGAGGTTGAGGTCTGTGACGACACAGATCTCATCCCTAAAGTCTGGGCTAGACTTGCCAATAGCTAAGAGATCATGCATCTCCAGCATCAAATCGGCTTGGTAGGCCAGCAGTAAGGAAAAACGTTCAATGAACACATAGACGTTTTGGCAGATAAATATGGAAAAGCGGTCCATCTTACCATGGATGGAAGTGCCTTTCAGTGACGAGGCACTGGGGTTGAGGTGGTTGACCACTGAGGGTTCGACCACCGGTGGCTTGCCATGTTCTTGACATTCATGTTGGCAAAAAGTCAGGTTTGGACCTTGTCGGCTTCCGCCACACAAGCTGGGATGGCTGGAAGGAGTTGCTTGCCTGGGACGGTGTGAGAGGGGAGTTTCCTCCCATCGTACCAGTCCCTCTCTGCGCTGCCACCCCCACGGGTTCGGGACCCAGGGAGACAACACACAGGGGGTACGTGTCCTTGCCTTATATGGTTGCACCGCATGTACATACAGTGGGGAAAAAAGGTTTTAGTCAGCCACCAATTGTGCAAGTTCTCCCACTTAAAAAGATGAGAGAGGCCTGTAATTTTCATCATAGGTACACGTCAACTATGACAGACAAATTGAGAAAAAAATTCCAGAAAATCACATTGTAGGATTTTTAATGAATTTATTTGCAAATTATGGTGGAAAATAAGTATTTGGTCACCTACAAACAAGCAAGATTTCTGGCTCTCACAGACCTGTAACTTCTTCTTTAAGAGGCTCCTCTGTCCTCCACTCGTTACCTGTATTAATGGCACCTGTTTGAACTTGTTATCAGTATAAAAGACACCTTTGGGGATGTTTTTCTGCAATGGGACCAGGACGACTGATCCATGTAAAGGAAAGAATGAATGGGGCCATGTATCGTGAGATTTTTAGTGAAAACCTCCTTCCATCAGCAAGGGCATTGAAGATGAAACGTGGCTGGGTCTTTCAGCATGACAATGATCCCAAACACAGCCCGGGTAACGAAGGAGTGGCTTCGTAAGAAGCATTTCAAGGTCCTGGAGTGGCCTAGCCAGTCTCCAGATCTCAACCCCATAGAAAATCTTTGGAGGGAGTTGAAAGTCCGTGTTGCCCAGCGACAGCCCCAAAACATCACTGCTCTAGAGGAGATCTGCATGGAGGAATGGGCCAAAATACCAGCAACAGTGTGTGAAAACCTTGTGAAGACTTACAGAAAACGTTTGACCTGTGTCATTGCCAACAAAAGGTATATAACAAAGTATTGAGAAACTTTTGTTATTGACCAAATACTTATTTTCCACCATAATTTGCAAATAAATTCATTAAAAATCCTACAATGTGATTTTCTGGAAAAAAAATTCTCATTTTGTCTGTCATAGTTGATGTGTACCTATGATGAAAATTACAGGCCTCTCTCATCTTTTTAAGTGGGAGAACTTGCACAATTGGGGGCTGACTAAATACTTTTTTTCCCCACTGTAGATGTGCCGGTGCAGGGGCCTGGGCCTTGCTCGGTACCCCTTGGGCTAGCAGGCTCCATGGTGCCAAAAAACAGCTAATCCGAGAATAAAGTGAAACTAAACTAGCGTTCGCCACGTGGGCTAATAGCCTAGCTAGTTAGCACAGTACTAGCCGGAGAAAGCTAATCCTTTAACAATGTGAACATAGCTAGCATTCGCCTCATGGGCTAGTAGCCTAGCTAGTCAGCACAATGTTAGCCAGAGGAAGCTAGATCTTTGTTGGACTCACGACGAACAAAAGCCTGTCTTTCGACCTAAAAAAAGCTAGTCGGTAAGATAGCTAGATTTGCGGTGAGCTAGCCAGGTTAGCTAAGCCTTACAGCTAAGCTAGCCATGTCTCAGTAGCTTGCCGTGTGACACTAGCTACCACAGGAGACAAAGGGAAGAAAAAGTGTAAAAGCAAATTCTTACCCGAAGCATAACTTTCCTTTCGGTAAAGTCACCCAAAACAGAAGACGAGAGCTGAAAAACCTGCTTTTGAGACTCAGGTAAATTCCACATGTGAGATATCAAAACAAATAATTGAAAGAGAACCGCCCCCCAGTTATTCAAAACGACGTCTATGGCTATGACAAAGACAGAAACTAGGTTGTGGTGTAAGAAACACTGCTATACTAAAAACCTAGAAGGTTAGGGTTTCCAGATGAATCAGGTGGAATGGGGGACTTTGATTAATTCAATAGGAGATCTAGATCCTAGATGGGAGATCCAATGGGAGATCTATCTGACTATGTCTCTTCCTGTTACCTGTCCAATCAAACTGGAGAACACGAAGACACCCACAAAAAAGTTTGACAACTGAAAGGTAATCTCAAAGACTGTGTGGGGCTCGGGAAGACCACCGATGTTGATCAGACTGCGAACTGCGTAATAGTAACAACGCAAGTACCTGTAGAGAAGAGTGGGGTATTAGGCAGGTATCTGTGTGTGGAGAGGGGTTGGGCGTTAAGACGGGTGCTAGTCTCTCTGCTCCGAAGTAGCTAGGTCATTTGGTTGTCTATTTTTGACCACCCTGGCACTGGATCTAAGGTTATGACAGGAGATGGGAATAGTGTTAAAAAAGTTTTTTGGGGAATCTTAATATTTTTGGGGGGGTCATATTTGAAGAGAAAAACTGCACCAAAAAAATCAAGGATTGCAGAAAAAAGGAAATTGTCAAACACCAAAACTCTTGGTAAACATAAAATAAAAGACACACATTTGACAAAAATCAAGCACACTAAGAAGACTACCTGGCCAAGAAAGATGGACAAAAAGAAGGCGCCGAAAAAATAGTTGGCCATCTGAAACAACTGGCCGAATAAGGTGTCGGGAAAAGGCAACTCTGCGATCATCAGCAGGGATTTCTCCGCATAGAAGAAACTGCTCAGGTAACTACAAAAAAATACACAAGGCAATCCAAATAGAGAAAAAAAGTATACATAAAGTCCAAAGTATGTCCAAATTATGTATATAGATAATCAACTACAAGTATCATGCATGGTCTCATTCTACTAATGTGTATAGCTTTAGAACTTGCTTGCAATATTGACATGGATATACAGTGCAAAAGTATATGACAAATACCTAATGTTGCAAATTACTAATGCTATACAGTAGATACAGTCATGCAGTAAATCAAATTGAACAATAATTTGAGCTCTGCATAGGTGTGCACTGACATGGGGAGATATAAAATGGAGTTGGTGTAATGTACATACGCGTTGCCTTTGCCAGTGTAGACCCATCTGGTCTTGCCGATGCCCTGGTAGGCTGAGGCCACGTAGTAGGCACAGGCGTTGAGGTGGAGCATGAACAGCAGGTAGCCAATGGTGCGGATCACTCTGGTAACACAGCAAGCAAGGGTATAGCACTTTAAGATAAATGTTGCTGTAAAAAGGACTATAGCAATTTACTGTATTTGATCAATTGATTGGTTGTTTGATTGATTGAAGGGTCATCAGCTCACTGCTGACAGTCATGTCGGATTTCATCATATTTGGAGTTGGTACAGTACAAAGGATTGATTCTAGGCTAAACTTAGGCATGCTTAAGTTGTAAAGTTAGTGACATACCTCCAAATGTAGGCCTTGGACATGAGGCTCTCCAGCCGATCACTGAACTCAAAGAATGTGTCCACCTAAAGAAGAACTCAAAATCAACACCCCAAAAGTAGCATACATCAAAAAGTAGCATACAAAAGAGGACCACAATGAAAGTATTTTTACGTTATTGTGTTTATCCTCGACAGGTTTTAGTATATGTATTTGTTGCCGGGTTTAACATTTGTATGAATTTTAAATAGTTAAATTGTCGAATAAAAAAAAAAGAAGTAGCAAACATAAAAAAGTAGAATACATCAGTGTTAACAGTTGAGTCAGAGCATGCTTTTTTCATTATAAGGTGAGTTTGCATGTGACCATAACAGAAAATGCTTTACCTTTATCATTCGATTGAATCTGAAGATGGATTTGTATCCGAATTGGAAGCATAGCAAGTCTATGGGTGCCATTGCTATCATGTCCATCTGAGGAAAGAGATAAATAAGTTACAGTAGGTGGTAACTGAAGCCCCTGCCTTGAAGACAAAAAAATCTAATATATCAATGTTAGATGTTTGTGTTTAAGCCATGAAAAAGTATATACAGTTTATATAACAAACAGCTACATCTTTGAAGTACCTTAAATCTCTCAGAGCTTCTGTAGTACGCTTTGGTTATAATCCTGTCTTTCTGAAAGGCAGAACATTAATAATGAAATCACATCTACCTTGGCAATGTTTATGCAGAATACCTGTTTACACAACTACTGCCAGTCCACTGCACACAAGTCTCATTCTGAATACTGGAAGACTGAAAAGGTCTTCCTGTGTGGGGCAGTCTACCTGGTCTTTCTAAACACCTTATTAACATATCATTATGCTATTTATTTGGACTGTGGGAAAGACTGATACATGTATACCCTGCTGCAAAATGTATGCAATGCAGGTATGCTTAAATTGAGCTGGAAATGTCATCTTGGCCATTTATTTTTCATATATAATTGTTCATAAGTGTAACACTCACAAAATGCCCTCATAGTTTAAGGACAGTAGTAGTCCTACTTCCTCTGGAGAGAGAGGGAGAGCTGAGTGACTTACAATGACGTCCCCTCCTTTGACGAACTGCTTGCGGGCCTGGAAGAAGATAGAATCAATGAGATAGATGAAATCAGCCACAAGGTCCATAGCTATCCAGTAAGGGATCCACTCCGGGGTGTGGTAGGGGAAACACACACGAGCCGTCATGAACCAGGTGTTGTAGTTGAAGGCCAGAGTCACCAGAGTGAGCCACACGATGTACGCACGATCTACAGAGGGAGGAGGAAAGGGAGAAAGAATGGGGGGAGAGAGAGAGAGCAAGAGAGGGAGATAGAAAGAGAGGAAAGATAATGAATCAATGTAAAAGCTACGATGCAAGGCTGCAAGGCCCGTATCCAAAATCTTTTCTATTACTACATTAACACTGTATTGCATGGTCAATTATTTACAAAGCAATTTCAGCAAATGTTGCTTAGCAGTTTACCAGAGCAGCAGCAGAGTTGGTATACAGTACATACCTGTGAATGGATCTATGGTGGAGGGCAGCACTGAGTCCATCGCATCCTCAATAGGTTTCAGCCTCCTGTCAAGAAAGGCGGCGACGTTCTGGCCAAAAGTTGTTTTGACCACAGGCTCCAATGCTTTTGCTTCATCTTTCGCTTTTTGCTCGGCCGCTTTCTTTTCCGCCATCTCCTGCTTTTTCTTCTCTGCCACCTCTTTCTTTTTTAAGTCTTCCTCTTCTTTCTTTATCCTATCTTGCTCTTCTTGTATTATCCTCTCTTTAATTAATATTTCATAATCCTTTTTTTGATAAATGGGAGCTTGAGTAGAATAAATAAAGAATTAAAACAAAACATTATAAAGTTACCTCCTATGATAACCCATAGTCAACAAATATAGCTAAGGAGTCAGATAGATATTTTACACAAAACGGTGCTAAAGCTAAAACTAAATAAAGAACAAACTAAATATGTGTATCCTCTGTGTCCTCTGTGTATTTGAATCCCTTATCCCTTATGACTACCTTGAGTGTGGATACTTACTGACTGGAGGGCTGAATTCAGGTGAGGATGCATGTGGGTCTATGAGCTTCTCTCTGTATATTTCTGTTCTCTCTCTCATCCTCTTCACTATGACCCGGAGGTGATCATCAGAGTACATATTTACCACTATAGGAGGTGGTGGAGGAGGGGGAACTTCTTCTCTGGAAAGGAAAATACAATTTCACCATTACTGCATTACAGAATAAGACCCCCATTACATTCCCTTTATTGCAGAATTATTACAAAATACAGCTCTTTCAGAAAGTTAACTGTGTCAACTGTACTCTGGAGAGAAAGAAAAACACTGTCTCAAGTTTTTTTTTCTGAGTGGCAGTCTTTTGTGCCAACTCATGCCAACTCCTTCAATCAATGTCACGCAACTGTTTGGCTTGAAAATGGCAGCAATGGAGTTGGCAAGAGCACAAATAGATCTGGAACCTCAGACAATACCTCAGTTTTGCTCAATTTCAACTGAACATGTTGGTCCAACACTATGGACGAATAAAGTGAACCCTCTGCTGGAATAAACACCACATTACACCCTTGCTTTAAAATGGAACCACACCCGCTGATTTGGCCTCGTTTTTTTGGCTTGCTCCTCAAGAAATGCTGACTGCCATGACAGAAGCCTAACGTTCTATCTGTGCCTATCGTGAATTGGCTTGGGGTGTGGTTTGATGTGGGTGTTTCCTGGGTGTGTCCTTGCCACCAAGACACATATCTGTCAGAAACTTGCCCGCGGCTGTCTCCCGCCACTCAATCACAACAAACAAACCTCCTGCAGGTTGAGTTCAATAACTACAGGCAGATGTATGGTGAGATGTCGGAGTAAACTTTGAAAAGGTCAGTAGCCTACAGAGTAATGTGAGAACAATGCAATTGTTGAATTTATGTAGACATTCTAAACTACAGTGCCTTCAGAAATTATTCACACCCCTTGACTTTTTCCACATGTTGTTGTGTTACAAAGTGGGATTAAAATTGAATTAATAGTAATTTATTGTCAACGATTTACAAAAATACTCTGCAATGTCAAAGTTGAAGAAAAATTCTAACATTAAAAAAAAATGTATTAATGGAAAATAAAACACTAATATATCTTGATTAGATAAGTATTCAACCCCCGGAGTCAATACATGTTAGAATCACCTTTGGCAGCGATTACAGCTGTGAGTCTTTCTTGGTAAGTCTTTAAGAGCTTTGCACACCTGGATGGTACAATATTTGGCCATTATTCTTTAAAAAATTGCTAGACAGCCATTTTCAAGTCTTGCCATAGATTTTCAAGCCGATTTAAGTCAAAACTGTAACTAGGCTGCTCAGGAACATTCAATGTCAACTTGGTAAGCAACTCCAGTGTATATTTGGCCTTGTGTTTAAGGTAATTGTCCTGCTGAAAGCTGAAATTGTCTTCCAGTGACTGTTGCAAAGCAGACTGAACCACGTTTTCCTCTAGGATTTTGCCAGTGCTTTGCTCTATTCCATTTATTTTTATCCCCCCAAAAAACTCCCTAGTCCTTGCTGATGACAAGCATACCCATAACATGATGCAGTCAACACCATGCTTGAAAATGTGAAGAGTGGTACTCAGTGATGTGTTGTGTTGGATTTACCTCAAACATAACACTGTATTCAGGACAAAAAGTTCATTTCTTTGTCAAATTTTTTGCAGTATTACTTAAGTGCCTTATTGTTAACAGGATGCATGTTGGAATATTTTTTATTCTGTACAGGCTTCCTTCTTTTCACTCTGTAATTTATGTTAGTATTGTGGAGTAACTACAATGTTGTTGATCCATCCTCAGTTATCTCCTATCACAGCCATTAAACTTTGTAACTGTTTTAAAATCACCATTGGCCTCATGGTGAAATCCCTGAGCGGTTTCCTTCCTCTCTGCTAACTGAGTTAGGAAGGGCGCCTGTACTGGGTGTATTGATACACCATCCAAAGTGTAATTAATAACTGCATCATGCTCAAAGGGATATTTTTACCCAGCTACCAATAGGTGCCCTTCTTTATGAACCATTGCAAAACCTCCCTGGTCTTTGTGGTTGAATATGTGCTTGAAATGCACTGCTCGACTGATGGACCTTACAGATAATTGTATGTGTTGGGTACAGGGATGGGGTAGTCATTTAAAAATCATGTTAAACACTATTATTGTACACAGAGTGAGTCCATGCTACTTATTATGTGACTTGTTAAGTACATTCTTACTCCTGGACTTATTTAGGCATGCCATAACAAAGGGGTTGAATACTCATTGACTCAAGACATTTCAGCTTTTAATTTTTAATTTATACACATTTCTAAAAACATAATTCCACTTTGACATTATGGGGTATTGTGTGTAGATCAGTGCCACATCGCAATTGAATCAATTTTAAATTCAGGCTTTAACACAACGTGGAAAAAGTCAAGGGGTGTGAATACTTTCTGAAGACACTGTAGGTGTTTTGATAACATTCAAATGAAGTACCAGGTCCAGGTAAATAAGAACCCTTTACATAATACCGTAGAATCAGTGTTCTGCTAATATAACAATGTGCACCTTTCATATTTTATTGTAATTCCCAGCCGATACAGATACTGTGCCTGTCGGCATTTTATGTATACAACAGAAGTTCCCTGATCCTGATGCAGAATACACAGGGTTTCTCCCTCCCCATGTTGGTGATACCATTCAATTCAATAATTTAAAAAAGTCAAGACAAGTAAAAGTTATGTCTAGTAACATTTTAATGCCGAGTGCCAGGTCTCTTTCCATTCAGAGACATCAGTATCAAGCCTGTCTGTCGGTCTGGACTTCATCCCATCATCTTGCAAGTCTCCATGTGCTGTCTCCATACATGTTTCTGTGAACATATACACACAGTCACTGTTCTATTACCAATGGCAGTTAGGATAGTTAATATCTGACACAACAAACACGGACTATATTAAAGTATGAACAGGTCAGATAACACCTACCCAATTATGGTCTCCCCATTAAACAACTGAGGCTGCCGTCTTGCAAAAGCATCTCCAGTCCATCTGTACTAATAGGCAGAGTTGAGGCAGAGTTCATCAGTAATACATGGAATGAAAAGGGTCTTGCTATTACTGGACGTTTGTGCTGTACTGTGTTATTAGTAATGACCTCATTATGGATGTGTTGAGTGCCAAGTCTCTCTGCATCTCATGCATCTGTGAACACATACACACGGTCACTGTTTTATTACCAATGGCAGTTAGGGATAGGTGATATCTGACACACAAGCATATACTATGTTGAAGTTTGAACAAGTCACACTAAACCTACCTAATTCTGTTCTCCCCATTGATGACCGTTGGTGAGCAGGCAAGAGGTGAGGCTGGAGGTGAGGTCTTTGCCAGAGCCTCATTGATGGGCATAGAAGTGTAGAGCAACTCCGGGCCCCTCAAAGATATTGGTCGGTCTCACACACACACACCTTCTGCACCACAAAGTCCCCAGGTAGATATAAACTCAGCAAAAAAAGAAACGTCATCTCACTGTCAACTGCGTTTATTTTCAGCAAACTTAACATGTGTAAACCACTGAGACATAAACTGAACAAGTTCCACAGACATATGACTAACAAAAATGGAACAATGTGTCCCTGAACAAAGGGGGGGGCAAAGGGGGGGGGGTCAAAATAAAAGTAACAGTCAGTTTCTGGTGTGGCCACCAGCTGCATTAAGTACTGCAGTGCATCTCCTCCTCATGGACTGCACCAGATTTGCCAGTTCTTGCTGTGAGATATTACCTCACTCTTCCACCAAGGCACCTGCAAGTTCCCGGATATTTCTGGGGGCAATGGCCCTAGCCCTCACCCTCCGATCCAACAGGTCCTGCCAGGATGATCCTGCAGGAAGGGTACCACATGAGGGAGGAGGATGTCTTCCCTGTAACGCACAGCGTTGAGATTTCCTGCAATGACAACAAGCTCAGTCCGATGATGCTGTGACACACCGCCCCAGACCATGACGGACCCTCCACCTCCAAATCGATCCCACTCCAGAGTACAGGCCTCGGTGCAACACTCATTCCTTCGACGATAAATGCGAATCCGACCATCACCCCTGGTGAGACAAAACTGCGACTCGTCAGTGAAGAGCACTTTTTGCCAGTCCTGTCTGGTCCAGCGACGGTGGGTTTGTGCCCATAGGCGACGTTGTTGCCGGTGATGTCTGGTGAGGACCTGCCTTACAACAGGCCTACAAGCCCTCAGTCCAGCCTCTCTCAGCCTATTGCGGACAGTCTGAGCACTGATGGAGGGATTGTGCGTTCCTGGTGTAACTCGGGCAGTTGTTGTTGCCCTCCTGTACCCGCAGGTGTGATGTTCGGATGTACCGATCCTGTGCAGGTGTTGTCACACGTGGTCTGCCACTGCGAGGTCGATCAGCTGTCCGTCCTGTCTCCCTGTAGTGCTCTTAGGCGTCTCACAGTACGGACATTGCAATTTATTTCCCTGGCCACATCTGCAGTACTCATGCCTCCTTGCAGCATGCCTAAGGCACGTTCACGCAGATGAGCAGGGACCCTGGGCATCTTTCTTTTGGTGTTTTTCAGAGTCAGTAGAAAAGCCTCTTTAGTGTCCTAAGTTTTCATAACTGTGACCTTAATTGCCTACCGTCTGTAAGCTGTTAGTGTCTTAGCGACCGTTCCACAGGTGCATGTTCATTAATTGTTTATGGTTCATTGAACAAGCATGGGAAACAGTGTTTAAACCCTTTACAATGAAGATCTGTGAAGTTATTTGGATTTTTACTAATTATCTTTGAAAGACAGGGTCCTGAAAAAGGGACGTTTCTTTTTTTGCTGAGTTTATAATAGACTTAAGCCTCAGCAACATGTCTACCAACATCTGGTTATCACAACCCTGAGGAAATACAATTCAACGTCATAGACTAAAGCAACACAAGGTATTACACATACACATTTGTGTGAGGTTGACTTAAAGGAAAATTCAAGATATGATGCAAAATGCATCATACCAGCTGTATTTCTGTATTTTGAAAGTTATATATCTTGAAAACGTGGGACTATATCATTTTGGGACTATATCAACAATGGACTAATGAAACAAATACCAAAAGAGACACAGACACAGAGCACTGATTACATTATCTTTTTTTTGTGGTAAGATTTTATTTGAC